TGAGAGGCTTTCTGAGACTGTAGGCTGCGTTATACTGCGCTGGAATTCGTTCAAGAACCACTGCTGGAGTTGTTTTTGAGTTAGCTGAGGGTGTTGTTGTGCATATTGACGAAGGGCCTTCCTTTGAGAGACTGAAAGGCCAGGTGTCTTGCGGTCTGAAGGCATCTTTTTAATACCTGGTTTAGCCAATAAATTGATCAGGTTAAGGCAATATAGGCAGGTAAGAGGTTCACACCGAATTTTAGAAGTTGAAGCTGAAAGTATAGCGTTAAAGAGGTTATGTTCCTACGGAATATTGCGTTATCCAGGTTTGACTGTACTAGCTTCGCCTCCCACGCTGAGTTCGAGCCGACCACTCTGCCTTAGCCCCTCGACCACTTTCTGGCCGACACCCAATTGCGACCCGCCGTTCGAGCACCTGCTGTGCTATTGCGCCCCTCCCAGCGACCTCTGACCGTCGCCAAGCAGAGCCTCGTTGCTCGCGGCCGGCTGTGCTGCCAGAATCGGATCGCCATCGCCCTCACCAGCGACAGGGTCCCTGCTCCTATCAGCCGAGGCCGCATTACACCCACCGTCGAATCACCGCCCCCAGCAGACATGCCTGGCCGTCGTCGCGCTGCGGTGGATGCCAGTTGAAATCACCGATGGAGCCATGTCTGCCCTGCGTGTCCAGCAGCGGTTAGGCCTATGGCGTCCTGCTGTCATGCCAACCCTCTGCGATCGGGACGGGCGACACAGCGCAGTTTCGAATCATCATCAGCCTCTACGAGCTGAACTGCACCTGGGTGCCACCACTGGAGCTACAACAGCCAAGCCAATACATGCCGTCCGTTGCGGCCTGTTGGCCATGCTCGCTAGCCTGCGAGGATTCATTCGCAGACGTGCTGCTGCAGCCATGCTACTACCTTTCGAGTATTTTTGATACGCCCAGCCCATCCTTCTATACCCGCTGGCCACACCAAACTCTCCATCCCTGCGACATGTGTGCCCCCGGCCTGCATTTTCGCCTGTCAGCACAAGGTCCCTCCTATGGGTGAGCCACGCGACTGCTCGAATGGGCAGTGGGGCCTTCCTCAAAGCAACGGTAGCATACGAATCAGCGCTCAAGACCGAGATTGCGCGATTCCAAAGTCGTTGATGTGGGCGAACCCGCCTATTCTCAGCGGATGCGGACCAGGTGAAGTCAGAACGAGGAACCAATCACGACTGCCGAAATTAGAACGTGCTGCTTTCCTAAAGATGTGTGGAGAGAGGGGGAGGACCCGCTCTGCATTAGCGCGGATCGGACATCCCACGCGTTCACGAGATTCCGCCAACGCCAACGCCTCTCGTTTCGACAACCGCTTCTTGTCGTTGCTTGAGGCCGGCGGGCAGTGCTTTGCATCTTGGCATGAAAAATCTGCAATCCGCGCCGTACGAGGCGTCAGAGAAACTGTCACCAGGGCGCTGTCTCGGGGGCCTGCGACCCCTGCGTGAGACGCCACCGTCACACGACGGACGACAACGAATGCCTGGTAGTAGCGTTCAATGATCCTGCGAAGAAGTGTTAAAGCGATGGCCTGAGGCTGAAACCCATCAGCCTGCACGAGCAAGACCCTTCCTCAGATCGAGAAAGCACTTCAGGGCAATTGATCAATCACAATGAGGAGAAATCGACCTCGTCAAGCCTCTGGCCACGATCAAACCATCAAGTGACGTTGATTTGAGTGCATACATGGCTCCACTGACCACACCATCGTGGCTCCCATCTCCAGGTCTGTCACCAAAGCTACCGCTCCACCATCAGAAGGCTCAGGTTGGGCAAAAGCCAAAACCGGCAGGAAGAGATCTGTCCAGGCCCTTGTGCCCTGCAGAATCTCTTGCGTCCTGCAGCTGTCCCCGTGGCTAATCGGATATTCGGCAAACCTTGCTTTCTCTGGCAGTACTCACATGAGCAGATACAACGACACCTAGCGGAGGGACTGGTTGGACAATGATCGAGTCGAGACTACACACACAACGAACTGCCAGTCTGTACTGGGGCCTCTTCATGTTCGCTGCTACCCGCCTCGCATGAACGCATGCTCGCTGCGACCTCTACGTCGACCAAGACGTTTTATCCACACTGACGTCTACTCCACGACACAAAAAATGGCGGTGGGGGTAACGAATTTGCACGGCAGAAGAAATCATAGCCAAGCCTGGCTTCATCAGCTACCCTGACACGTGCTCGAGATAGCCAGCATTTCTCGACGCTTGGCTCTTTCATCGTGCTGAGAGATCCATCACCAGTCGCCACCACTCTTGTTGAGAATCGGCCTGCAGGCCTTCGACGGACTTGCGATCGGTCCTTTCGCCATCCATACCCGGATGAAAAGCATCACGTTCTCCGTACCAAACAAAGGAAATAGTCCATTTCCGAAACTTTCAACTAGGCACAGAGATGGTTCACCATTCTGCACCGATGAAGGTTGCTTGGCGGTTGTGGCTTGAGGCAAAAAGTACCGATTGGACCTCACTCTTGTCGACTTTGGAAAGATGGGCGTACCTAGGTACGACTATCATACGAGCTGGACGTTTGAGGCTCTGTTAACTCAATTGATATGGCTTGCTACTTCAAGCACTGGTCGGCAGCACTGTTCGAGTTCGCTTCGATTGTTGGACCTCGAGATCGATCCTCGTATGAGAAGCAACTTCGCAGACGCGGCACAGAAACCCACATGACGATGCTCTTACGCCAGCTGCTTGTCTATCGTTGCCGAAGCCAAGGTCCGATGCGAGCGAGGTCCCCCTTCGCCGTGGAGAAACATCAAAAGCAAGATCGTCTTCACGATCCACACCACCAACGATGATCGAAGATGGGTCGACTTGGGCTTAAGATGCAAGATGATAGATGCTGCGCTCAGAGGACGATATACGCGTCGACTTATCTGTAGGCATGACGCCTAAAGCGATCGTGAGCCGCATCGCGTCATTGCCGAACACACACTGATGAACTGCCTCTCGGTGCATACAACCCCGAATAACGCGTTCATTGCTCTGCGAATCGGCGTTAGGATTGTAGCATCGAACGTCGAACTTCGCAGGGAGTGTCCCAGGCGTTCAGCTGGCTTTCGCGAGGATGAGTCTCAGGATTGGAACCTGAGTTATGGGTGACAACAATGCAAGCGCCGGAGATCGATTTGGCATGGGACCGAATGACCGTACTAATAGCATGATCTAGGACCTATGTGACAGCTCGATCAACGAAAGACAAACCATCGAAAGAGCGGTTCCTCGCACTGGTATGCGACTGGTCGACAGAATATAGGATCCTCATTGATATCGACCTACCTCGCGAGGCAGACCGCCATGGCGACTTGCACGTGAACAGTACGTCGTCAAGCAACACCAATACACCATCCGTCGTACCGCATTCCATACCGAGAATATTAGATATGGAGTCACTGCGGCGCTGCATGGAGGTGATATTGCGACAACATCTTCAACAAGTTTCAAAATGTGGACCATCGGGACGTGAACGACATGATCGTACATCTGTCTTCACGAGAGGAAACGGATGGCATGGTCACTACGATACACGAGGAAGCAAAGAACGCCCAACGAATCGAGCACAAGTCTAGAGCAAAACCACTCATTGCCACTGACTTGCTCATCTTCCTGTTGACGATAACAACGAGGGTGAAGAAAAGCTTCTGCCTGCCAGAGCAAGAGACCTATCCTTTCCACTAATCAACTCATCCGTTCTCAGAAGCTCCCAAAAGAGTTCAGACACATCACACGACACCAACGACAGTCCTCGTTCCATCGTTGTCGCACTCAGCACGCCACGTAAGATTCTGCAACTGATAGCTACGCTCCCTACCGAACCACAGCCCCCCTCGCAGGACGTCTGCGCCGCACAAAAAGATTGCAGCGGGCGACGCCGGAAAATGCAAAGCAAATGTCTCCAAAACACTTTAAGCTTCCTGCGTCTTGTTACACCACTGCGAACTATGAGCTTGCACGCACACAATCACTGGACGACGGTGTACCCCTTGGGAACAACGTACTTTGCTGAGGCGGTCGGATTACCTTCGACACGCCAGATCTCATCTGTACGCTTTGGCCCAGGCAGCCAGGTGCAGGAGAGGTCACGCAAAGGAACGAGGGCGAACGCGTGAAGCGGCATGTTGAGTTGGAGGTTTCGGTCGAATTCGTTGGATCGTAAGTTGGAAAGTGGTAGTAACCTAGAGGCTACCGCAGGAGGACGACGCCATACGAAGCAGAAGTGACAGAGACCTTTCCGATAAGTTGATTGTTGACTTCACTTTTCTTCTGAGGAGTCGATGAATCTATCTGTGAGCAGGAAAGGCACTTTTCCCTGCCATCGTAGTCTTACAAAATCGGGGTATCTCCACCCAAAGAACTCCTTTTTGGCCATGCCGCCTATGCACCCAATGCAACGAAACGCTCGCAAATGCTGCAAATACTGAAACAAAGAACCTCTTCCCTCGAGACGGTCATCTTTGCGCTCTACTTCTCATGATGCTCCTTCTTCTCATTAACCGTCGTCGCCATCCTCTTGCCGATCTCGTAGCTGGAGATCATGATAGCACAAGCTGGTGCTACCTTGAGACAACGTGCACCCCAGCCCTTGAAAAGACCTGTGAGGCCCTCGTGCTGGTAGATATGCCAGAGAAATCGTGGCATTGTCTTGCCCTCGGGCAGGTTCCGGCGTACCTCAGCTGACATGTTCGATTGGATGACGGTTTGCTGGCGAGTCTTTCCTACGTCGAAAGGCGTTGTCACGAGAGCGGCGATCGCACCTGAGCTGGCTCCGGCGATGAATGAGTCCAGAAGTAATGTCCTGGTGCTATGGTCTTTCTTGCGTTCGCCAGAAATGGGGCCTGCGCGTGCTCGTATCATGTCGATTTCCCTGCGGCCGAATTCGTATCCCCACCAGTATAATGCCGAAAAAGGTACGTCTCTCCACAGCGTCAGAGACAGACCTCGCCATAGAGACAAGTAGCCTTGTGAAGCAACCATGTCCTTCAGGCCCACCATTGTCGACCGTAGAACCCCCTTCTCAGACGAGTGCACAGCCTGCATCCTTGTCCGTAGAATCTCAATAGGTCCAACAGCTATTGCCGACATAATTCTTGCCGTGCTTCCCGCAACCAGCGGCGCATAGGCATCGCTCACTCGTCCAGCCATCGGGCTTTTTGCACTTTCTCGCAACCAGTCGTATCCGGCAAAGTAGATGACATTCGCCGGGATTGCCATCAACAACGTCGGGCTCAGACCCCGCCATAGTGTCCAGATGCCTTCATTCCGCGCGATCTTACGGATGCCGTCGAGGGTCGAGTTGAACGTCCGACGCTGGGTCTCTTCTGCCGCACAGTCAGAGATGATCGCCTCATCAATGACGGCGGCATGGGAGGGAGAAGCGACGCAGAATTGGGATTGGTTCTGCACCCAGAAGACCTCGCGGCAGCAGGCTGTAACACCGAGGTTTGGGGGCAATTGGACGAACGAGGGCAAGCGGGCAGAGGAGGGGGACGGACTTGATTGGGATTGGAGGCGGACGCGGACGACATCGAGGGGCGTTACTGCGACAAATTGTTAGCTGAGAGTGAGTGAAAGATGTGCCCATCAAGGTCATACCGAGCAGTGAGGTGAGTATGCTCCCACTCACGGCGGAGAGCATTTTCTGGGTGACTGAGGTCTCCGGATCTGCCGCCGTCCGTACTGTCGACGGCGGTGAGGTGAGGTGCAAGGCAGTCGTGTCCGACTCGCCCTCGCCGTCGGCGGACAGTATTCTGTCGTGCCTCTGGCCTTGAGTGTGCACCGCCGCCATCCCGTCTGCTTTCTCTTCCCGTGGACGCTCCAAGGCGCCGAGAGCGGTATTGTGCGCCTTCTCCAGGGAAGGCGGTGTCCTGGATCTCCTGGCTGCACTTTCGTCGGTCCTGCGGTGTTTGAAAGGTGTAGAAGAAGAAGTAGCAGAGGTCCGCGATTTGGTCGTGGCGCGAATGATTCGATGATGCGGGTTAAGATACACTTCCGGCGTCCGATCGCGGCGTCCCCTTCGAGCTAGAGCCACCCGAGCGAGGCACGTCACCTCTTCAACAAAGGACAACCACTGCCATCAGCTCAATGTCCTACACTCTTGAGATACATCAATGTCTGCAAAGATGAGCGCAGAAGAGATACAGGCACCTAACACGGCGCCAGAGACTGAGGCAGAACTCGAGGCATTCAGACAGCGATGGCGCGAAGAAGTAGAAGCCCGGAACAAGCAGACAGCAACGCCATCGACAAAGAAAGCCTATGAAAAGATACAGAGGCAAAGGGGCGCTCCTCCGCCAGCACACGCCACGGCCGCCGCACCCTCGTCAAGTCGAACGTACAATGAAGAGGTAGAACCCAAGGCATACCACGATCTCCCGAACAAGGAGGAGCAGCTAGTTCTCGGGAAAGAAGGACAGGACCACGACAGAGACGTATACAAAGAGCCTAGCTCAGCGCTGGAACATTACGAGAGGGCCGTAGAAAGGGAGACTCAAGGCAATCTAGGCGAGAGCATCAGACACTACCGAAAGGCATTCAAAGTACACCTCCCCTCATTCCTCTTCTCTGTAGTACGTGCATGCTGAGGTAAGTCACAGCTCGACGACGGCGTCCACGAAGCCTACAAGCGCAAACACTTCCCTCCATCATCTTTCGTGAAACCCAAACCGACCAACCCCAATACATCCAATGCCGCCGCCACAGTCCCCCGAACCGACCACCACTCCCTATATGGTAGTTCCTCAGAAGCCCTGCCAGCAACCCTCAAACAGCTAGTCGACGACTTCTCCGCCCTTCGAATCGAACCCCCACCACCACCCACAGATGCCTCCCCACAAGAACGCTGCCTCCTCGCGGAGATGCCCGAAGAAATCCTCACCCAAATCCTCATCGACCTCGCCACCCAAGACGTCGCCTCCTTCGCCCGCCTCACCCAAGTCTGCAAACGCCTCGCCTACCTCGTCCTAACCGAAGACTCCATCTGGAAACGCGTCGCCCAAGGCCCCGAATTTGGGTTCGCCGCCATGCTCTACGACTACACCGTCGACATCGAAGGCTTCCCAATTTCCGCGAGCGACAACATCGCCCGGTACCTCGACGACGAGATCGACGAAACCGAAACCCCACCCCTGGTCCCCTTGCCAAAAGAACGCGAACAGTCCTTCGACGCTTTGACAGACTCCCTCCTGCACTCAACCTACGCCTCCTCCTGGCGCCACCTCTTCCGCACCCGTCCCCGCCTGCGCTTCAACGGCTGCTACATCTCCACGGTGAACTACACCCGCGCCGGCGCCACAGCGACCAACACACTGACGTGGGGCGCCCCGATCCACGTGGTGACCTACTTCCGCTACCTGCGCTTCTTCCGCGACGGCTCTGCCATTTCCCTCTTGACGACCTCCGAACCGCCCGACGTCGTACATCACCTCACAAAAGCAAACCTCCACTCCCACCACGGCTCGTACCTCCCTTCTTCCGTAATGAAAGACGCCCTGCGCGGGCGCTGGAGGCTCTCCGGCCCTGCTTCCTCCTCATCGCCCGACCCGCTCACGGGCGAAGAGGAACATGAGGGGGAATTGTTCATCGAAACGGAAGGCGTCGTGCCCAAGTATACGTACAAGATGCACTTGGCCGTGGCGAACGCGGGGAAGAGTACGCGCAACAATAAGTTGGCGTGGAAGAGGTTTTGGAGTCACAATAAGCTGACGGACGATTGGGGCGAGTTTACGTTGAGGAATGATAAGGCGTTTTACTGGTCGAGGGTGAGGTGTTATGGGGATGGCTGGTAGACCAAATTTTCAGGGAGCTTGTGTAGATGGATAGTGGGGAGGAACAGTCTCCTCCAAGATCATCAGTAGATTCATCATCTCATTTCAGCATCAACTCATACTCCCCCACTACAATTACCACTCAATACCTCTCAATCAACCACGCCCTCCTCTCCCCCTCTCCCATCTGATTCAACATCTCCTGCTCCGCCTTCTTAACAGCCACCCAATTCCTCACCAACAACCCCTCCCCCTCCCCACCGCCAACCATCCTCCCCACCTCCCCAACATCCTTCTCCAACGCCCCCAGCGCATCCTCAAATCCCCTCGGCAACCTCTCCACAATCCCCAACCCCGCCTTCTCCTCCTCCGAAAGCTTCGTAGGATTCATCCTGCAATCCCGAATCTTCAGCTCTACCGACCTCCTCACCCCGTCCAATCCTACCCCCAAAATCACACCGAGAGCGAGGTACATATTCGCCAGGCCGTCGAGACAGCGGATCTCCCATCTTTGGGCCGAGACGCGGCGGAGGGGCGTTTCGCGGTTGTTGGTGCCCCATGCGACCCAGGTGCCGCCCGTCCAGCTGTTGTCGGCGACGCGGCCGTAGCTGACGGGGTGGGGCATGGTGATGGCTGTGATGGCGGGGAGGTGGGCGAGGATGTTGGCGATGAAGGATTGTTCGATGGTTTCGAGTTGGGAGAGTTGGAGGGTGGAAGTGTTGAGGGAGATGTGGGCGTGTGCGGCGGTGCCGATGCCTGGGAAGGGCATGGGGTGGCAGGTTGCTCGGAGGCCGTTCTGGGTGGCGATTTGTTGGATGCATTGTTTGGCTTGGATCAGGGTGTCTACCGCCTGGACTGGAGGTAGCGGTGGGAGTACGAACTCGTATTGGCCTGCGCCAGCCTCTGAATGCAGTGCCTGGATCGGTATCCCTATGTTCTGCAGGACTGTACCGATGGATGTCATTAAGGCCACAGAAGTCATGTACTGCTCGTCGCTAAAGGTGCCCCATGCGTGGTTTGCGTCGAGGGGCGAGAATGGATCATCGCTGCCTTTTGGCCCTCGCCTGCAGAATGTGATCTCAATCTCGAAGCCGACCAAGAAGTTGATGTCATATTCTTGTTCGAAAGAATGGACGATACGCTGCAGCGTGTATCTTGGACATGCCGCGAGACCTACGCCCTGCTCGTCGGTGAATCTGGCCATAACGGTTGCGGCGTTCTTGACGGGCCCGGTCGGTTGCAAAAGACGAAAGCTGCTCAGGTCGGGTTCAACGTATATGCTCCCAACAGGGTCACAGATCGATGACATATGATCATTTGGAGTCGTCCCAAGATTTCCGTTCGATATGGCAAATCGCCCTGGCCCGCTAGTCATCATCTTATCAAACTCAACAATGGGTAGCCATCGAGTGCGCATCTGTGCGTTGTAGTCGAGCCATTGAACGAAGACATATTGCACACTACCCTGCCTGGCGGTCTGACGATATGTGTTCATGGCGGCCGGTATGCTGCGAGTGGCTACGACAGTTGGCATTGGTGTACCATTGGCATTTGTCTATGCTGGCATCAGCACTGAATTGAGAATAGCACGTGAAATGACTTGCATTGTCACGAAGATGCAGTGTGTGAATTGTTCGTCAAAGTGGATCGAGTTGACAAGCACAAGACCTAAGTGAAGTTACTTACATCTCTAGAGTTCGACTTGGAGTGTATCGAGACACTGCGTCCGCCTGTAGCGGGTAGCACCAAGTCGAGGTTATAGAGCAGGTTCGAGTTGAAGAATAGAACATCTTTCACGGCTTGCACAGCCTGAGCAACCGTCAAGTCCTCGCGGGTGACGTACTCACACAACACCTTTTCCAAAGCCACACGGCCTTGCAGGTTGGCGAGATAATATGTTTCGGGGTGATGATGGCCATCAGTACTCCACAAAATCTTAGACGTCGGTGTGATCTCCAGAGCCTGCCGAACAACTTTCTCTTGACCATCTCTAGAGACCATGGGAAACACGAGACCGATATCGAGGTAGACGTTCTTGTGTACGGTTGCAAGATATCCAGCTTCACGAGTAAATGGGTAGGACGAGTGGAGAAGCACAATGGGCACACTCGGAAAGTGTTTCATCAACGGCTGCATGCATGCCGGGTCGGATTCGAGCAGCGATATGTCGTTGTCCCCGAGGCCAGTGTGGAACTGAATTGGTTTCGCAATACCCGTGGCCTTGCGTGCAGCGTCGACCAGCTTGCACGCGCTAATTACAAGAGCATCACACATGCCCTTGCTCTCGACACGAAACTTGTCTTGCACATAGCTGGGCAAGAAGTGTCGACGAAAGCTTCGAAGGCCGGCCTCTGACACGTCTGCATCCCGACCAACGATGATGTCCAAGCCTGAGCGGTAGCAGATGACCGATTTCAAGCCCACCACTTCGGAGTCTTCGAGACTAGCCGCGATAGACTCCTCGAAAGCAGCAATGAAGTCCAGCCAAGCAAGCGAGCAAGCCTCCTCGTCGGCAATATCGACGCCAGCAGGCAGCTTGCCTTGCTGATGCAAAGACTCCAAGATCTCTGCAGCGACAGCTTCGATTCGCACAATGCGTTTGCAAGGCGTGGTTACGAACTGGTCATGCCAAGAGTAATCCTCAAAGTCTCCATAGAGCCCATCATCCACGAGAATCGTATGTGTCCCCTCAAGACATCTCGCGATCAACCCATTCGGATCAGTCTCAAGCAACTCTCGCCGTCTCTTCAAGATAGCCGACCAATCCGCGTCGTGAGGAACATCATACAGCGTCCGAAGCTGTCGTTGCGCTCTGAAATGCGGCAGAGCCTTGACATGGTCCTCGAGAGCTTCATCCTCCGCCTCTGACGTGGCACTGAGAAAGTCTTCGGCTTTGAGACCCTGTGGTTTGAGCAGATTGTGGGCGTGGTTGTCGATTATAGGGCAAGTTCTGACAATTTTGCGTAGCTCGTCCAGCGATTCTGTTGTGGTGTGCGCCATCCTGGGCGCATTGTTTTGGGGACTCGACCAGCGAGTCGTGAGCTGTGCTCTTGTGGTTGAAACGAGAGCTCCTGCGCGGCGAGGGAAGGTGAGATAGGCCAAGATCAGGGAGCTTGGACCCCATTTCAATCAATGCGTCAATCAATTCATTCATTAAACTTTTAGCGCCCACGTACTTCTACTCCTTCATCAACCACAACTTTCTCTCATACTTTCCATCACGGGGTCAACAGGATGGCTACATTCAAGGACGAAGCTTTCTCACATTGAAGGCTATTACACATTACACCTCTATCTCCCTGTCCTGCCCAACTCATCCCCATTCCCATCAGTCACCACACATCTAATCCTTCCTCTCCAACCACTCTCCACAAGCATCATAAACCTCCCTATACCCCTCAAACCGATACAACCTCCGAAACACCCCCTCATCAATCACCCTCGCACACTGCATATTCCCCACCATCGCAAAATCCACATACCCAGGTTTCGCCCCCTCAATAAACGGCCCCTCAGCCTTCCTCGTCCGCATCATCTCCCCATTCGCCCTCATTTTCTCCTCCACCGCCGCCCACGCCTCGTCTTCTTTCTCTGGAGGAGGCAGGAGTTCCTCCAAGCTAGGTCCCAGCGCCGCTTCCCGTGCAGAGCGGAAATACTCTGCGGCGCGAGGCGCGAGGATGCGGACTTCGCGCGGCATCAGGGAGTTGCGGAGGACGATTGCGGCGATGGCGCGGGAGTCGGCGCGGATCTTGTCGCCCAGCTCTGACTCTAGAGGGACTGGTGGATTGGGGTAGGTTTGCTCGAGGAAGGCGGCGATGGCGGGGGAGTCCATGATGTATTTGTTCGAGGGGATGTGGTGGATTGCCGGGACGGTGTATGCGTTGCCTTGAGCGTGGGGAGCAATGCCGCTGGGAAGGGTGTTAGAAGGTTGGTTGAGTGTGATGGCTTGAGGAGCTTACAATTCTTTCAAAGTAGGTTCGATGTCCGGGAACTCGAGGAAGACGGCCTTGTAGGCGATTTTCTTGTAGTTGAGCATCAGACGGATACGCCAGACGACAGGGCTGAAGCAGACGCCTTTGGTGCAGGCCAGATCGTATAGTACGATTTCCGCTTGATTGTGAGAAGCCATATTGTCTCGGTATGTTGATTTGGTTATGAAACTTTTGGTTGTAACTCGTTCTAAACGCCGATTTCTTGACCAAACGTGTTCACAGAGGATGCAGTGTTCTATATATATCTAATCTACCCACATGCGCGTCTCCTTAAAACCGACTACACCGCCAGTCAGCCCGCTTTCGCACCTGTATCCGGTGTGAATTGGTCGAGTTATGCACGCCCTTCAGGCCCACAAAGCTTACGAAACCATCAAACATCCAATGGGAGAAGAGGGCTATAGGCATAAAGCCTTGACGACTACTTGATTTCGAATAGGCATCTCTAGCGTCGTCGTCACAATGCCTCGCTAATCCAATACAATCAATGCTATGCTAAGCTTAGACTCAATAGCCTATGATCTGTCACTGCTCAAGGGATCGTAATGCAGTCTCCGGTGAAGATGCTCTTGTCCCGACTGGTCCACACGTTACCGATAGCCGCAAGATGCTCTCTTATATCCAAGTCACTCCTCACACCGTGCTTCTGCCACTCCGCCACCACCTTTCTGTCCCCTCCAACTGCCTCTGAATCGATACTGCCAGCAACACAATGATTGACGCCGTTCAAAGCGGTGTCTGCCACAGCCTGCCACGCCGCAGTCATGTCGACGGCCATCTCAGGTGTATAGAACATTCTGCAGTCGGCAGGCTTGAACTTGAACTGCAGTGGGACGTTGCTGGGGTCGTCTTCTCGGTAGCCGTCCCTGACATTCAAACCTTTGTAGATGGTGCGATAAAGCAACAGATTGTCGTAGTCTCCCAGAGCCGTTTTCTTGTAGAACTCTGCCGGGTGGATGTATCCGTACCGAAACGGGGCCTGCACCCAGTCAAGTATTTCTGCCGAGCGTAGGGATTGTGTTCCCTTGACACCACCGACAGCCTGGGTGATATCCACATTGGGCCGGCCTCCCAAGTTGATCGTCTTGATGCCCACTTGCTGCCGCATGAACTCGCTGAAGATGGTGCAGGTCGAGGAACAAAAGCCATCTGTGACAATGACAATATTTTCAGGCTCGAATTTGCGTTTGACAAAGCCGGGGCCGTCGGTGCCACTGCTATCGTCTGGTCCGAACACGCTGGATAGGTTCAATCGTATGATAGGGGTGAAGGCGTCTGGCTGTGGTCCAAGCATTTGCGGCCCGAGCTTCTGTTCCCAGGATTGGAAGCTATTGTCATTGACATCGAGATCATTGCGATAGTTGAACCACGATGACACAGCTCCCCAGACCGTATCGTCAAGCTAGAAGTGGGTGTCAACACAGACACATCATTCATGAAGGCGAATGACTTACATCTTGAACCCCATTGACGAGACCGGACAAGTAGCTGATCTCCTGTCCAATGTAGTCGTACGCCTCGTGGACTCGCCATCGAGTGGCACCATACGGCTTGATGTGCGGGAAGAGCTGGAGGAACATATCATATCCTTCCCAAACGCTGCCTCCACCGTTGGCCGAAACATCGATGATCAGCTTCGTCTTGCTCTCTACATGAAGTCAGCGCAACTTCAAGATCGGATACAAGCTGATCTCACCAGTAACTGCACACTCAAGGAAGTCGGTGTTCACTGCACGATACTCATTCCCTCCGCTAAAAGATGCCAGACTCAAGACTGCCACATCGTCGTAGCCTTCGCCGTCAAGGAAGTAGCCTGAATTCCGATTCTCCGAATGGCGGAACACAGGTGTTGGGAATCCAGGGGCGGGCATTGTCGTAGTGGAAGTGGAAGTGGTCGTGGTTGCTGCTGCTGTTGTGGTTGTTGGCGAGGTAGAACTAGTCGCGAGCTGATCCGCTGGCTTTGGAAGCTCTGGCGGAATGAAGAGCTCTTTGTAGAGATCTGGACCACTTGTGATGTTTTCAAAGGATGCCGAGACTCGAGCGAAGTTCTCGTACGTCGATGACGAGCAATTTGCGAATGTCAGCGTCGTGTTTGCCCCGGGGTAGACGAGTGATCCATTCCCACCGCCACTGAACATGCCTTTGCCATATCCACGGCGACCTAGTGAGACTTGTGGAAGCAAGTAGAAGAGACTGTTCCATAGCGCGTCTGGATCCTGGACGCTCCCGTTTTGAGCCAACTCGAGCAGAAACTCGGTGCTATTGCGCCCATCGATAAGTGTCAGTGGACTCGGTGTATAGCTTGCGTTGCCGACTACCGTATTGTAGATATCGTAGTACAGATACACCTCGGGAATGCTGGTGCCATCCAACGACACGGAGACCAGTGATGTACGCCGGCCCCACAAGAACACACCTTCCACGCTGTCTGGATAGACGCAGAAATCGCCAATGTGTGTCTTTTGACGCGTCTCGTACAGATCAAGGCCGAACTGGTATTCATTATCGTAGCTGTCAGTCTTGGCCGTGATGTAGACCCGCTCCCACTCAGCCCGAAAGTCGTAAGGCGCTTGCACCTTCTCAGCATACTCTGCAGGAGGATCTTTAATCTACAGGAAATGTCAGTGTTCAGTCGGGGAATCGTCTCAACCATGACCCTCACCCATTCCAGATTGGTCTGCCAGTCCAGATAGGGACGGATCGAGTCTAGTAACGCAACTGCACGTCGCCAAGTCAGCTTCAACACAAACAGAATCGTTCCATCAAGCTTCACCTGCTGCTGAAGAATTGAATGGAACGCTTGTAATACATTCGTATGCAAGCTGGGCGGAGACTGTTGCCGTTGCGCTGGGACTGGTCTTGATTAAGGATGACTGGAGCTTCCGCACACTGTTGCAAGCATTGTCGACAGAAGCGTAAGAAGTGGACGTCAAGGAACTGGCGGGAGAAGCGATCGTCGGTGGAGCGGTTTTCGTTCTAGTAAGCTTGAGGTCGTGCCACCAGGTGTATTTGGGTGCCGGTGGCGTGTAAACCGCTGGCCTTGCCCTGACAGTTTGATCAGCGAACGTTTGATCAGCGAACCATTTCAGTGATATTGCCCTGCTCGACCCCCACCCTCCGGGCCAGTCTTTCTCCCAGTAGCCATGTTCCCAGCTGTCTTGCCGGGTTTCGATGGCGCCCGCAGTTCTGCCAAAGGACGTTACCGCGATGACCGCGATGATGATGACGATATTGATAAGCTTTTTGGGGTCCCCTGGAGGCTTTGAAGGACGAAAGAACTCAAAACAAAGAGAAAAGATTGGTTACTACTACTTATAACTGGCAGGTGCCCACCATCGACCTTTGCTTGCACCATCCTGGAGTTGCAGCCGTTCCTGGCTCATAGGAATCTGTGCACCTTCACCTTCACACTGCGCTTCGCTCGGGCAGGAAGGCGAAAGGTTCGGCATTCGACATGGCGGGCAATGGATATTCGATCTCGCTCTCGAAGCTGCGGATACGTCACTGCCGGGCTGACCTCAAAGACATACGGGCAGTCACTGTGACCGTGATGAAGTGGGTAGTTGTTGGAGCAACGCAAGTTGACAGAATAAACGCATATAAGGTTTACGCTAATATGGAAGTAGCATAGCCCTCGGAGGGAAGGTCCGTTCGCTTGCGCCCGCCATTGCTGCCGCCTTTTGAAGTTGCTTCGTCTTCTTCCTCCACCACATTCATCCCTACGAACAATGATGAATCAGACACGAAGAGCCTTCGCAGACTACCGTCGCCCAACCCATCCGTGCAAAAAGCGCAACCACGACGTCGACCTCCGCAAGAGGAAAGTGAATAGCTTCCGTCGCTCTTACTCGAACACAAGGATTCCAATTCTTCACCCCTTTCTTGATCACTAGAATTCTGAGGTCACCTAAGGAAAACAACTCCATGTAACACGACTGCGCTTGCGACCTCAGTTGCCCATACGAAGGCCATCGTTCATTGCCATGATACGCGGGAACCGGGTACTGGGGGAGAACTTGTAGACACTTTTCGACTGCATCTGCCTGTGGACCGTGTGACTGCCGTCTGTTACACCATGCATCTTCGCCTGGAAAGACATAGGCATTACACCCGCGCGAAGCAAACTTTTACAAGGAATCTTGTCAGCTTTTGGATCCATTACCACGACCAGGATTGAAATTTGAACCACGAATCCGTTATGCCAATCACCGAAGCAACATGGGTGGCCTTTGTCTTTCAGGCAAGAGGTTACTCGGCAGACACAATCCAGGGACTGGTCCTGGAGAACTAGAAACTGTGTAGTATGATTGAATGGAGGTAAGTCAATGGCTCGCATATTTACACACTGCCATTTGGTCTCTCGAAGAACAAGCAAAATTCGCCACCCACTACGTCAATCTACTCCTTCGACGGCAAATTGGTGATGGACTGCAACATGTAGTTGCCACCAATCGGGTTACCTAAGCCACCACGAGTGGTGTATCCGAGCAAATCGAACGTTGGCCGGACCTGAGCTTGGATAACGTTGGGCTTGTATCCAGCAGGTTCGCGGTAGACGAGCCAAGTATAGCGATGCTGTTCGAACGGACTCGCGGGCGTTGGCAGCTCGTAGAAGGTGACAGTGTTGCCGCTGCTGGTGCATGGTTTCACACCCGAGATGTACCAGTGGAGGAAATTGATTCGGACACCTAGGACCGGAGCACCTTGGGGACCTGGGACGTCTGGGTCGACCATGAAGAAAGAGTAGGTGGCATCCGCAGGAGCACCCGGCTCGGCGGTGAATGAGAAGGTGGGCTGCAAAAGGGTGTCTGTGAGATCATCAGCGGGTGTGAGGACTGGTCGCACAAAAGCCGCACATACCGAGAGTTGACGTCTGTGTGCCTAGGTCGACATTCTTCGTTGCGTAAGTGATCGAAAGCTTGACCTTGGGCTGGATTGTGGGAATGAGGGTCGGGACAATGCCAGCAGACGTGAACGAGGCCTGCACTCTGGCTGCCTCAGCCGGAGTGATTCCAGTACCACAAGCCTGACGTTCCTCAACTGGTGCTGAGAAGGCAGCTGGTACGATGCTCACAAGGAGCGAGGCAATCTGACCGAAGCGCATCTTGACAAGGTTGACAGCAGCAGCAGAGGCAAATTCTGAGGACTGGAAAAGCGCTTACAGAGTCGACATATGCTACTCCTCACCTGGTTTTATACACAAGAAACGGACGAAAGGCCGCGACGTCACCGTATCATCCAACGAAAGCAACATCTCCAGCACCACATTCACGTGTCGGTGCGAACGCTCTTGGCCTTCTCCAGCTGTTCACATAAACACCTACGCTTGTGCGCTTAAACAGCGCCACAGTCGACGATGATCCCAAGAGCCTCACGCTAAAGCGAGGACTTGGCCAGTGAGGATCTCCTGGCGATCAAGCGATCGCGAATTGGCAAGCCATTGCCAAGAAGAACGATGATGGAGTGCAGACGCCACGCAGAGAGCCGCGCGAGGTATCTTCTGCGAGACTCCTCTCTGCCATGATGTAGATGCGGCTCGGAGAATTCGTCACGCATTTGTTTGCTTTCATGTCATTGTGACTGACGTTGTCCAAGAGGTGAAGTCCAAATACACATCGCCATCGTTCAAGAAACCACCGCAGACGAAGTGGGTCCCAGACATGTGTGATGGGCATTGGCATTCCGACAACCGGGGCGATGCATCCCGATGTCATCGATGCGATGAGGAGCCTCGTTGCGGGGTTCGTCAGTGATCGACACTGCAAGCAACCTCCAAGACTCGACTTGGGACACCACTCGGAGTTGCTCGCAAACGAAAGAAGCAATGCGCCCTTGTACGTAAATTCATGGATTTGGTGTTGTGATTTAGTGGCTGACATGCGAGTCGGATCCTGACTGACAGTTAGAGTGAGAACGGAGCTAGGCTGAAGAAGGAAGTTGCGAAGGTGCGGAGGTTGAGCCGATGAGCGACAGCTCTTGAGTTTGATTGAAAGAACACCACCCAAATGGGCAGCGTAAAAGCTTCGAATGCGGCAAAAAAGAATCGCATCAGCATACCACTAAATCTCTAATCGGCGCTCTAGTCATTCACAGTGCCCACGGACAAAGACAGCGAGTACGTGTTGGACGTCACCGGTTGGAACCTGCCAAAACGTTACGAAATATGATCGAGACAAACCGAAGCGGAACTACTCTGACACCAGTTCCAGTCCCAGTCCTAACAACCACGAGCAATCGCCGACCCTCTCCAAAACAAAGACATTTCGTATTCAAAAAGCGCCAACAGAAACCCTGCCTCTCCCTCTCAGAGACTCTCTAAACCTCCCCCACACCCCCAAAAACAAATCTCCTCCCCCTCCCCTTGTCAACCCCCCCAACAAACCCTCTGCACCCCCTTCAAAAACACCTCCACCTCCTCCACCTCCCTCCACCCAAACCCCACCACCCTGCGTTCCCTCCTCTCAAAATTCCTCCAAATCGCACGCATACACCACCTCCGTCTCGCCACATACTCCGCCCGCCTCTCCACCCCCACAAACCGCCCCAGCACCTTCCCCTCCCTCTCCGCGCTCTCCGTGAACCGCACCACCTGCCTCCCATCATGGGATTTTATGAGTGTGAAGTCCGGAATGACGAGCGACGGATACCGAATGTATAGGGTATTGATCCGCCTCAGCACAAGGGCGCACAGACACCACGCGCGACGGTGCGAGGGGCCTCGCGTGGGGCTGAGATTACACACGCCCAGCACGAAGTTCTGGCGGAGGAAAAATCGCTCCTGGACTTCCCGTCGGAGCTGTCGACAGGTGTTCGAGAGCGCCGCTGCGGTGTGCAGGCCCGCGTGCGGGTTGCAGGGTCCGAGGTGGCTGTGGGCTGTGCGGCGCGGGGTGCGGTGGTCATTGGCGAGGCAGAGGTAGATTTGTTGGTGGGGTGGGGTGGGGAAGAGGTGCTCGTAGATGAGGTAGCGGAGTTCGAGGGGGAGGAGGAGGAGGAAGGGGAGGGAGCGGGGACGGCGGCGAGGTGGGGCAGGGGAGTGGACACGGCGACGTTTGTGAGACCTCCTGGAATCGTAGTCGTTGTCGTGGTCGGAGTGGAGATCGTGGAATTTCTTCTTGCGGCGGAGGGGCATAATGTTCTCGTTTTTCGCTGGCTAAGAGATAGAAACCAACTTGCTCTCGCTCGGATCAATCAATCGAAGGAATCTGCTCTGTGAATCCCATCGGGCTGCAGGAGGGTCGTCGCCCATATTTCAGGCCAAAAAGTGGTCATCATGTGAGATTTCCTAATGCGGTTAGTGCGGTTTCGCTCTGAGTGAATCAAAGCATCATTCGGTCATGTGGTTGATGTCGACATTACCACCTGCTCGCGTCGCCCGACACTTTTGTTGATCAGGCATGATGTTAGAGCAAGGTATATCCTGTAGCACAACTCCGTCTGCGAAATTTATCGTGAGGGTGTGGAAGAAGAGTTCGACCCGCGGTCATGGTGAGACTGTCCACTTGAATAGAACACCTGATTTTCCATGCGCGAAATATGGGGTATCTCAATAGCAAACACACGCAAACCTCCAACAGCGTCACCAAACCGCCTTCCCTCTCAAATCACCAACCACTGCTCCGTAACCCTCCTCGCAGCCTCCATGTTCCCCGCGACCGCATAGATATTTTGCACCGCGTACGCCGCCTCAGTGGCATAGTCCTCACCATCAACCTCTCCAGTCTCTTCGCCATTTTCCATACTGTCCAACCTCTCCTTGTTCACCTCTTCACTAAGGCCTAGGACTCTCTCATACGCTGGGAGAGCGAGATGCGTTAGCCCCAGCTGATGCCACGTCCTCGCAACGTTGTACTCAGCTTCCTGGAGATGACAGACTTTGCCACTTGCGACACGCAGGTCATAGTAGCGGTAGAGGAACGTGAGGCCTTGGGTGATGCCGAACTGGCGGTTTTCGGTCTGGCGTTTCATCGAGTTCTGAATCCACATGACGGCGATGCTGAGGTTGACGCAGATGTTCTCGGGCTGCAGGGCTAGGGCGCGATAGTAGTATGGAAGGGCGCTGTGTGAGTGGTTGGCCACGGCGACCATGTGCCCGTACATGAGCAGGATTCCTGCGTCGAGCTCGGGCTTTTCGTGAGCGAGTTTCTTCAACCGGTCCGTCAGGGCGTTTTTGTGGATGGACCAGTCGTGTTTGTCGCGGACTTCCTGTGGCATCACCATGAAATCGAACTGCTTGACCATCCGCAGCATAAACTTCTGCGTTGGACCAGCCGAGAACCAGTTGTTGCCGAATGCGAAGCGATTGACGGCCGCCAACAACTGGAACGCCATACCGCCCCGAAAGTTATTCTTGACGACGATTTGACGTGCCAGCCCGATGAGATACTCGCTGTCGTTGAATGTAAATCCACAATACAGGCCCACAGCATAACTGGTCCACTGGATGTTGTCGTCTTGGAAGAATACATTAGCGCCAAACAGAACGTCCTTAACGATTCTGTAGCACCGATCTTGTTCGCCGCTGTTGGCGTATATGATCGCGAGGTCCACGAAAACGTGATGCCACTCGGTGAATGGAATGCTCAGGAAAGCATCTGGTGCACTGGCTGTTGAGCGTCTTGACTCCTTCGTGAACGGTTGGCCAGGGTCTGTGCCGCCCTTGAGTTTGATGGCCTTGTCTCGTTCGGGGAAGAACACCCTCATCGAGGTGAAATCATCCAGCATATTGTTAGCAGCCTCGACCCACTGCTCGATCGTCTCTTCGTCTTTGTCATCCTTCAGTGCATCCCAGTGCATCTTGACAGTATCGTAGTATGCAAGAACCCTCGTCTCTGCATCTTGAATCTCCTGACTGCGTAGCTCCTTTCTCGACGGCACTTTCGGTTTGATTGGCTTCATCAATTTTGGTCTCTTGATGAGAGGCTCATCCACTTGAGCGGCCTCCGGGTCCTCGACATCTCCAACAATGGTCTGCAAGATGCTCTTCTTCCGTCGTCCACCATGCTTGCGCTTCTTCGACGTCTCCGGAGGTGGTGGTGTTGGCTCTGGCACATCCGCTGGGGCAGGAAGCAGAGTGACGGGTGCTGACACAGGTCCTCCGAGATTGAAGTCGGAGAACGTCCCTTTCCCACCAGGCAGAACGTTTGGAACGCCATTGGGTCTCAACTCTCGCAAAGGCACGACCGGCTTCGGTCGGAGAAGCGGGAAAACCTTGGACATATCAGGCCTCACGATTTTGATGGGTGGTGGAAGAACTTTGGCGGATGGAGGTACCATCTGCACACCGGCATCTGTAAGAAGGTCGCGCCGATTGAGGAAGATCAGCTCATTGCAGAGGAAGCGAGCCTTGTCGGTCTCGCCTTTATCTTCGTACAACTTTGCAAGCTTCGCGCATACTTTCGTGTAGCCGTTGCCTTTGCGCAAACGCACCAATTCGTAGACGGCGATGGCATCCTCTGTTCGCTCGAGCGCTTGATAACAGGTGGCGATCGTGATCCAGGTGTTGTCGTCCAAAAGCTCGTCACGATCGTCGTCTTCATCTCCAATCTTGCGGAGGCAGTCGTAGTACTCGGCGGCCTCTTTCATGAAACCAGCCTTTCGCAGGCAAGCAGCTACTTGCTGAAATGGTTCATAGTAGTCTTTGATCCAGTCTCGGTAGCTCAACAGCGACCTAAAGTGCCTGAGCCCCTCTTCGTAGCAGTGCATACCGCATTTGATCCTCAGCAAGCCCAATCTGACCTTGATTTCAATGGGCATACCAGTCCCATATCTGTCCATGTCTCGGCTTGCCCTGCCCATCTGAAATTCACCTACAAAGTTGCGTCGCTCGTTGTTCTCGTCAAACTCGCGATCGTCGTCCTTGAATCTGTCCCAGAATGTCTCTGCTTTGCGACCAAGGAACCATCGCGCTAGACGTTTTGCGGTTGCAATACCCTCCCAAGGCACATTCAGGTCATGGACCACTTCCAGATAGATGTTCAGGTGACTCCATTGATCCAGTGGATCCACTCCAACCTCACCAAACTGCTCTTCATCTCTATACAGGTTAAAGGCATGGTCGTATGCCTCTTTGGCCTTGGCGAGTTCGGATTCGTCTCCCCACGCTGCACACAGCCGAGCGTACTCATGCAGATAGTAGGTCTTCTTGGGCCAGTGCTTCAATATGTTCTTGCAATCCATGCGCGCGCCTCTCGAGTCATTCAACTCCTTGTGGAGCTCAAACTTCTTAGCGCGCACTTCGTGCTCGAGGTTCTTATCGTACTTGAGGGGCGTGTGCAATTTCAATGCCTCCGACAAACAATCAACAGCACTCTTGAGGCGAGCCCATGTTCGATCCTCACCGCCGAGCTCGAGAATACGATCGGATGTCATAGACCAAGCCTCGGGAGTACGAGCAGACTGAGCTCCAACCCACAGCGTGTGAACGCTCAGCTCAAGGTCACCACGATCTTTGAAAATCTCAGACAACAGCACGTGAGCTTGGTAGACCTCAGGATTGGCGCCAACGGCTTGCCGAGCAAAGTCGAGTGCTGCGTCGATATTGCCATCCAGCTTCGCTCTGTTCGCTTTGGCCATGTACGTCCTGAACTCCGGCCCGGGATCCGCTGGCTTCTTCCGTCGTCCTCCTCGTCCACCTCGTCCACCGCGTTGACCCCCCCGACCCCGACCTCGACGAGGCTGTTTGTTGCCGGCTCCCAGATTCTCGTGTTCGGTGTCCTTGAGTAGCTTCTTCCAGCCGCCTCGTCCCCTTCGGCGGCCAGTCGCAGTCCTACCTCCATCCTCTGCTGTGGCCGTGGGGGCGTTGCCCAGAGCTGCAAGATCGGCATTGGCGAACGAGTCATTGTTCAAATCATGCGTGTTGAACTTAGGATCGGTAGCCCGACGACTGCCCTCAATTGCAGCTTGATATGCCGCTCGCGCAGCTGCTCGACCTCCAAGGTCATCATCTACCCACTGGCCCTTGAATAAGGAATAACTGGAGGTGTAATCCGGGTAGCGTGCACCTGGATCGCCATGTCGTACTTGGAACTGCTGCGCCAATCTCTGCACCTCGGTAGCCGGTGCTGCTGGCTGTCCCGTGTTGGCAGGTGGTCGGGGAGCCAAGTGAGGTAGCTCATTTGAAGGTTCTGGATTCATGAAAGCTCGAAAGTCGGTAATATGATGCTCGTTTTCTGTCGATTCGGTTTGGGGCTCGGGAAAGGCGCCATGTGCGCCGAGAAATGATTCATAAGGTGAAGCATAGGAAGAGGGTGCAAAGCCGGAAGTGCCGAGTGACAACGATCCGAGAACGTGTCTTGATGTGCTCAGTTCTGCCGCTAGATATGGATCGCTTGAGCTCCCACTTGGCTCAGGATAATTGACTTGGCCGGCCGAGCCGTTCTGTTGTTGCGATCGCTCCATCTTGTCGCTATCCACCACCGAAGTCCAGACATGAAAGTTTTCGACGCCGCAGAATCATCAGTCCAGTTCTGGCCGCAGCTACTTGGTGTGAGGTGACTAAGGTGGAAGAGAATTAGTTGTTAGACGGCGAGTAGCGAAGCGTGAAGTCGCACATGAAAATGACTCGAAGCTTTGGAGCTTCTTGTGCGAGCTGACTCGCCTGCACGTGATCAAACTTGAAGCTCTATGTTCACCGAGTGAAAGTGAGATACCGATTGTCTTGAACATTGTCTTAATTCTGTACACTATCTTACATTACATAGCTCTCGCACACTTTCTTCTGGAAGGCTGTCTCATTCGCGGCACACTACCATACGCTATGTTCCGACGTCAATGATGTGATGAATTGATTCAGCCATCCACCGCGCTTGTGACAATCTAGCAGCCACAGGCTCTTGCTCTAGACGACTTCAACTGTCTAGGCACTGAGATCAATATCAAGTTGAGGATCTGGTCCCCGCGAGTTGTACTGTCCGAGCCGGACTCGGTACGTAGCAGCCGCAGTCTACGTTGCCGCAGCGCATGAGCTTCCGTACGTGAGCTCTGCAACCATGTTGCTTCAGAGTGGAGTTTCTTTCCCAATTGATCTATCCGTTCCTTCACCTTCCTGTCGTCTGCATGGGTTGCGCTCCCTCTGCGTTCAGTTTCTTGATTGTCTGGTCTCTTTGATATTCCATTACTCTCCTCTTCTTGAAGTATGTCACCTGCGACAGGACATCGTTAGCACTTGTTGCTGGGATCCATCTCCAATCTCCAGCACAATGTATTGCAGCTTCCATCTCTCACGCTCTTGAACCATTGTTATCCCAACTTACCCAACTGCCTTGGCAGACTTTCTCAAACTCTTTCAATTCCGGCGCACACAGTTTCCGTGCCTTTTCATCCTCCTTCACTGAGTCGATGATCCCATGCTGGTCCAAGCATTTGAAGAAGTTGTCTCGTCCTTCCCAGCACTGTGCTCTTGCAGTTCGATCAGGCGCAATGTATCCGCCATCTTTTGAGGGTTCCATCTGAGGCGATTCGGTCTTGTCGGAAGAGAACCAGCCCATGTTGGCGAGCTTGTCGTTAAAGATGTGGACGAACAGACCGGCAATTGAGCGCGCTAGGATTGGATATCGTGTGGTGTTCTCTCCACGGGTCGAGGGTCGAAAGGAACAATCCCGCAACGGTCGATCGCTGATGAAGGGGCGTGTCGCAGGATGCTGGTTCGAAGTTTCAATGATTCAATGAGCTACACGAATAGGTACGAGGTCGGTCGGCATCCCGAGACTTCCCGACCGATGTGCAATAGTCGTGGAGAGGTTGAACGCTTGGGAACAAGGGGTTGAGATGAAGGGTGAGATTGAAACGCTGGAAGAGAATTTTATCGGTGAAGATATTTCTCTGCACTTACGAATGATGATGTTCTGAACACGTCCTCGTCGTCGACAACAGATCTGGTCGCAATTCCAGGCAGCGGGCGTCTTCACTTCACATCAGACCGCGGCTGGCAGCTGAAGAAGAAGCGGTGCAAACCAGACGAACACACAAGAGGGCAGGGGCAGTCTCTTATTCCATAGCTGCCGTCGCTACCCGACACAGACGGGACCGGCGCACAAGAGGCGCTTATGCATGTGCGATGGCTTCACGGCGCAACCTTGCCCAAGGCACGAGGACGGTCGGGGATCGCTTGTGCTGGGTTGGCGGAATGCCACGTCTGAGGTAGGTCCATGGCCAGATGTGTTGCACGCGATGATGAGCTCACCGGGTGGATAGGACAGAGCTTGCGCAATGGGTACGAGCGAGCGCGTAGCGGTGGGGGCAGTTCGGAGGGGCTGGGATGTCAGAAGGGACGTTTCTTCGGATGAGGTCTTGTCTCATTACTCTGCCTCAGTAGCTCGCTGCGTAATCGCCATGCCATGTGAGCGGAGAGCGTGGTGCCATGGCGGCGGGCGCTCACACAGAGATGACGGGGAAAGAGGTGATTCGAGCGCGGCCAGAGACGATCACAGTCTGATTGCCGCTGGTGGTGCGACACGGGTCGTCGTGCGCGCTCGTTGCTTGCTGGCTGCTGCTGCTCTGCTTGCTTCTCAATGCTGCAGCCCTTTCCTTCTCTCGCCCATGACGCACGGGCCCGCCGCCGCCTAAATTGGCCTTCTGGATCTCGGTTCTTTCCACTAATGTTCTTCTCGGGAATGCAACTCTGTGCGGCGTGTCGCTGCGCGCCCAGTATATCTCTCTGCTGTCTGTATACTCAGTGGCAGCGTTCACGCCCGTTCTGCTGCTTTTCCCTCTGCCATGGACGGGCGGGCAGCAGGCGTTAGTCAGCGGCTGTTAGCGCCGGGCAGGCGAGAGGGCTGCGCGACTCTACTTCTCCTCAACCCAGCAGCGCAGCAGGCAGGCAGTCAGTCAGTCGTTGGCATCCTCGATCGGGAGAGCGGCGCACCTTTCGGCAGCGCAACCATCGGATCAAGGTGAGTGATACTCCATCCCGCAGCCTGCTGATGCCCGGCCCCCCCCCATTCGCCCTCCACACGCGCGCCACCGCTGCCGTCGCTGCTGCTGCTGCGCTTGCTCGACGGTATCGCGCCCGCTGCATCATCACCTGCCTCCCCGCCGCAAGACGCGTTATCGCAGCACCTCAGATCCATCCCTCTGCCCTCCGCGACACCACCGCGCGCACCGCACGTGTCACGAGCCCCCCTCGCTGCCTTTGTTTACTCCCCGCCGCCACACCTCCCTCCGCGCCGCCGCCCTCCATTGGCCTGCCCCCTCGCCTGTGCTATGCCATGAGCTAACCATGCCGTCCCCAGCACACGCATGCCACCATGAACCAAGCATGGCAGAACGGCCAGCCCAACATGTTCCCCGGCCAGCCCTCCCACCTTAACCCGCAGTCCATGTACAACGCCGGCTTCGACGTCTCCCAGTTCACCAACGGCACGCCCTCCCACACCGGCACGCCCCAGCCCGGCCAGCAGTTCGCCAATCCCTCGCAGACCTTCAACCCAGGCTCGGTCGTTCCTGCCAAACGGCCGCACGATGGCATGTCAGGCTCGCCGCAGCAGAACCCCCAACAGTCGCGATCGCAAACACCCTCCCAATACCCCAACTTCAGCCAGCAAGGCCAGTTCCCCAACGCGCCGACTCCATATCAACACCTCCAACAACAGCCTGGCTCGAACAATGCCACCCCTTCGCCGACTATGCAGAACCAGCCATTTCGCCCGCCGGCGCAACAACGAATGAACAACGCGTCCCCGAGCCCTTTCCCCAACCAGCAACAACAACAGCAGCAGGTCAATTTCGGCAATCAGATGTCACCCACTGGCACCCCGCAGCCGGGTAATATGCAGCAGCAGGGCAACATGGGACAGTTTGGTCAGCAGTTTGGTGGAATGAATCCTGCCATGTCAATGGCTGGCATGCCCAGTTCGATGCCAGCGCAGATGAACAACATGGGCAACATGCAACCGAACGCGCAAAGGCAGTACCAATTGAAGCTGATGCAACATCAACAACAATTGCGCGCGAGTGGCATGATGGGACCGCGAGCTGTGGGTGGCCAACCCAACCAGATGAATAACTTTGGTGGTCAGGGTGGCCAACAGCAAGGCGCACAGATGGCTAATGGCCAAGCTGGTAACATGCAAGCCCAGCAAATGGCACAGCTTAAGAAGAGCCAGTTTCTGAAACAATTACACAACCACGCGCAGCAACAAGGCCGACAGTTCAATCCTGCGCCGACAATAGGTGGAAAGCAGGTGGATCTCTACACACTCTGGACTGTTGTCACATCAATAGGCGGCTCCCAGGCCGTCGAACGAAATGGCCAATGGCAAGCGGTTGCCGCGAAAATGGGCTTTTCCCAGCCACAATTTCCCACTGCGCCGGAGGAGATCAAAATGATGCACGCCAGAGATATTGGACAGTACGAGCGACTATGGTTCCAAATGAAGATGCAGCAGAAGCAGGAACAGGCGAGAATGCATGCGCAGCAGATGGCCGGCTTCTCAAGTGGGCAGCAAGGATCTCCCACCAAGACGATGCCAGGACAGCAGAACCAGTTCCCACCTCAAATGCAACAAGGACAGCAGAATCAGCAACAACCACAAAGCACACCAGTCCAGGCCAATGCAACTTTACCTCAGAACGGCACATCGACACCTCAGCAAATGATGGGAGCCGCAGCTGCGATGCATCACCGACGAAACAGTAGTCTGAGGAAGCCTGAACAGATGACGCCGCAAGCAGGATCGCAACCTGGCATCACGGCGTCTCCGCTGGTTAACAAACAGCCAAGACCGCCCTCTGCCAAGCAGGAAGCTCCTGGTCCTGTGATGAAGAGTGATGAGCCGCAAAGTACGAACTACGTGCCTCACGCCCGATCAATTGAAGCCGATGGTGGATACGATATTCCTGCTCTGTACGATTTGGGGTCGCAAATATCTCGGGCGATTCCCAACCACCCGAGCGTGGACGAGATGGGCGTGATCGATACCAAAGCCATCACATTAAGTCTTGCTTCGGGTATCCATGCGGAAGTGCGGTATGCGCTGGATACGCTAGTCATCATCTCGCACGACACACGAGTTGCGTTGAATCTGAACAATTGCGAAGATCTGCTGGATGTGATCGTGGACTGTGCCGACGACCAGGCTGAAACACTATCCGACGATGCAGTGGAAGTCTCAGACGCATTGGATCTGCCGACGTATGAAGATGTGATGCGCTCCGCCAAATTGGAAGCCGACACTTTGCAAGACGTGCCTGAATTCGGGACACATGCGTACGATCTCGATCGAGCGGCAGACAAGGTCATTGCCGTAACGACGATACTTCGCAACTTCTCTTTCTACGAATTCAACCACCAATTGCTCACCTCAGCGGGTGTGATCAAATGGCTCAGCAACACAATACGGCTCCTCGGCACGCGAAACATGCTCCTCAGGACGTATTACAACACCCAGGACTTCTACAAGGACATTATCATTTTCCTATCAAATGTGACGCAGAGCCTGGAGCTAGCGTCACGGGATGACGCTCTCCACATACTCCACTTCTTGCTGTCTTTTGCACCGCAACCGGCTCCTTCATATTCTGAGAGCGGCGGAAAGGTGCGGATTCCAAGTTTTGTGCCTTCAAACCACAAATACCTCCCTCCAGCCATTGACTGTCTTGCCAAGCTTCTCGCGCGTCAGGATCCGAATCGCCAACTCTACAAGAGTATATTTACAGCCTCGAGCTCGTCATTCGCCGTGTCAGAGTCGCCACTTGATTTGCTAACCCGAGCTTTCGCCCTTGCGATTTCTGTGCTTCCAGATCGAACGAAAGGATCACTGGGAAACACGACTCAGCTGCGGATTGTGGAAGCCCGTAAGGCATATCTGACCCAAGGTATGCTGGCAGCTGACATCTTGACAACACTCGCACCGAGCAATGATACCAAGCTTGCACGGGCTTGGATTGAGAGTGAAGATGGATGGGCTGTTGGTCTTCTCAACCTGGCTGCACTCCTTTCTGTCGACCGCAACCAGACCACTGGCCAAAAAGGGCGTGAAATCGGCATGGACACCGAAAGCTTCAAGCTCATCACCTATCGAGCTCTAACAATGATGAAGCGTCTTGCGGAGAAAGCCGGCAAGGGGAGCGTCCAGAATCTCCAGCAGGCTCTGACAGCAAACGGCACGATCAACGGCGAGACGAATGGTGTACATCACAACAACGACGACGACACTGATCCGCTTCACGGCCAGCCAAAATGGGAGGGCATTCCTCAGGGGCACGCGATTCTAGGAGCACTGATGATGCCAAACACCGACAAGGTGGCTTTAGGGCTTTTGTGTGGATTGCATGAGATGGCGATGCAGACGTCCTAGAAGGGATCTGCCAGTAGCGTTGGGTAGCTGCTGCATTGTATGATGGGCAAAACTTTTTGACGATACCGCGCGAACAGCGCAGGAAGGATAGACTCAAATTCGGGATGAAAACACATGTGCATGTATGGAGCAAAAAGGGAAATGAAGCCGAAGTCGCACACGAGGCCAGACTCGAGCTTGTGTTGTGTTGTTTTGTTGTTGTGTGTGTGATATGAAAGAAAGCAGACGTGAGACCTTGTACAGCATTACTCAGTAACACCTTTCCCAGTCCAGTCCAGTCCATCCCATTCCCATCGCCTTCCCTTCTCCAGTATTCATACATCATCGCAAGAGGGAGAAAGCATCGTCGTCGACTTCATCGCGGAGACCGAGAACAACTCCTTCTCCACCATTCAGACCAAATCCCCATCATCGCTCTCCTCGGCCTCCTTCTCCACCTTGACAACCCCATTCGTCTTGCCATTTGTCTTGCTCTTCTTACTCGGACTCGCACGCATCTCCTCCTCGTCATCGTCATGGTCCTCCCCATTCATCTCCGCAGCGGCCTTTTTCCCCACCGACGCCCGACCGCGCTTCGCGCCTGGCGTGCTGCGTGGCGTGGATGTGGACTTCTTGATTGGGGAGGTGCTAGATATTGTATATGTTAGTATGATGGTTAGGTGAGGGTGGGGGTTGTGAGGGTTGGAGTTGGGTTGGAGTTGGAACTTACGCCGTGCCATTGTCGAGCGCGCCATACTCCTCCTTCAACTTCTTCTTGGTCACGCGCATGAGTTCGCGGGCGGAGTTGACGCTGGCGAGGTTGGCGACGGTGGCGAATTTGGCGTAGTCGATCTTTGTATTTTTTTTCACCTCTCGGTTAGTAGGCTGAAGATGGGTGTTTTAGAAGTGGTGAGGGGATGGGTTTACCTTTGGCTCTGTCTCGAAGCACTGCCAGGCGAGGGCGAGGTATTCCATTTGCTTTTGGGAGAGGGGCATGGTGGCGATTTGGGTTTGGTCGTTGGTAGTTTTGGTTGGTCTGGTGATGAGGGTGTTAGTTTTTCGGGCCTGTTGTTTGGGTGTTGTGGAGGAGTTGGAGGGTTCTAGAGTGTAGGGCGTGAGGTTAAGGTAGGAGGTGCTTATGAAGATTTGGATGAGGGGGGGATGTAATGTGATCTGGAGGAGGGCGATTGGATTGAGGGAGGTGGTGGACGACTTACTGTGTGTTGTTTTTGTGTGGTCGGATGATTTAGAAGTTGTCCTTCTTGTCTTAAGAGAGTAGACAGACAGACCAACAAGTGAAGCGCAACCTCCAACAAAAAGTCACAAGCCAAAACAAAGTGAACAGCATACAAACAGAGCACAAGTGAAGTCCAGAAGACCTACAAGCAGCAGCCAAAGCCTGTCGAATTTATACGCTCTAAATCCTACCAAATTCTTCTACAATCTTCGACAGCTATTGGTTGTTACTTGCTGTGATGGAGTTGTGAAACTTTACGAGTCTCCACGATGTTGTCGTGGAAGTTAGGGAGGAGTTGACGTTGGCTTTCACGGGCTTGGCGTGTGAAGTTGGGAGGTGCAGGGATTGGGATAACGCTTGATGACTGGTATCCATGCTGCTGATTTGGGCGGTTAAAATTCGTTGGATGCGGTGGCGTCGTGGTTATTGTACGTTGGATTAGATGGATCGGATGTTTGAAGGGTGGAAGAACGAGTTGTTGCTATTCGACTTGCAGGCATCATCTCTGACCTCACCTTCTAACGCACCCTTCACATCTAGGGTCAATCCATCAAAATGCTTTCAATCGCCATAACGACTGTCTAGTTACACAAGTACCTCGTGACCTGGAAGGAGTATTCAGCTTTTTCCACTGCCGTGGTCTACACCTCCCCGCACCAGGTCCACAACACCTGAAGATTGCGTCCTTGTCGTGAGAGAAAGCAACATGTGGCAAACACTTCGAGCGAGAAATCAAAATACTTCTTTATTCCTCTTGCTGGTCGCCCTCTCCCCGCCAGTGGACGCCGCGATGACCGAAAATCCATCAGAAGCATCATCTCCCCCGAAGTTGATCTTCCGTGATGCTATGCGTTCGACTAACCGATCATCTCTACTCGGGATAGAGCAGTACTTTTGATGGCGTTTTGGAGTAGGATCTCGGAGTTGCAGGCGATACCCAAGAAAGACAGCGGTGGCGACCGTGACGCCCATGACGAGAAGCAAGAGGTACATGATCGTGTTGGCTCTTCGAGGCGATCTGGAGATGTACGTGAATGAACAGAGATGATGGAGTCTCCGCACGGGTTCTTCACATGTTCCTGTTTTCCATCGAAGTCCATCACCAGCCTATCTATGCTGCTCTTCGTATCGTCGAGTGAAGAATTCTAACGTTGCGAGCGTTGAGTTCTAACTGGAAGGAAATGTCCTCGAGGAAACATACCAGAATACCGACCTAGCCTCACAGTTTCGATGAACGAACGGTTGTATTCGTGGCCGTCTTCGGACTCTGCGGCTCATTAGGATCATTGGGGGATATCCACGGGCCTTCAACAATAGAAAGCATCTGTGTGCGGGCGAAGAGATTTACGAGGCAGAAGAAGACCTGCAAACAAGAGCTTTGTCCACATCATCTAGACTTGCGAGGTAGCCATCTCACTACTGCCACTACATGTCAACGAAGGTATCGGATCTAATGTCTTTCGATGGAGCACAAGACACGGCGACTCCTGTCAACGTTACTGACTGCTCGTACTGTCAGATGTTCGCAGTAATCCAGCCGCTCAGTCCCCCAAAGCCAGCGCACATCGCAGCTAATCGAAACTTTTTGCAGTACTACCCGGAGCTACTACAGCGGCAGTACCACTCTGCAGATATCGAAGTAGTAGGTGGTCGAAATGTACAACGGCTGACAGTGTGACCATCGCTGGGGTGAAAATTGCGCCTTGTCAGGATGGCCGGCCGTTTCAAAATAATGAGTGTGTTGTCGCTCAATGCACTCACTCACAAAGGACGGTGAGCACAGATTGCATACATTACGAAGAGCGAGAAGATATAAGGAGAATGTGGGTCGAGCATTCTGCAGTTTCAGTCAATGCTGGAGAGGTAAAGACTTCGCCTTGGAACATATTCGTTCATTCTGGCATCGATGCCCTCGCGAAGACGCAACTCCAGCATCGGGCCTGCTCCAGAATCCAATACTCGAACACCAGACCGAGTCCTTTCCACACACATTGAAGAAGACATGCTGACTGGCGCGAGCGATATTGGCTATGCGAGTAATATCAGCATCGGGCGTACCATGCGACCAACTCCAGAGGTAACTCACAGATGTCATTGTTACGTATCCCAGATCACACCCCATTTCTTTCCTCCCCCGCCTCTCCGTCTTGTCGGTAACTCCAAGCCTCCATACGCATCACTGAATACCAAGTCAAACCCAAACCCCTCCATTGTCCTCGACTGTGGTGTTCGGGTCGGCAGGGTTGAAGTTGACATCGAACAGACCATCCACGTAAGGAAGATCACGAAGGGGTTCTTTGGACGCTTTGGCTTCTTCGCAGTGTCCTCTTTCTCCATCGTTGAGCGCGGGGTCTTGCTCGCGCTCGTCGCACGGAAGCGAGAGTGAAGACATCCCGGCGCCCATTGTCCTCGACTACAGTGTCCACACGGCTTGTGGAGTTGACGTCGAACAGACCGACGGGATCGAAGGCGACGTCGCACGGAATCTCGGCGCCAGGCTGCTGCAGGCCGGTGGCGACCTGCGTAGAAAGGGGGAGCTCAGCATCACGCACCGCCGCCCGGACGGTGGTGGCTCCCGTACCACAAGTCGAGATTGCATAGAGTGAAGTGAAGTGATGCCGCCGAGGAGACGAGCTCTCAGCTCATGTTCTTCCTCCTCCCCAACCTTTCTGAGGTCCAAGAGAGTCATCACGACTTGCACGATTGACTCGAATTACTCGATCGCCGCCGTTGTAGGGGAGCAGGATCACCTCTGGGACGCCAATGTGCTGCAGTATTGCCGCAATCTTCTCTATCTGGATGCTTGACTTGGCGATTCGAGGTTTGGTGAGCTCGTCTGGTGAGGTTGTCTGAGGCGAAGGTGACACCGGTGGGTAATCTGTCTCGCAGGACGACCCCGAAGAAGCGCATCTGGTCTGCTTTTGGGAGAGGTCGACAGGGAGGGCGGTTGGCAGAGGCGAGTGAATGAGGTCGACGAGATGTTTCTCGAGGAGCGGCAGAGGTTGGTGTTATTGTTGACATGCCATCAACGGCTTGATCATTCTAAAGAGTACAGCAGGAGACTCGCTTTCGAAAACCTGTCTCCCCAGACGGTGCTTGTGGTCGAGATTTCATTTGGAAGGGCGACGACATTCTGGTTGGCTCACTGGCTTTGTCCGTCAGTTGAGATTCACATGAAGCTGAGTTCTAGTCACGTACCTGTCGCTCGCTCTGACCTCGCTGGCATGAGCATATGCCGCAGCATACCATCTCGTCCAGACAGAGCGGCGTCTTTGGCATGGACACCGATGTCAGTCGTCACTTCCGACAATGCTGGAGGCAGGCGAGTTGAACGCCTGATAGCAGATTTCGTGGTTGATACGACCTTCTGACAAGAACGTTGTTGTTGTAACTGAGTCCGGTTGCTACCAGGTCAAAAAGACACAGGTCGTGTCATGTGCGCTGTTCATCAGGCAGTCACGGCCCAGGCCGTCACGTTGGCTCTCCATCGCTCTCGCCTTTCTTGCCTTCACATCACGACTGAAGTCATGCAACGGACAAACCTCGCGTCATCGCAGCACGTGAATACCAACGACCATAGTCCATGGACATTCGCATGAGACCCATGGTAAATTTCGTCTGAACCTCGACCTCAACCCACCAAAACCACACACCACCCATGATTCCACGTCACAAATGCCGATATGTCCGCTCGCCAGCATTCCTCCCTGCAGTACTTGCACACCAAGTTCCGCATATCGGTCTCCACGACTCGTGCGAAATGCACGCGTGGCAATCCCTTTGGTCCCCGGTGCTCCTCCACGGATTCGCGCCGTCGGCGTGCGTCTGTACATCCTCTTTCCGTGACACTTTTTCGAGAACAAAAGATAAATAGCTCACCAGCGGGACGCATCGGCAGGTACGTTCGTTCGCGGTGCTAGTGGAGTGAAGTTGGAAACGGAGCCAAACCGGACTCGAAGAAACGAAAAAACGAAAATCGACTTACGCAATGTCGTTTCCGTCTTTGGGAAGTGTCAATCATCAAAGCTTTCTGGACAATAACCCCAATGAGGGCTTTGACGATGATGGAATGAACCCACGGAAGGAAGCACTCCGCGGCATCCAGCAACGCGTGCCGTGGGATTCTGGATTCCTTTGCCGTGTGCTATTAGGCTGTCCACAGAGAACAAGGATTCCGCGAGGGATCAATTGGAATAGACGTGCGTCTTTGTTTCCACGTACCTCTTCTGTAGGATTTGTTGATACCACTCGTTCCTCTGACATCGTACTCGTTGTCGTCGTTGTCGTCGTTGTCGTCGTCGTCGTCGTCGTCGTCGAACTTTGACAGACCACGGCACGAAGCTGCTGCCTAAGCAGAATCTCACGCCCTTGCAACGAAGGTACGAATACGTCGTGGAAACTGCATCGTGGCATTCTCTGACACTGGGAGGTCCGTTCCTGTATGGCGTATGCTGTTTTACCATCACCACGGTGAATCGCAGTGCTGTATCGCCGGAGTGAATCGGGCATTCGGCTTTCCCGATTCTAGTAACACGCGATGATTTGTAACGAACGGGAACGATGCATGGTTGGTCCTTTTCTCTTCGATGCAGAGCGGGCTTTGCGCTGGTCGGGGCGACATCTCGAGGGTTCGGCCGAGATCCTGTTGCTTGCTGTATAAGAGTAATCGTGCTTGGTGATGACCAGGCTGCGATCTGATTTTGAATTCATGTAGCGGCCGTGTTGGCGTGCGTCTTTGCCATGCGCCGCGGTGCCGGCTTGCAGGTAGGGTATGAACTCTGTTGTCTTCTTCAGCATCCGCATTCGGATTGGATGTTCTGTTCTCATCGTTGGCAAAGCAGGACTTGTCCTCTATCAGACCTGAAGTGGATGTCAAGGTTAGTGTAGATGCAGAATAGGCGAGGTGGTTAGCCGTAAAGCCTACCCATAGGCTATGGTCTGTTCTGCCTAGTCGCGACCACTGGCGGGAATAGCGCGACCACATGGGCTGGCGTTCTGGCTACGCGGCCGACAGATGGTCTCGGTCAAGTTCCATGCCATTTGAGCCTGATGACTTGATACTCGGATGGCTGATTCATGCTGTCGTTGCGCTTGTAATGGTCTGAATGATGTGGGACAAGCGGAAAGTTGTTCTTCGCTCGGCACCTTAGCGGCGTGTCGAGGAGAGTCCGTCTCTTTTCGCTGCCCGATGGACTTGACCGGGGCGTACTCGTAGCAGTAATGGCATAGACGCAAGCGGTGTGAGGAGTGGTTGGTAATCTTCGATTCCGTTTGTGGCAATTGTTTGCAAGCACTACATCGTTAACATCGTCCAAGGCAGTCCCAAGGGAAGCGATAATCACGGTACCTCCCATTCCCAAGGGGTTCGTTCATGAAAGAGTCAAGACCATACGATCCGCGGCCAAGACTCCGGCCAGTGAAGGATTCCCAATTCAGGGCTCCGCCTCCAGGTAGGAGGATTGGCCGCGAGGGAAGATGAGGGCAAAGCCGTTCGCACGTTGTGATGAGTGCGCCATGTGTCATCCGTGAACAACACCCCATACCGGCAAGATCGACTCTGTTAAATGCAACCTGCAGTGCCGTAACATCCACGAATCAACCACTTGGATCTCCAGGATCGAGGGATTGCCTTGTTCGTATCCCTCACGCCACATGACAGACCATGCATGATTGCTCCTCTTCTCCTGAACAACCTTCTGCCTAAAGCTGCATGACTGGGCAGTATCGATGCAACGGCAAACCACAGCTGGTAGCCCCTTCATGCAGAACGACATCGTGGTGGGAGAGTTCAGGATAGGCCGACCATATTTCCCGACCCACATGGCTTATATTGGACTCGTCGTGTGCAGTAGCGTTGAGATGTTGGTTCCACGGACCATTGATTGGTATTGGAAGCACGAGAGCTACTTCGCCTCTCAAGTTATGCGACAGCGGGAAGTGACGACGAAGGCTGCTCGTTAGCACTTCTGTCTCGCCCTACAGAGCAGAGCGGCGACATGGCATTTGTTGGTGAGCAGATCGTCTTCGCATGGCCAACCTCCCAGGGAGCTTGACGATGTGATTGGCAATCCCACCACCACAGCCGGGTTTGGTAATACTTCGCTCTCCGTAAACGGTACCGACGACAAGTCGGTGTCTGTCCGACGTGCGCCTCTGCTAAGGCCAGTATCCCTGGAAGGCCATCGTTGTTATTGCAGAACAAGCACATGGGAAGCCTTCAGGAAGCAGCAGCTGTTGCGAGTCGTTCCTTCCCTCCCTGCTCCTTCCTTGCGCAGTGCAGCGTAGGGTACGTGCTGCGGGTGATTATCATAGCACTCGAGTCATTTGCGATGAGAAAGAGGAATCGGATGAGATCCGACCGTCGCGTCTTGAAACGGATTTGATCTGGCGTCTTCATCAGCAGCACGGATTCTTGCCCTATACACTCCTTTTGTCCGCTAATGAATTGACCGTGGACCATCCTTTGGCTTGAGCCTCGTAGGATGACGGTATTTAAGGACAGACATTCTTGCGAGGTGAAGTCGTCAGTAGTGCGGATGGGCCCTACGCTGACCAGTTTGAAGGTCACTGGCTGCATTGGACGTTGGATCTCAGCCACGTGGCAGTGTCCAAACTCCGGCTACCATATCCCCCGGATTGCAGATGGCTGTCAGAGTCGTTTTAGTAAACGTAATAAAGCGAACGGAGACGATGGCTGATGCAACCCCTCGGTATTGAACTTGTCGCCGAGCAAGGCGTTTCGTCGTCCAGAAGCGAAATCTCTCGTCTAAACTGAGTTGAAAGGGGAACGTCGCAGTCGGTCTCAGCAACTACTAAAGCAAGTAAGGGCCATGTTGCGAGGTGAGAGGCCTGAGGTAAGACTGCAGGGCTGCAGATGGCGTTCTCGATTCGAGGACCGCTCCATTGCTACATGTCTCAGCCTCGACTTTGACGCGTGAAAGCGCAGAGTCCAACTTTTGACCTGTTGTGATCGCTGGTGAGGGAGTGGTTTCACCGTGTCAACAAGTATAGCAGTGCCTCAAGAAAGCATCGTCAAAGGGATGGAGATGGTCTCTGATGCTCGTATGTGCATTTATTGATCTGCACGAAGAACGGTATCATCAGCAAGAATGTGTTGAGAACGCCGTTGGATGTCTTGGGTCTGTCGCTTCCTGATCAAAATAGGAGATTGTTGAGAATTGCCGATCTTGCCCAGCCAACCACCGGCACCCACAGTCTAGTCTTACTATTCATGGTAGGGAGCATTTGCACGTCTTGCGGTGCAGTGCGAAGCTTCGTGTGTTTCCCGAAATCGCGAATGGCGCAGGTGTCGCAGTCAATGGTGCTTCACCGGTCTCGAAATACTAGGGCTGCATGCGTTTTACGAGTGATGCCACCGGACTTCACCAATGATCGTGGGGCTGTACGCAGATTCGGATTTAGTTATACGCGTAGCTTTGCGAAGTCCGGAGCGTCGATCAGCAACGTGCGAATGGCAGATGATAGGAGCGCAGCATATCATCTTGTCGGCCATCTTGTCAGTCCTCGTGTCGATATGCAGCCTAGGCCTTGACCTGCTCATCAGTGCTTATGAGGGTTGTCGCCGGCCAACAGTCGAGCGAGGGCTGACAAACGCTGGCGGCAGTAAAGCGAGCCCCTCTTTTATTAGATGTGCAATGTGCACAAGGCTGAAGCACGCATACCTCTTCAGCACACATCCCGACCGGTCAGGACTGGCTACGGTCAGGGCCACCGCTCCGTTGTTTGGAATCTGGCGAGTTTCGTTGATTGGACTGCTGAACTGATATGCGGTCGAGGGCGGTGTATGCAGTCGTACAGCCGAGCGCTCGGCATTTCCTGAGCAAGCCTACCATCCATGCAGATCTCTCGGCAGGGATGCCGCCGGAAGGCGCATCAAGGAATTCAAGATGTGTGGGGACTAATGGCGGTTCGTGGTGCCATGAGCCACGCCGTCGGAAGACTAAACATCCCTGCCACAGAAAGTTCGATTGGAGGAAGCCTCGTGGAAGACGGGAAGGATGCTTCTGAGCTTGTTAGGTCAGCGAGATGTCGTCGAAAGCTAGGTCGTCGTAACGAGCAGACCGCTGAGGTAGGGCTGCACCGACGGGCGTAGCGACTGCTGTATTCGCAGTTCAGAGCCAAGGTCGCCAGCATCTCGCGTTCTGGAGAGCAGCAGCTGGAAAATGGGCTCGTAGAGCGGTATTCAGCCTCAGCAGTGCGGTGGCGGAGGGACCAGTGACAGGCGGTTGACAGGGCTATCCTCATCACGCATGCCTCGCAGCATCGGCTCCTGTGCGTGGGAAGCAAGGGAGCATGAAGCTTCAATCGCACCGCATTCCTTTACCGGTGCAGAAAGCGAGAGGACCCGATCGACGTGTGGCTCGGTTGGTGCCGACATGGTTGGGTGCAGGGCTGTCTGAGAGCAGAAGATGATGAGACAGCAGAACAGAGCTCTGCGGCACTCGGCGAATCGGCGTTAGGTGTCAGCAAGCTGACGGGGGTCGGGGAGGGTCGAGTGGGTGAATAAAGAGCGCCACACACAGTTTTGGTCGAATGGACGAGAGCGAATACGCGCGGCGGGCAGTAGCAGGTGTAGGGCAAGCTCTCGCGTGGCCAAGGGGTGTCACAGTATCACAGTATCAGACGCATCGTGTGTCGACCTGACGTGGTGTGCGACGCGATGATGCTGCGTCTGTGGTAATGAGATAGAGTTGGCCTTGCTCGGACTCGCGGCAGACGGCCGAGGAGCGTGCCCAGCGAGCGAGTGGAGAGCACGGGGAGTGTTTCGTCTCCACTCGTCGCCGGTGCCGTGGCCGTCAATTTCACTCTCTCACTCACCAACGCTCACCGCGCTTGGCATACGGCCATCGCCCGCCGGCCGTCCTGTGTCACGCGGTTTGCTATAGTTAGACGAGGGCTTAGCGCCGATCGCACCAGTTGCCCAAACCGCATGACGCATTTCTGCTCGCCTGGCCAGCGAAATTGCGGTCGTGCTATCAACGGGCCCGAAAAGGCACTGAGGGCTGGCTTTCTGGTGCGCAATTGTGCAATTCTGTGGGTGGTCTGGCTGCTGGGATGGGCACAGCGGAGGGCAGACCGCTGGTGGCGCCCTGGCTGCTGTACAAGCGACCGCCTGCTGCCAGCGACCTGCCACACCGCGGGCAGCCTGACCGGAGAGCCTACAGTAGTCGCTGGCGCGAATGGTGCTATACCGGCACTGTCTTCTGGCCCTAATCGCGCCAGCTGTGCCTTACAGCAGCAGTGGTAGAGACACAGTGACGAATGGCCCCCAGCCAGCACCAGCCGCACCCGTGCCCAGCCAGCATATTCCCGAATCAAAGCGCACCTGGCGGGCCAATCTCCACGCCGCAACACCGCGGGCTGATAGTCCACCCCTCTTCGCACGCGCAGCAGCAGCGTATGTGTTGGTGATACCGGCGCTGAGATGTCGCCATGACGGTGCATGGGCAAGGCCGGGTTCCGCCGTCGTCTGCGTACTCGCTGCGAGAGAGAGGCATACATACTGGGTGTGCGGTGACGGACGGCGTGGCCGCGTACGACGGCAATGTATGTACTCTCGCCGCCGCACAGCTGCACCCGGTACGGACACTTGGAAGCGCGCCGACGGACAGACCCTCATCACTCAGCAGCGGCGCACCGACGCATCGGAGGGGTGCTGGTAGCGCGCGCACAGACAGGCGGACAGACAGGCTTACGAGGGTAGAGGTGCGCAGATGAAAGTGTGCTGGCCACGAGTCTAATCGACTAAGGAGCAGCGGCTCGCGGATACCCTGGAAGGCACGCTGAAAGATGGCGGCCGGGGTGCGCATCCTTGGTGCAAACTAAGCACCACCGCGCTATGCCCTCCCGGGCGGCGGGCTGTTGGTTGCAGGTGTACCTTTATAACTCTCTCTACAGCCCCCAGGGCGCAGGCGAGGGTGCTAAAAACGATCATCAGGCCTCTCTAACGCGGGCCCTAGCACCATGCTTCAGAGCGTCTGCCTCCCGTGTATATCAATTCTCTAATCCCCGGCCATGCCCAGTCGCCTTTAAAGAAGTCCTTCCTTCCGGTGCGCCTGCCTTGATCTGTTGCATACACCTTTGATCATGGACTCACCTCTTCTGCAGTCCGCTGTCCACCAGCCTGCCCGCGTGCGCGCCCACTCCACCTACCACGCCAACAACATCCCCGCCCACGCTGCCGTCGACAAGCACGGTGCCATCCACAAGCGCTCCAACACCGCCGACCGCAATCGATCCATCTCGACGTCGCAGGCCGACCGCCTGTACCGCCTGGCCGCTGAGCAGAACGACCTCGACCAGCCCGACTTCACCCAAGACTCCATTACACCCTCTGCCTTCGGCCTCCACCAGTGGATCACGCCCCAGCACTCGCCCGAACCGCACGGCTTCGCAACAGAGCAATCGATCCATCCCTTCCCGCAGTGGACCGCGCCTACCCCTCCACGATCCGACTCGGGCATCCCCAACGTGCCCATTGACTCCAACGAGGAGCCTGTCACCTGTGCTCCAGACCTGACTTTTGACCAGCCAGCTTCATCGGCGGAAATGAGGTATGTGTGCTGTTTACTAAACGAGGCATTGCTTACGGCGCAACCGCTTACGATCTCGCAGCTCGTTAGGCTTCCTCCTCCCATCGCAATACGGAACAGAACCTTACAGCTCGGAACCGAACAGTGCGTTTCACTCTTCAGCCTCCTTCTCTGCTCCTTCCACTAACATCCTGCAGACTACACGATGGATCAAAACTACATTCCACCCATGCGCATGACGCAACCGACTACCACGGCCGGCACAGCTGCGTATGCACAAACGGCTTCATCAAGCCCAGCTCTCTACCAAAGCCGGGGATCCGAATCGTCTGCCAGCCGACGGCAGTCTGAAATGCCCGCCACGACGCAGGCTGGAGCTCCCTCAGGCCAAAGCTACGATCAGAGCTACCGACGAGTGAGCAACCCGTACGACTCCATGGCTGGCGGCAACTACTCCGTTGCGCCCAGCCAGACGATACCTTCCATCAGCGGTCTCACCCAGTCTCCACTGCCTTCACCACACATGGGTCAAAGTTCTGGTGGGCAGATGATGCCACAATACAACAATGGTGGAGTTTCAAGGTTCGTTCCTTCGCAACCATGGAGCTTGTGAATCCTGCCGCTAACCTAACGCAACGACAGATCACCAAGCATGTACGACTCCAATGTATATGGACAACCTTATACGACTGCGCCTGGCGCAACTCAACTCTACCCCACGAGCCAGAACATGTCATACCCACAACCATACCCCAATGGGATGCCTGTCAACGACGGAATGGCGAAGCAGCCCATCGGCGACTCATCAATACGAGTACTGAACCAGCGACCGAAGCCCCAATGCTGGGAACACGGATGTAACGGCCGACAGTTTTCCACCTTCAGCAACTTGCTACGACACCAGAGAGAAAAGTCAGGAACGGCAGCAAAATCATACTGCCCCAAGTGCGGCGCAGAATTCACCAGAACGACCGCCAGGAACGGACACCTGGCGCACGACAAGTGCACCAAACAACGTCGTCAATCCGACGGCAAGTAACGAACACGACCCTTTTAACAGTGTTGATAGAGACGACATGAAACGTTTTTGATGGCATAATCTTCGAAATGGGAGGGTGCATTTGCTTGTTAGACATGTCTGGAAGACAGGACTGGGGGGGCATGGGCGGGCACAATGACGGCATATCTCACGATACCCTCGCTGGTCGTCTGTTTATTAGATCTGCACGTCACATATTATTATTCGCACGTGGGCGAGCAAGGAAAAGGAAAAGGAAGCGCCGCCGCAGCAGCAGCAGGCAGAAGCGCAGTCCGTTCTGAGTATGAGCGGTGTTGGGAACCAGGGCATGCGAGCACGAATCAGAGACAGCGTTTACCACCTTTGCTCACTCACCCAAGTCCTTGCTTTTTCGCCTATTTCGCAGCACGCACGCGGCGCGGGCAACACAAAGTCAAAATAGCGAGTAAGGGCTGGAATCAGGACGATCTTTTCCCCGAGTCGGGAAAACCACTGGCTTTTGCTTGGGAGCGTAAGAGAGACCCATGCCCATGCCCACTGGACCGGAAACTAAAGAGCGATGACAAAGATCTCAAGGCTTTTGTCGGGCTTCCAGGCGAGCGAGCGTGAGCAGGTGAAGTGCCATGACCCCGGTCGCGAACACGTTTTTCGTTTAACAAATTGATTAATAAATCAACCGCGTCGCGTGCGTGTGGACGACACGATGCGGTATCGAGACTGGCGGAGAGAACAGCGCGGGCCTTTTGCACCCCGCTTGCATTGGTTGCATTTTCAAGCATTCGTCTCGTGGTGATTGGCTGTCGCAGATGCTGAGCAATGAGTTAGTTTTCTCGGTGATGAATGGATGGATGGGCGGAGTTGCCTGGAAAGGCGCAATGCTGCGCGGTCATTTGCTCCGACGACGTTCGATACACTCCGTCCGTGGTCTCGTCTGATGACAGGTTGGTTACGCATGCACACTACCACATCAAGGTGACGGACAGACGCTACTGCCGCGCGCGAGAACGCGAGCCCGGTTGGCAGTGGCAGCGCTGCAGGAACCTTGAATCTGTGCCCCTTCGTTCAACGCCTCTGCTCTGGGAAGTAGCTCCTCCTCCACGTTCCCGGATCTGCAGGATGGGTTGCTTGATTCGATGGATGGGTGGGTGGGTGGATGGTTACATGCGCATGTGTGCTGCTTCGACGGCCGATGGATTTTTTGCTTGGACGGCACGCGTCCTGCCGAGCAACTCGACTGGGGCTGGTTCGCCATGTGCTGCGGTGCGCGGATCAGTAAGAAACGCGGGAGCCACATGTGCCGAGCAACTGCTTTCTCGGCTCCTGCAGTGTGGAATCCTCCCCGTGGAACGTCAAAAAGTGGCATGTACATTTTATCGAATATCTGAGACTCGATCATGGTTTTTCGCCGCGGCGACTCAACCAGGACTTCTGGCCGGAGGCGGGCAGTGTAGTCGAACGCCTCGGACCAACACCGACGGACCGTCGGCGGTGCAGAAGGGCGATAATGTTGGAACACTGTGGGACCCTCTCTCAGCCAGTGCGAGCAAATGGTCGAAAGTGGCATACAATGCGAAGGCAAAGTCGCTGGGCGTAGAGTAGTGTGCGAGCGCCCGGTCCCGAGAGTCCCACTTCGCTCGCCGCGCCGTAAGGCCCCCACACCGGTGAGGCTCATCACCGACCAGGGCAGGGTGTGTGAACGCCCTGGTCCATCTCTTGCGCGGGCAACTTAGGGTTTGGAGATTGATGAATGCCTGATCAGGCGAAATGCGGTGGCCTGAGCCGCGAGATTGGGGTGGAGAAGGTGCGAGGGAGATTCGCCGTGGTGCCGGTACATGGGATTCTGGCTCCAATCATTGATTTGATTGAATTTGATTGACCCATAAGCGGGTCTTCCCGTAGGACGTCCGACGTCACCTGCTGCTGGTGAGTCTGAGCTGGATGACTGAGTGTCACCGGGTGACTACACGCACCAAAGACCAAGAATCATGAGCGCCGTTCCCATCTCGTAGCAGCTGGCAAAGCGTCTCACACACATTCACATCCGACAGACACGCATCCGACAAAACCACCATGTTCACTTCCATGGCTCGAATGTTCCAGATCCACTACACCCACACAAACACTTTGCCTTTAGGGATATCAACACGAATAAAAACGTATCGACGGACAGGTGGCATATGAATGACTCTGAGTCTTTGAGCGAAAAAGGTGGTTTGATAGGCACTTGATCGTTCAAGCGGGTTGGCATATACAACACTCTAGATATCTGAGATCACAGCATCGAGATCGCGAATCGGACATCGTGGATTGTGGACATATCTCCTTGTTGAAGGTCCTACAGACGGGACAACACTGATCCGCACACCTGGAGCATGGCATCGATCTTCACATACGACCCAGATCCTCCTCGGGTGGCTTCGCCATGGCTACAGAGCGCAGATGCCAGCGGTTTGGATCCGGCAGGCCAAGAGATCGATGTTGCTGCGTTATCGCTAAAAGAAGGCGCACAGAACGGCAAGCGAGTTACAAGACTCCAGGCAGAGCCACAAGAAGGACCTGTTGAATACAAGTTGCATTTACTCCTCCGTCCACGCCGGAAGTTCAGGTCCACGAGCACTGGTAGTCACATATCCGGCTCCAAACATTCCAAGTTGTCAAATAACTCAACAACTCGCAGTGCTTCTGACTTCAGCTTCGACGCTGCGCCGGCTTTGGGCACATCGACACCTGCTGCACTTCCGCTTCAGACGAGACAACATCGGCTCGAGCAGCTCACTACGCAACTACTGTGGCGTCTGCAGCAATCCTCGCCACATCATACTTCTTCAGCGACTAATATCATTCTGCCGTCCTTACCAGAAGCTCTTCCTGAACTACAGGCTCCACAGCAACCAGCCAAGCTTCTGCATGGATTGGAAGAAAGCCAGGGCGCATTGTATGAGATTGGCGTTTCTGATGACGGTACTCTTGCTGGGCTGGCAGAGGATGAGATGGCGGAGAGTTTGAACAACCTACGTGCTATGGCGGCGTGCTTGGGATGTACTGTCGAGGTGCTCAGAAGGGAAACTGTTGGTGAATGCGAGTGGTTGGAAGACTCTGTTGTGGCCCGAAAAGAGCGCAAGATCCGTCGATCGGGCAAATTGGTCGTTACTGAGGCTCTCATCAAGCCGTACCTTCAAGTAGGAAGCCCGCAATTGCATGGGACAGATGCAGGAAACGGCAATACGTTGACCGCACTGCCAAGTGCTGCGGAACTTGCACCTGCAACAACTGAGCAGCTACGTATTACATTGACAGGGCCGACCATGTCTGGCAAATCCACTTTACTGGGAACACTGACCACCTCAACGCTTGACAATGGCAGAGGCAAAAGCCGACTAAGCATGCTGAGACATCGGCATGAGATCAATTCAGGAATCACCAGCTCGGTCACTCAAGAACTGCTAGGTTACCAAGACACGAGCGACGGCGATGTTGAAGTTGTCAACTACGCCAATGAGGACATCGCATCATGGATTGACATTCACGCAGCAGCAGCAGGGAGTCGCTTGGTGTTCATCTCAGACTCCGCGGGCCACCCACGTTACAGACGGACTACACTGAGGGGCTTGGTAGGATGGGCACCTCATTGGACACTGCTTTGCATACCTGCGGACGATAGCGAAGATTCTCCTGGAAAGACTGGCGGTACTCATGCATCTCAGCAGTCGCTCGGGACTGCAGTCCCTGAGATGGACCTCACGGGCGCACAATTGGATCTCTGCCTGCGACTTGGTCTTCCACTTGTCGTGGTCATTACTAAGCTCGATCTTGCTTCTCGAAATGGTCTACGGCAGAGTCTGACCAAAGTTCTAGATGCTCTTAAAGCAGCGGGCAAGAAGCCAGCCATCTTGCCGCACAAACCCGGCGGAGTTGCTGAACAAGAGCTGCAATTGGTTCGCACTGCGTTACTTGAGACGGCGTGCAACACATCTGTCCCTCTACTCAACAACACTCGCGAAACAGTGCCCATTGTACTGACCAGCGCTGTTGAGGGAACAGGCATCAGCAATCTACACGCCTTACTGCACGAACTTCCGATTCCAGACACGGAGAACGACGGGCCCGCTCACGAGTCGCTCGCGATCTTCGACATGGAAGACGTGTACAGCAAGCCGGCAGAAGTGGCAGGTGTAATCGTCTCGGGCCATCTTCGCCTAGGGCAAGTGGCTGTTGGAGACACTGTGGTCATTGGGCCATTCTCGTCTCACGATCACCACGAGGACTCTGAAGACTCGGACGAGCGGCCACTGCGAAAGGCAGCTTCACCCTTGCCCACTTCGCGCTCATTCCCCGGCGCACTGCGAGGTTCGCATCTCAATTCGCCGTTCTTTCATTTGCCGAACCAAGAATGGAGGCGCGTGACTGTCACGAGCATCAGGAATTTGAGGCTTCCCGTCCATGCGCTCCATACTGACCAAGTCGGCACTATTGCGATTTCTATGGAGGAAGACAACATTAAAACTTCGCTACTTTCTCGTATCAGGAAAGGCATGGTATTGGCTGCGGTCCAGCCTGTCTCGACACGAACGTTCACCGCCAAGTTTAAGCGGGAAGATCTGGAATCACTCGCTGTTGGAAACCATGTGGTGGTCTACATATCGAGTGTTCGCGCATCCGCAAGAGTGGTATCCGCGAGAGCACCGGATTCCCCAGAAGCCTCGTACCACGACCGTCGACACTCCGACGGCACCGATCCGTTCGCATTTGATGACCTCGATAGCAATCTCGATGGACAGAGCGTCAAAGTGGCTGGTACAGTCACTGCACCGGATTTGCTGGTCACCATGTCCTTCGATTCGTCAAAAGAGTATGTCATGACCGGCGACAAAGTCCTTGTGATGCCCGGTGGTGGACCAGGGTTGTACGGCGGGACTGAAAGGGGTGAGAAAGGCTTAGCAGGGCTCGAGGGCTTCGTTGGAGAAATCACAGAGGTACGCCCGTAAGCATGAGATTCGCTCACAAACCAGGCATGTGTCAACATGCCACTTCTTTCGCAAGGCAAGACATTGGTCAGACTTGACGACGGCGATGCGAGATGAGCACATGCCACGTTTCAACATACGCACACTAGACCCATCTCACCAACTTGAACATCGAAATTGTTGGGTTTCCCACATCTACCTTTCCAACACACATCCCTGTCCATCCATATATGCGCCAAGTGAAACTGGCGCGCGACGTACTGCTCTCGTCAGATCGTGACGAGCGCTGACATGAAAACAAGCGATTACTGCCCTACGAAGCTCGCAAAACTACCAATTGTCGGTTTGGTGCCTCGCACTTCGGTAACAATCCGATCCACCCTACTTCACCACGATCCCAGAAGGATTCTCGCGTCGCACACAGCTCCAGATTATGGAGCAACAGGCGCTGGCCAAGCTCGCTCCTTCGACTCTTTCACCAGAACAGGTAACGGCTCTGCTCCGCCTATAGGGCTGGTGATACGAACTGACCTTTTTTCCATCTGATGATTGAGGCGTCGAACCAACCAACACCCGTCCGGGTTGTCATTTCATTTCCTCAAAATCTCACTGCATGCATGCACGCACGCACGCGAGTTTTCTCGTTTGTCGGCATACCATTCCAGGAAGGACAAGACTACCACAATCAGCGTTCGTTTGCCCTCTGCTGACTACTACTACATAGCTGACGGCGACTCGCATGCTTTCCCGCATACAAGCAAGCGGCGCCGCAAAAAGCGCTGCCGTTCGTCTGCGCGCTCGCTCGCTCCGCGCGCACGCCACTGATTCGAGACGATTGAACGAAGCGGCATCCACTCTCGGGGTAGGGTAACTTCATGCCAAGCGTCGTCATCAGGACAGAAAATGTGGTGGTCTGGTACCGGAACGCCGTTGTTGGTACGCCGTGCGTTGGACTCGGACAGATTCCGAAAAGTTCTTTTCCGTGTGTTTGCGTTTTTCGGAGATTCCGTGCTGTAAAAGTCAAGATCGAGACAGAGCAGGAGGAGGAAGAGGAATACCACGTTTTCCAGGAGCCAGGCCTTGTCTCGCCTACCGCGTGCGACAGATGGGCGCAAATGCTCCTCCCCGAACGCTCGAGCCACGCCGTGAAAATCCTTCGCGACATCAAACAACAAGACCGCACCGCACGTCTTGTTGCTGTGGCCCGAACGCGGGTGAGACGACGATCTCGCTTCTCGGCCGAGCAGAGCAAGCAATCCGTCGAAGCCGCAAAGCCGATACATAGCAGCCCACCAGACCTTGTTGGGAAAAAAGGCGAAGGTGCCACAAGATTAAACATCTGCCAACAACGTGGAGGGGCCGATCCTCCCGACTGACTGCGCCATCCACTCCGCGGCGTGTCTGTGTGCCGCACAACTCTATCCATCCTTTGCCGCCTAGCCTCAACGAGGCAACTCTTCGTACTTCACGTCTGCGAGCTATTCACCTCGTTTGTACGACCTATACCACGCGTTATCGATCAAGCTCACGCTTCGTACGTCACGAACAAGCGCACATACTGTCGCTGCTGAAGAAGACTCCTCTCTGCGGAAAGAGACCGGAATGAGCTCCAGCCTCCGGCGACCGACACTTGTGTGTTTAGTAATGAAGCTAAGGAACAGTATTTAGAGCTCCATGGATCCATGGGTCCGCGGGCATCAGGACTGCTGACACAGCCGACATCCTCCTTGATAACGTGTAAGACGTGATGGCCAAGACGTGCCAGCCTAGTCACCAGCTGCCACGATAGTTCCGTGCTTCTGAAGAAAGGATGCCTCCGACCGTAATCTTCGGCGACATTCGAGGCCTTGACCTCAAAGACCTCGAACCGGTCTTACACAAACATGGCATCTCGCATTTGGACAGTGCAGCAGTCTATCAAGCAGGTGCCTCCGAAACAAGCCTTGGTGAAGCTCGTATGGGCGAGCGGTTCACCATTGACACCAAGATCCTGTCTAGCCGCGACAGTGATGGGACTTTGACCCCAGAGAAGATCGAAGAAAGCTCGAAGAAGTCTCTGGAGCGCTTGGGCATGAACAAAGTTAACATTCTCTACACTCACGCCCCTGACTTTGCCACTCCGATCGAGCAACAGGCCAAAGCTTTCAATGATGTGCACGAGAAAGGGCGGTTCTCTGAGGTGAGTAACGCGTATATGCGTGGATTGTTACTGCAGTCGGCTTACAGTTGGTAGCTTGGCCTGTGCAATACTCTGCCCGATATGGTGCAGGAATGGCTAGACATTGCAAAGGCAAAAGGCTATATCAAACCAACCTGGTTCCAAGGACAGTACAACCTGGCGGTCCGAAATTATGAGGAAGTCCTGTTCCCATTACTGCGTGCAGAAGGCATTCACTTCGCCGCTTACTCTCCACTCGGGGGAGGGTTTCTCAATGGCAACCTCCGACCAGACAAGACCACTGGGACAAGATTTATATCTCACGCAGCGGCCGCAATGAGTCGAACGTGTATTCTTACACCCCATTTGGAGTAATATCGAAAACATGCTGACACTGTTCGCACAGTCTATGATCGCCCTGCCTTGCACGAATACTACGACAAGATTCTTGACTTGTCTGAGAAGGCAAACCTATCGACCGGTGAGGTCAGCTTGCGTTGGATCGTTCACCACTCGGCCCTTCGAGACGACGATGTTCTCATCCTGGGAGCAAGTAGGATCAGCCAACTGGAACAGTCACTCGATAGTATCAGAAAAGGCCCGCTCGACGGAAAGCTGGCACAAGAGTTGAACTCTTTGTGGACGCCAGAACTGCAAGAAGCCACGCTCGATATCGTAGACTGGCATCCCAAGAAATGAAGAAGATCTTGTGACAAGCTTTCAACGATTGACCCTCGATGTGCAGGGACCGTACGTCTCCAGGACGTTCTCCAAGACATGCGCTTCCAGCCCGACTTCTTCGGCGACTCTGTCCAGCTCGACGCTGCCTTTGAGCCTTTGCTTGTCAATGCCTGCGAGTTTGGCGGCTGCTAACAACATTCGCAGCGCTTCCGGACTGAGATTGTTTGCGACGGTGTCTCTCGCCATTTGACACGCATGCCGCATGTAGATGTCGGAGTGACCATTCCGGCCAATGTCTCTGCCATATCGACTTGTCGAGCTTGTTGCAAAGCAGCGGTTGCTCTGGGGAGTCGGCGGCATTAACGTTTCTCTGCTGTACGTTCTCCGCATGACGATGATTCTTGCAGTACATTGGACTGGCCAAAGAATGAGTGGTTAGGCAGACAGAGCGAGATATGCCGAGCAACGGGCGATGTCGTGAATATCGTCGAGAAGCCCTCGTTAATACTTCATCCATGGACAGCACCCAACCAAGCTGCTTAGATCGAACGAGCCCGTGAATACAACGAACATTGAGCACATTCATGACGTACGCTAACGCAGAATGGCAAAAGGCCCATATGCAGGCCTAATGCAGGGCGAGCCTCATACTTTATTACTTCTCAGCTACACCGGTCCTGCGGTTTTCGAAGACCTCTATTCTCACCGCCGACCTCGAATCACCAAAACAAATGGTCTGCCAAGCATGTCAGAGAGTCCTCCTACGAAAGGGCGAGCTGATACAAGGTACCCGAAGGAAACACGATTCAGCTGTTGTCCACCACAAGAATGTCGAAGGTCTACGAAGAGCAGCGGAGGACGAGAAGTGCTTCATATGTTATGGCGTATGGTCAAAGTTGAGCCCCGCTGCTCGCGAGCTTGCAATATCGCACGACGAGTCACTGCATGATGAGAAGAACAAACGTGCACTCAAACGGCACGCTAGCAGCGGGTGTGTCGAGATCAACGAAGACGACTATGAATGGCAACCGACAAAGACTGCGTTTCTTGTCTTTCGATTTCGTCATTCCATAAGGCATATCGTCAAAGAAGATGGACCTTGGGAACTGGTAATCAGGTTGTCGAAGGCGCTCACAGAGCTCATTGGTGGCGAACGAGTCGTTGACATTTACGACTTGCATCCAGAGAAAGGCTAGTCAAACATTCTTCACACTCGCTCATCACTACTGACTTGCTGGCAACAGGTACAGGGATAATTCCGCGCCTTGACGATATTTCTTCCTCGAGTACCGCCTTCCCGAGTACCAAGGCACTGGCCTCCCGGTGGCTGCAAGAATGTTGTACGAGTCACCGGGCCTGCAATGTCGACCACGATCGCAAGGGCTTCAACCCGAATAGATTACTAGATGTGGGAAGGATACGGGACGAAATGATCCAGCTGACTGACACGACTCCTACGGAGCCTATCACATATGTGACGCTAAGCCACAGATGGGGACAGGTAGACGTGCCACTCTTAACGAAACATACGGAAGCTTCATTCAAGAGCGGCATCGCAATCTGCGACCTGCCCAAGACTTTCCAGCACGCAGTGACGGTCGTTCGAGAGCTGGGGCACCGCTATCTTTGGATCGATTCCTTGTGTATCAGACAAGATCGAGATGACCTCTCCGACTGGCTACACGAGGCATCCCTGATGCATAAGGTCTACGGTCACGGCCACTTCAACATATCTGCAACTGGAGCCATTGACGGATCCGAAGGCCTGTTCAGAGAGCGAGACCATACCGCCAGAGGGTTTGAGAGGGTCTCCTTAAAAGTCGAAGGCTTGAACGGCGGGCCTATCCCATGTATAGCCTTTTATTTCCCCTTCTGGACAGATAACGTGGAAAGGGCACCTTTGAACCTGCGAGGTTGGGTTCTACAAGAGCGGATCCTATCGAAACGGGTGCTCCATTTTGGCAAGACGCAGTTGTTTTGGGAATGCAGAGAACTGCAAGCGGCCGAGACATTCCCCAGCGGGACTTCGTACGATGGCTCTCGCCCGGTAGGGATCAAATGCTTAGAGCCAGATGTCGCCGGTCCGTTGAACAAGACAGCGAACGAGTCTCACCGCGATCCGAGATTCTGGGCTTACGATCTGTGGACGGGAATTGCCACAACATACAGCAGGTGCTCCTTGACCAAATCCGGGGACAAATTTCTCGCAATCATGGGTCTCGCGAAGCACATGAATGGACTCATCAAAGACATGTACGTTGCTGGCATGTGGCGAAAATACCTGGCAAGTGAGCTGGCGTGGAGTGTGTCGCGTCACGGCGGCACAACTCCTTCAACGCCCGATATTTACACTGCGCCGACATGGTCTTGGCTTTCCAGGAATGCCGAAATTCAATGCAGCAAAGTCAAAGACAAGGGCATTCGTCTCAAGGTCAAAGACGTACAGCTCGATTATGCCACCGACGACCCTTGCGGCCCTCTGCTCGGCGGACGCTTGTATCTGGAAGGCATCTTGAGACGGGTCAAGATCCATCGGGACCCCGACCACGAGCGTCTGTTCCCTGTCGCGTGGTCGCTCACTCTACCCGACTGTCCGCCCCTCTCGGAACTTGGATCTTCTGGAGACTTGGTGTACCTCGATCTCGTCCCCGAGGACTTTGAGACGGAGAACAAGAACGACAATCTGTTCTGCATGGAGCTTGTAGATGCTGCCGATTCCTATGCGATGCTCCAGTCACTGCTCCTGAAATGCGAGGATAGAGCAAATGGGATCTTCTCTCGCGTAGGTCTGAGCTACACACACAGCTCGAGGAAGAAGTTGCTCCGTGACCGAAACAGGGTACCGGAGCTGCCGTGCGTGTCGTGGGATGCGAAGCAGAAGTTGCATACCATTTGTGTGATATGAGAAGATCCATACGCCTTGCAAGTAGCCTCTGCAATCACTCTGTCACCGATTTCTAGAGATGGATCGTCCTGCTTCGTGGGACGGATCTCTTCTTCGAATCGATCGGTGCAGATAGCTGTGGCGCGAGAAACCCACTGCTCTTCAGTCCTCTGGGGGAGAAGGTGATGTTGTGCACGATGTGTAGTTGCTTGATGCCGAACCCCACCCAGGGGTTCCTTCCCGACTTTGCCGACAATGCCGACTTCATCTCATCGCATCTTCCCCCTATTCCTTGCATTCACTCCTCAGCACCAGCACACCATTCTCTTCGCTTTGCGATGGTCCAGCCGTCAGGAAAACGTACAAGCGCTCTAAAAATTTCGATACGATCAAGCATCAAGAAAGAATTGTTGTCCTCTCCTTCTTGCGTATATGCCTTTTCAAGCAAGGCATGCTGACCGTTGCCAAGGCACATCTTGGCTCACCAATCGTCAATTGAATCCTACGCCGCTACGGAGAATAAGACGCGAGTAATGTCGATCTCTTCACAGAAGACGCGTCTCGGTGTCGTCAATTGGAGCGTTTATGATGGGTCAGAACTTTGACCTCTCCTGGCCGCATTGGGGTAGCGTACAGACTCCCACTCCGTGCATTTGAGGCCGACTGAACAAACAGTATGGAATTCTGTACATGCTTGATGTCAATCTTCGAGCCTAACACCAGTCATAGCACTATTTCGAGGAAGCGAAAGGGATCCGCCAGTGTCGGGACCAGAATCTACTCACTACGAACCCCTACATCTTGAACCCCGGCGAGTCTGGTGCGGACCACGTGTGAGAGCCATGTTGGATATTCGAGACGCAGCAACCTTATAAAAGGCGACTGCCTCGTGACCTGAGCTTAAACCATGCGAGCGTGTGGAGCACCATTGACCTGGGTTGTTCTGCTATCATCACGATTATGGCCTACAGTCTTTGCGGCAAATGGACTAGACGAAAATTCTTTGATATGGGCCCCGTATCGACCCTCGCTATGCTTTGGTATGCGACCAACAATACCTAACAGTGTACTACTGGGTTTGATGTGGACTGGCACCCAAGATGAGGATCTCTCACCGGAAGCCCTTCGACACGAGTGCAACATGGACGACGAAACACATGGGCCCACTTGGAAGGATTACGATCCTCGCATAGGCGGAACACAATATGTTCAAGATACAACGAACCAACTCGACATCACGACGCATTTTGTACGGCTCCCCTATGGCAACGTGGGCGATTGGGCGGTCCGAGTCAAAGGCGTTCCCAGGAGAGATGCACCGGCTAACCTGGAATCAACAATGGTCGTTTATGCATCCTTGGAGCACAATGCAAAGCATGGCGAGAGCGAGCTATACTGTTCAACGTCAGATGGAAAGGCTGTGAATTGCCATGGCCACAGTCCCGGCCTTGACGAGTTTCAGCTCACGGTGCAGGACACGACTATCAACCTTGGATCGAATGCCGATCGATCATCTTTGCTTCATAGTGTCTTCGCTACTGAAGATCAGGCATGGAATGCAAAGTGTAAGTCACTTTATCGCCAGAGTGCCTGAGTCAAGGTGCTAATTGGGCTCTGCAGCCATCTTCTTGGACGCCGTGCAAGGCAAAAAGGACAGCTCCAATGATGCTCTGCGTGGCAAGGAGAATGTGCACTTTATTGTACGCAGCTACAAAGGTGCTTTTGAAGTAGGAGACTATTCCACCTTAAGCGACACAATACTGACCTTGACAGTTCGACATTGAGTACACGAATAGCACAAGTAGCCGTTCGCACTCATGTAAGTTGGAGTGAAGACTTTGTCGGTCCCACTTGCTAACTTTCATAGCCAACCTGATCACAAGCACGATTAAAACCAGCCATAAACATCACCAGAAACGAATGGCCGACGTCTTCAAGTTCAGTCAGACGTATGAGGGAAGACAGTATCAGGATTTTGCCCAATCTATGGTATCTAACCTCCTGGCTGGCATTGGCTTCTTCCACGGGGATAACATCGTCGACATGTCCCAGGCGCCGGAATACGACGAACAAGGACTCAAATTCTGGCAAACTGCTGCAGATGCTCGGGAAAGGGCCATTCCACATGGACAAGCGCCTGCTTCGCTACTATCCATGACCTCTTCACGGACATCGTCACCTCATGGGATGCTGGGTGATGAGGGCTTTCATCTTCTTGTCCTCATGGATTGGGACATGGACCTGGCTTTGGATATAGTTCGCGGATGGCTCAACCTCATGGACGAAGATGGCTGGATTGCAAGCGACCAAATACTGGGAGCGGAAGCCCGCAGTACAGGCCCATCGGACACGGTGCAATATCCGCACCTGGCCAGCCCTCCGACCATCTTCATGGTTGTGGAAGCCATTGTCGATGTCATCTCTGCAGGAGGGGGTGCTAGCTTGGGAGCATACTCAGCCTCTCTAGAGAACCCTATGGAGGCCAACCACATCATCTCGGAGCTGTACTATCTACTCAAACGTCACTACGCCTGGTTTCGCCGCACTCAGCATGGTGGAAAGGGTCAATACGCGCGAGAAGACGCTGTCGGCTATAGATGGCGTGGCCGGACGCCTGGACAATGCGCTGCCAGCGGCATGGACGACCACCCTCGACCTGAACCACCTCATCCAGGAGAACTCCACGTCGACGCTATAAGCTGGGTAGCCTCCATGGCCAAATCCCTCAAACGCATAGCGCAGTACCTAGGAGACGACATCGAAGTCGCTACCTTCGCCAAACACGAAACAACCCTCATGGAAGACCTCAACACACTGCACTGGTCTCGGATCAACAAAGCCTACTGCGACGCCACCGTCGCCGACGACCAGCACAAACTCATCTGCCACAAAGGCTACGTCTCCCTCATACCCTTCGCCCTAGGCCTCCTAGGAACCAACCACCCGCACCTCCCCTACATCCTGACCATGCTCCAAGACGAGCGCACCCTCTCCAGCCCGCACGGCATCCGCAGCCTAAGCGCCAGCTCCCCTCTCGCCTGCTCCACCAAACACTGCCATTACCGCGGCCCCGTCTCCCTCAACACAAACTACCTCCTCCTCCTGCGCCTCCTCGAACTCTCCCTCTCCCCCGGCCCCCACGCCCAGAAAGCCGCGGAAATCTACGTCCCGCTCCGCCATAATCTCATCAAGACAGTCTTCACCTCGTGGCGAGAGACGGGCACGGCGTGGAAACATTACGATGCGGAGAGCGGGGAGGGCTTGGGCTCGCCGGGATGGACTGGGTGGACGGCGTTGGTGGTGAAGATTATGTGTATGCCGGATTTGAAGAGGGAGCAGAATCCGCCGGATTGGAGGGTGGAGTATGATCGGGAGGAGGATATTGAAGAGAAGAAGGGATCGGGGATGGGGGTAGGGTCGGGGAAGTTTTGGGTCGGGTTTGGGGTGGTGCTTGTCGTGTATTTCTTTCGGAGGAGGTTGATGAGGATGTGGAGGAGAGATAGGGGGTTGCCGACGACTGTGAGTTATACGCGGAGTCAGAGGTGGACGGATTGAGAAGTTGTAGAGTGGGCAAGGCGTCTCGGCGTTCGAATGGAGGTTTCATGCGTACTTTGTTGGATATCTACCTAATGTCAATGCTCGGCTATGCAACCCAATGTTCCATCCATAATCAGTAAGCGGCACATTCCCTTTTCAGCCAGTTCCGGCTGACTTCGTCATCCTTGAAGTACGACGCCGTCTTCTCGAGAACCTCCCGATGGTAATCGTTCAGCCATTGCTTCTCCCTCTCGCTCAACAAGCCGGCGTCGATAAGCTTCCTGCACATCGGCACCATAGTGACGTGCTCGAATCCAAAGTACGGCTTATCGCCAAAGTTGTACTTGGTCTTGACTTCCTTCACCATGATGACATTCTCGATGCGGATACCAAAGTTGCCATCTTCGTAGTAGCCTGGCTCATCGCTGATGACGTTGCCGATCGATAGCGGAACTTCCGAGTACTGAATACGTGTGCCGATGCCGATGGGTCCTTCATGCACGTTGAGGAAGCTGCCAATACCGTGACCAGTGCCGTGGCGGTATTCGAGACCATACTGCCAAAGGTATTGGCGAGCGAGAGTGTCAAGAGCGAAGCCAGATGTCCCTTTGGGGAACACGGCGAGTTCGAGACCGATGTTACCCTTAAGGACGAGGGTGTAGGCTTCACGTTCTTGTTCGGTGGGTTCGCCAAAGTGAAGAGTACGGGTGGTGTCAGTTGTGCCATCAAGGAACTGGGCGCCAGAATCGCAAAGATAGACCTTGTTTGGATCGATGGTTGAGCAGTTTCCTGCTTCGGGCATGTAGTGAATGACGGCGGCATTGGGTCCGGTGGATGAGATGGTTGGAAAGGAGAGACCGACAAACTTGTCATGTCTGCTGCGGATCTGCTCAAGCTTGTCCGCTGCCTGCACTTCATCGAGGGTGGTCTTCTTGTGTACCAATTCGTTCTCGAGCCAAGCAAAGTATTCAGTCAGGGCTGCACCGTCGCGAATGTGACATTGTCGCATGCCCTCAAGTTCGGTCTCGTTCTTGATAGCCTTTGCGTCGCCAACGGGAGATCGCACCTCGTCGACATTCTCCTCGCCTCCAAGTGATCGAGACACTGCCCATGACGCCTTAGTCGAGATCAAGTACTTGCGCTTTGTAGTCGAACCCGTCGAGCCGTTGGTGTTTCCATTCGTCTCTGGCTCCTTGGAAACCATAGCCGTGATGTCCGAGAAGATGCTGTCGTACGGTCGGACAGTGACTCCTTCAAGATGCTGCTTCGCATTCGATGGGAGCTTGGACTCGTCAATGTAGAGCGTGGCGGTGGTCGGTGTGATGATGGAGTACGAGAAGAATACCGGGTTGAACGGGATATCGTTCCCTCTCAGGTTGAATAGCCAGGCAATCTCATCCAGCATAGACACGACAAACCCTGCCGCCTTCTTCTTGTCCAACTCCTTGCGCAACTCCTCCACTTTATCCTGCCACTTCTTGCCGGCATGTTCAAGCTCCAGAACCCGTACAGGCTCGTTCGGCCGTGCTGGCTTCTGCTTGCCCCAGACCTTGTCCACCAGATTCTCTGCTATGGCCACCAGCTCTCTGCCGCCCTTCTTCTTGATCTTCTCGGCCAGCTTCCTGCCTTCTGGCGCAGTGATGGTGGTGGGATCTACACCGACTGTCTTTCCTTCCTCTGCCTGCTCCACCGTCCACTCTTGCCAGGTCGGCACATCTTGAAGTCCCTGCTTGAGCAATGTCCAGTTGTTATCCAGTTGGTGGCTAGCTTGGTTGAAGTAGCGTCCATCTGTAGCCAGAGCAGCCTTGTCGTGGGAGATGACAGCTGTGCCTGCCGAACCTGAGAAACCGCAGATGAACTCTCGTCGAGCGTCGCAGGGAGCTATGTATTCGGAGGAGTGGGCGTCTTCGGAGGGCACAACTAATTCGCAAGTCAGTCAGCGAACATGCACCGGAGCAGTGAGCGTCATACTGTAGATATCTACCTTGTGCAGGGTCATGAGCTCTCGCAGGTGCTTGAGCCGGCTCGAAGTATCGACCTTATCCATTTCGGCGGGCGTGTAGAGTCGTCTGGCAGTTGCAAAGGAGCGAGTCGACAGATTGGCCGGACGCAGGAACCAGCGCGAGACGGTTGCGAGCATGAGTCTCGACACCTTCACTCAATCGTCGAACCACGACATCAAGGTGAGCTTCATTAGGAAGGTGGAACGCTCATGTATAATTCATCACGCGTTGCGTACCTCACATACCCCTCGCTCAATCGCGTTAGACCGTGCTCGAATACACCTCAGGTCATAAATTGTCGCGTGAGTTTCGACTCACACCATTGACTCCTTGCCTCGCAGAGAAAGTCGTCGACAACATCGGGAGTCGGTCGTCATCATGCCTCCCAGAGGCACAGCAGCTGTGCGGCGACTGCTGAACATTACAACACAAGCTCGGTCATATTCGGCGCCAGCAGACCGATCAATACCAGCAGCCAAGCAAAAGTACGTGCCTTCCTCGGGTACTTATCCAAAGGGGTTCCTCGCAGGAAGTGCATTCGCTGGTGTGAAAGCCAGCAATACCAAGTACGATGATCTGGCCCTGGTCGTGTCCGAAGAACCCTGCCCGGCAGCTGCCATCTTCACGAAGAACATCTTCCAGGCTGCTCCTGTAAAGGTCTCCAAATCTTGGCTTGCAAAATCACGGTCAGAAGGCCAGACTTTCAGAGGCGTCGTCGTGAACTCGGGCTGTGCAAATGCAGTGACGGGCAAAGTCGGTCAGGAGCATGCGGAGGCGATGGCTCGTAAGACAGACGAATGCTTCTCAGACGCAGATGAAACTCCAAAAACGCTGGTCATGAGCACTGGTGTCATTGGCCAACGACTTCCAATCGACCGTATCACTGAAGCGATCCCACACTTACATTCAAATCTTGGATCAACTCACGATCACTGGTTGGATGCTGCCAAGGCCATATGTACCACGGACACCTTCCCCAAACTCCTGTCGCGCACATTTACTCTACCCTCCCACCCAGACACGACTTACAGCATTGCCGGAATGACCAAAGGTGCGGGCATGATCCATCCAAACATGGGAACTCTTCTCGGCATCATCTGCACAGATGCAAAGATTGACCCGCGCTCAATGAAGAAACTGCTTGACAAGGCAGCGAGACATTCGTTCAACAGCATCTCCATCGATGGCGATACCAGCACCAATGACACAGTCGCTTTCTTCGCCAATGGCGCAGCTGCACCACCCGGCGCCGACCCAATTGCCCTTGCCACCGTGGACGAACGAGCGAAGGTTTTCGGTCCGCCCAGATTGAATGCAGACACCAAGGCTTTCGCCACAGAACTCAGCAACTTCATGACTGATCTAGCCAAGCTTGTCGTCCGCGATGGCGAAGGTGCCACCAAGTTCGTCACCATTCGCGTGCGGTCAGACGTCGACTACCCAACCGCCAAGCGCGCCGCGGTCAGCATCGCCAGATCCGCGCTGGTCAAGACGGCTTTGTATGGCAAGGACGCTAACTGGGGCCGGATCCTCTGCGCGATCGGGTACGCGCCAGGAATCATGTCCAGCCCCGAACTCCCCGCCGTGGATTTCCCCAAGGTCAAAGACAGCGACTCATTGAAACAAGTCCGGCCTGACTTTACCAGCGTATCGTTCATTCCCGCGGACGGAAGCGAAGAGCTGAAGCTGCTCGTCCGCGGCGAGCCAGAGGAGGTGGACGAGGTGCGCGCCAAGCAGATTCTGGAAATGGAGGACCTGGAAATCCTTGTCCGTCTCGATGACTTCCCGCCACCTAGGGGGGACCTAATTAGGTCCCACGAGGCGGTCATGTATACGTGCGATCTCAGTCACGAGTATGTGACTATCAATGGTGACTATCGAACGTAGGGAAAGTGTTGTTCGGTAGTAGGCAGACGATGATCTTGAAAGCTTGGACGACCTTCAACGATGACCTTTGGAAGCCAAGCTGCTGTTAGAGACAATGCAGCTGGAAGGTAATTGACCATAGATGGAATGGAATAATTGAAAAGAATGATGCACGTCTTTCAGAGGACATGGCCTATCCCATATCCATGCCTAGTCAATGCCCATCCACGACTGCTCCTCTAAAAGCCACCCAAAAATGCCCCTAACCAACGCCATCGCTATGCCATCCGCAAAACGCCCCCTTTGCACGCTTTTCCCTCCAAACGCCAAAAATGCCCAAAACCCACACCCCTCAAAATCTCCCATTTCTACTCCTCATCCACCTCCACCTCCTCCACCCTCCTCGCCCCCCTCGGCGGAAACCTCGTCACAAGCAACGTCAAAAACGCCACCACAGCCAACGCGCCATTCGCAAGAAACGTCAAATTCGGCCTCCCCTCCTCCGCAAACGCACTAAACACTAACCCAAACACCGCCGTCGCCGTCAGCCGCGCCACCATCTCGACGAGGCTGATGGCGCTCAGGGCGTCGGCGCGTTCGCGCTGCGAGCACATTTGCAGGATCGTGCCTTTGGCCGCGGAGCCCGTGCCGGCGGCGAGGGGGAGGACGAAGGCGACGATGTAGAGTTGCCAGCCTTGCGTCGCGAAGGTGGCGAGGGCGGTCAGGATGCCGTCGATGAGGATGCTGTAGCGGGCGTAGAGGAGGTCGAATTGGAAGGATTCTTCTTCGCCTGGGGAGGGTTGGGGGGGTTCGGTGGGTTCGAGGTCGGTTTCGGCTTCGATGGGGCCGGGTTCGATTGTGTTGGGGTCGGTTGGGATGTCGGGGATGGTGGACGTGGAATGTTCGCGGGTGAGTTTGTCGGATTGGGGGAGGCGGCGGCGGCGGTCGAGCCATTTGCGGCCGTTGGTGATGATTGCTGGGAAGGCGAATGTGAGGAAGAGGCCGCGGACGAGGGAGTTCAGGGCGATGAGCCAGCCGTTTTCGGTGGTGCCGAAGTCGAGGACGTCTGTGGCATACATCTGGAGGAGGACGGGAATGTAGCCTGTCGCGAGGAGGGCCAGGAAGGCACCTGCTCCTAGGAGGAGTATGCCGTGTTCGCGCTTCACACGACCGTCCTGGAGAACCCATTTGCGGGGCACGAACATTTTGAGGGGTTCGAAGAAGGCGGATAGAGAGGCGGTCTTTTTGAGTTGTTCGGGTGTGATGTTGTTCGGTAGCCATGGGAGGAACAGCCAGACGTAGAGCGTGGAGATGACGAACAGGCCCAGAGTGACTCTGAAAGGGGCGATTGTGCCAAAGATATCACTTAGCAGTCCTCCAGTAAGATATCCCAACGATGTGCCGAAGAATGCAACCCCTTGAAGCCTCCCTAGAGTTGCGGTTCTCTCAGCTGGTTTTACGATTTCCGTGGCGAACGAGTTCAGTGCAAGCAAATATCCTGCCGGGCCTCCAAAGATGGTAATGGCCTGCGATAGTTGAATAATGATAATGCCCAGACCTCCTCCCGTCTGAACCCCGACATTCTGAACAGCCAGGCGTACAGCAGGCCACAGGACAGAAGTCATCAAGGCCGACTTGATCCCAAAACGTTTGATTGACCATCCCGTGAAAAAGAGGTTGACAACACCGAATAAGGTCGTCCCCGCCCCGAGTAATGCCACGGATTGCGCTGTGCCGGCTTCGATGGTAGGATTTCGACATCGTCCAAGTACATCCCCAGGATCAGGATGTGTTTTGTAGTATTCCTCGCAAGTCATCAATCCGATGACATAGATCAAGGGCACCTGCGTAACACCAAACGACAAAGACACCAGGAACGAAGTGAACAACACCCTCAGTACAGCACCGCTCCACGATTTGGACTTGCCCACCGAATCAGCTTCCCGCTGGTCACTCTCCTTTCGAAGCAGCGGTGTCGTCTCAGTTTCCGATTGCCGAGACTTGATGCTTTCTCGGCTCGTTGAAGGCGACTTTATCGAGTCGCGGTCCTGATCGTGTGCCATGGCGATGGGCGCAAAGCCAAGAAAAGTAGGAGGGCTCCAGTAGGTAAGCAGAAATAGGTAAGAAGAAAGAGTGACTCAGTGCAAAGTTAGGGTGGTAGTGGAGTGTGAAAGTGGTAGTATTAGGTGAAAGCCACGAGCCGATTTCGGCCTAATCATGCAAGCAACGCGGCGAGCTGCATGAGTTGCCCGAGATAGTGTCTTTGTTTCTGCGATGATTGAGGAAGGGCGGCGATGGTACCTTCCTCTTGCTGATAAGTGCGACCAACTGTACCTGTCGGCAGACGGCACGAATTGGGGGTCGTTCTTGTTGGGTCAGTAATACAAGTACAACAATCTGAGCTCATCTTTACTGTACTCGCCGGGCTTCTTCCTCGCGGCGATTCCTGAGCACGTCATTGAGAGCTTCAAAATGTCGCATCCATGGGGCCGGCTTCTCGTCGTCAGCATCAGATCTCACGAGCCGAACTTCATCCTGGCCACCAGCAGTTCCTCAGATCCTATACCGTCGATCGATGCGATTGGCGTGCCCCAAGTAGATATGGGAGCGTGGATGGAAAGGAGAGCATCTTCTTCGACATGTGAGAACTGGTCGCATGCTGACTACAGAACAATCCATGGACGAGGTGTGATGTGAATTGGGTTTGCAGGAGTCGGCTCTTCGTCGTCAAGCAGACCCTGTGCCGTAGAATCTGGCATCGTGGTGCTCGCCGTTTGGACGTTGCAGAGCCATCGACGAAGGGTCCGAGGCAGTTGAGGTAGTGGTGTGTCAAGGTGAGATGGTCCTGTCAATCTCGGTTGTTGTCATGGAAGACGGTGGTCAACGAAGGGCCACCGGCTCTCCCACACTTTCACTCGGCAGTCGTTCGTGGTCGCGTGAGGCTGGGAGTGCGCGTGCACAGTTCGCTGCAGCCAGCACAACCTCCTCGAGCACCTCGCATCTGCATCTCGACCTCTTCCAAATCGTTATAACTGGTCGATTGGGTTCTCCTGGTTGCCATGCGCCCCTAGAAATGTGAATCTGGCTGCACAGAGGCGGCGAGCAAACTTTCGGGGGAGATGTTCGAAGATCCGCAACGCCGCGAACGTGCGCGGGTTGCCATGGATACCACCGCATTGACCTTGAGAGACGTCAAGCCATTGATCGCACCGCAGACGGTCTCGATAGCGGTCACTCGACATCATTCACATCTCCTGGCTCTGCCTCCTTTTCGACGTCGCATGCCCTCGCCGCCCTCTCCTACCTCTTGCCGCGACTGCTATTGATCCCTGAGAATCGTCAAAGTGGCAGTAAACAATCAACAATCATAGCAGTGCGCCTCCGCGGCGAGCGCAGTCGGGATGGCAGATGAATACCAGATGCTCGAGGAGCTTGGCAGTGAGTGCTGACTTTGTATCACTAGACAGACAATGGGCCATTAACACAGATTTCAGGCGGCTCCTTCGGCACCGTCTACCGCGCAATCCACAAACCGACCGGCGATTTCGTTGCGATCAAGCACATCGACCTCGAGGGCAGCGACGATGACATTCGAGAGATTCAGCAAGAGATCTCATTGCTAGCCACCTGCAGCTCCGAGTATGTCACTCGATACCGATCCTCCTTCGTACGCGGCGTCAAGCTCTGGATAGTGATGGAGTACCTTGGCGGCGGCTCATGCCTGGACTTACTGAAGCCATGTCCGAAGGGGATGGAAGAGCGGTATATTGTTATCATTATGAGAGAATTGTTGAGGGGATTGGACTACCTTCACAGCACGGGCAAGATACATCGAGACATCAAGGCTGCCAACATCCTGCTCTCGGAAACTGGACAAGTCAAGATTGCAGACTTTGGCGTTGCAGCTCAGTTGACCAACATCAAGTCGCAACGCCTTACATTCGTGGGCACACCGTTTTGGATGGCACCTGAGGTTATTCAAGAGGCTGGATACGACTTCCGTGCGGACATCTGGAGTCTGGGTATCACGGCCATGGAGATCGCGCTGGGAGAACCACCACGAAGCGACGTTCATCCGATGAAAGTTCTGTTCCTGATCCCGAAAGAGAAGCCACCACGATTGGAGGGTAGTAGATTCAGCAAAGAGTTCAAGGACTTTGTGTCTCTGTGTTTGAACAAGGAGGCGGAGCGGAGGCCAAGTGCAAAGGCTCTGCTGAAGCATGCTTTCATCAAGAAGGCTGGCAAGACTGAAGTGCTGCAAGAGCTTGTGCAGAATGCAAGAGACTTTGAACGCTACGGCATGGCGCGTGAGAGGGACACCCGATACTACGAGGAGACCTTGAAATCGATCAACCAGGCCGCCGATGATGACGAATGGGTGTTCGATACTATCAAGCCGGCAGCAAGCATGCGCTATCCGGGACTTGGCAATGGAACGATCAAGCGACGAAAGCTGGACCGCATACCGTCTGGCGATGCGTCAGATGTGGAGAACACGACAGCAGCCATGGAGCATATGAGCTTGGATGCCGCACCTTTGGCCGGATCTTTACGCACACCAGCAAAGGAAGCAACCACGATCCGAACACCAAAGCCGAGAACTGTTAGTAGTCAACGCAAAGTCTCAGCCGTCACTGCTCGCAAGGTATCAGCGGCAACACCAGCAGGCCGTCGGGTTGCGAGCAGAAATGTATCTGGTGCAACGCCTTCCGCTCGGAGAGTCAGCTCTCAGCAGCCAGCGAAGCAACCACTTGGTCTGGACATGTCATTTGGCAACGGCACATCGACTGTCAGACAGTTCAAACGCGTGAGCTCAGGAAACAGGCCAACGACTCCAATCGATCAGACTGGTACCTCACCACAAGACAGCGTATTCGATAGCGATGCAGAGAACAAGCCACCAACTGAGTCAAGCACGCAACCGCCGGTATCAGCAACCAAGGAGGCAGTTCTGGGCAGACGATGCTTCGCCAAATGCATCGACCCAGCTCTGCAAGAGTCACACGCAGCAGTGGCCGACCGCTCCAAGCGCGAAGCTCTAAGCAACGTCGCCGAAGCGTGGTCCAAATTCGACGAACTCGACCCCGACGGCGAACTGCTCCTGCTGAAGAGCATCATCGACCGCGTCCAAGCCGACCCCAAACTCGCCAGCGTCCTCATGCCCCAACGCGTAGCAAACGCCCAGCTCGCCTCACTCCGCCTGTCGCCCACCAAAAAGGCCGCACACATCACCGAAACCGAGCTCTCAGCCCGCGACATGACACCCCAAACCTCCCCCTCCAAGGCCAGGTACTCCTCCGGATCGATACGCTCCCCGAGCAAAAGCTCCAGCAGCCCCACCAAACTCGTCCTCAACCCGCAGAACCCGCACCTTAAGAAGATGCGCTCCAGCCAGGCGTTGCAGGCCGAGAGGGAGAAGGCGGCTTTGGATGAGAAGGCGCGGCTCGAGGAGAAGATGCCGGGTGCGAAGATGGAGCCCGGGATGGAGCATGTGGGGATGCTGGCGGATGTGTTGTATGGTCGATGGACGGAGGGGTTGAAGGTGCGGTGGCCTATGGCTTAGTGGGCTGATGGTTGATAGATAGGGAAAGAGGAGGCGTTTTCAGGATGGATTCTTTTGATGGACGACGGCTGTGAGTGTGAGGTTTTGGAGGGATTCTTTTTTTTTCAACTTCTTGTACACAAGTTTCTCGGCATCGCATCGCATCGCATTGCATTGCATCCGCCTGGCGACTGGCGGCTCAGCTGGTCTGGTCTGGAGCCAGCCAGCCAGCGAGGAGGCGTTTTGGTTTGTTGTTGCTTCGACACTGTACGATTCTGACGGACTTGGGTTAGCATTGGGAAAGATGGCAATGTTGCACTGTAGGATGGGGGACCCAAGAAAAGCTTGTACATAGAAAGAGAAGCTGGATCACGCACGTCTGGGAACAAATGAAATAGAAAAGAAGTCATTCAACAACTACCGAAATTCCCCCTTCCGTTTACCTTTCCCTTGTGCAAGACCGAGCGTGTTTCACGAGCTAGTTGATTAATTGATTTCCACAGTCCCGTCCGGCACACCCTTCATACTCCTCAACCGCCTCGAGAGGAACCGCATCACCGGCAGCATCTCATCGCGATTACTCGGCATACTGTCTCCCGGACGGCGATAGCGCTTGATCTCGACGTGCTCGAAGACGCGCTTGAGTTTGTCTTCGGAGGAGGATGTCACGGCGGATTGGGAGGCTCCTGCGCAGATGAGGACGGGCGTGGGGAGTTTTGGGGTGAGGGAGGCGGGGGCGCTGGAGGGGAGGCCGGAGCCGATGGAGATGATGCCGCTGAGTTCGCTGGGGGTGTGGGTTGCTTTTGAGGGGTGGTTAGTACGAGATATGTGAGGGTGTTGAAGGGGTGGAAACGAGACGTACCAGCGTAGTTCAAAGCGGCCATGCCCCCCTGCCCGAACCCCAAGATCAACACCTCCCTCTCCCTATACCCGCACTTGCCCACGAGCACATCCTGCACGACGCTCTTCAGGATCTCGTTCGTCTTGTTGAAGCCCGCGTCGGAGTCTAGCCCGCCATTGGTCGAGTCGAAGATGATGTCGTCGCCCCAGTGGAAGCCTTCGAGGTCGAGGAGTGTGGCGGGGCCTTGGAGCGAGAAGCAGCAGGTTTCCGGGAGATTTAGTTGGCCGCCGAGGACGGTGAAGGGGGCGGCGGTGTCGCCGAGGCCGTGGAGGAGGAGAAGGATGTTGGTTGGGGGGTCGTTCTTGGGGGCTGGAGGGCGATGTTAGTGGACTGGTCGTGTAGGTCTACTACTACGGTCTTCGTGATCTCGCTGGAGAGGGAATATCGTCTCTGCGGATTTGACAGAGATCGAGCTCATGATAGAAGTCGTTGATCGACTGTTCATGGCGCATTATTGATGGTTGAACTGTGCGAAGACCAAGCGATGGAGCTCGAGTGAACCACCAAGGTAAATGGACAAGCGAGGACAGCAGGCGCCACAGGAAAGTCTAGAACTGACGTGGCACAATGTTCAGCTTGACGCTGTCCGGAAAGTCATCGGTCTTGGGCAATCGGCCCATATCGGTCCACCGTCCGCCGGAGCTTCGTGTTGATAGCTGCAGGTACAAACGAGCGTGGTGATGAAACTCGAAGCTCCGCTGGCGTATCGCTGCGCTTTTCAATGGGTCGAATGGTTTGCTCGGCTGCTGTGACTGGAAGTGGGATGGCGTTTGCTGCGTTGGATGGGTGAAGTTTGCGTTCTCGTGTGGCTGAGCGGTCAAGAGGCTGTGCATTCGTTTCATGATGCCGAGGGACAGCGGAAGCTTGACGAAGCTTGGGGAGCTTGTCTGGGTCCGATTTGTCGGTTTGCCGCCGATCTCGACGTCAACTGCTCCTATTTTCGAGGCGTCTCCATGCCACCTGGATGGCGATGTGTGCTCCTACTCGTTGGAGCTGCGACAGAATGGCATGGTCTGGTTGCAGATGCCTCCGCCATATGCTCGCCGGAGCCAATTGCCCCCTCAACGCGGCACTTTCAGCGGTTTCAGGTGTGCTTGTGATGTAAGCAGCTAGTTCGTTGTCACGCCTGCATGCATGGTGACAGTCCGGCCTCGTGTGGTGTCAGGTACCTGGTGGGGTTGCGCGTATGATGATGTGAGGGTGAAGGGTCCAGTCCAGCTGTAGCTCCTGATCATGAGTATATATTCCACTGGGCGATCCGCCTGTTTTTCTCCTCCTTCAACAAACCTCTACCACATCCTACACAACACGACCAATCCTTCAATCTTCCAGCCTCCAAACAAGACAGCCAAGATGTTCGGTTTCGGTATGATGCTCTCTTCGAAGGTCCACTGATCGCTCCGCTAACTTCAGGCTCCAGACGAGGCACGCGACAACTACCAGCAGACCTACGAGTCTGACAACAAGGCCGAGTTCTCCCATGAGCTCCTTGCCGGTGGTGCTTCCTTCGCCGCCTTCAAGGTCTTCGAGGATCACCAGAGGAAGGAGGGTAAGTTTCGTTGCCTGACGAATCTTAGAGTATAAACCATTACTGACAATCGTATCTCCAGGCAAGCCAGTCTCCCACCAGTTCGCCAAGGAGCTGCTCGCAGGCTTCGCCGGTGCTGAGGTCGACAGAGTCGCCGAGACCAAGGGCGCCGACTACATCGACCGCGAGCGGGCCAAGCACGAGGCCAAGCGCCGCAGCGAAGAGCTGTATGACCAGCACTATGGAGGTCAAGATCAGTACGATCCCAACCAGGGCCCACCACAGCACATCCAGGACCACTTCGGTGGCTACGACAACAATTACTAGATGTAGTATCATGATGTTCTGAAGAGAGATCATTTGATGATTGACATGAACTAGATATGCTCCGATGGCAATTGGGTTGGAAAGTGATCGAGCAAGGATAGGACACAAGCGAGAAAAGTGTGTTTCTGTCTCAAGGATAGTGATCAAGAAACAAATGAGATGAAGTACTTGCCATGGTTCTTTGCCGCTTCCACTCGCTCTCTCGCTCTTGCTGTCCTGGTAGCTCCGAGTAACCGACGGCAGTACAACTTTGATTCCTTCTCAGTAACAGCAATGCTTGCAATTCTTGCAGGTGAAAGACTTAATAAAACAGCCCATTTCAGAGCCGTAGTTGAGATCAGAAGACGAGCTCATCGACAAGAACGAGTGTAAAGAAAGAAGAGGATTCGCCAAAGAGGCAGCAATCAAAACAAGACTCACGTGCATCCCGCGCTGTCTACTTTCGGGCAAGATCAGCATTGGAGGAGCACTTCCTCAGCTGCCACCAACCAGGCACCCAACGACAACAACAACATGGACCTCCGCCAGTATGTCTGCGCCGCGGGTCAGAGGGCCAAACAGTCGCCTGATATGTTTGGCTTGTCGTGAACGCCGCATCCGCTGTGAGCTGCCTCTTGACGTCGACATCCCGCCCCAGGGCGAGCTCCGCACCGTGCAGATGCCCTGCTACCGATGCCGAAGACTGCGCATCCCCTGCGTCGTCCGCCAGACGACATTGGGCCGCCCGCGTCCCAAGGCCAGTGCAACGAGCCTGACCACCGCGGGTGATCGTCGGAGCCTGACGACAACGGCGGATGGCAATGATGGTGATGATGTTGACGAGTTTCGCAAGGCACTCCTCAGCCTTCCTCTTCGCGTTAAAAAGCAAGCAGTGACGAACACATTCCCGACAACGAGGACTTCTAAGCAAGCCCCTCTTCCGCCACCGCTCCTATACCAACCCCAGTCGAGTGAGACGCTCGTAATTATCCGCGCCGTCGACACGATCCGCTGCGAGCATTGCGAGGAGTCCTGGCCCCGGCACTTGGTCGTCCGCTATGGCCAAAAGCCCGCTCTGGACCTGTCTATCAAGGCCATCATCGCCGCCTGCGCCTACGCCCGCGGTGTGCCCAAGCTGACGCCCGATGACTGCTACAAGGCTCTGGCACGCGCTCTGGCCGCCGTCCAGGCCACCATCAAGCAGTCATCTGGCTCGCCCGACGACGATATGCTGGCGTCGACTGCGCTGCTGGCTCCCTTTGACGGCGTCATCCAGAAGAATGGCGGCATTCCCATGCGTCTCCATATCGAAGGCCTGGCCGCCATATTGGCCGCAAGACCGCCGACGTACCCCGTCACCCAGCTTGCGCGAGACATCGTGAATTTCTATGCTTGCGACGCTGCCGTCATGGCTTGTGTCCAAGGGACCCCCTCGTCGTTTGAAGGCATCGCCCCCGCCTACTACATCACCGACGACCGCAATGGCGACCGCGCGCACCTCCGCGCTCTAGGCGATGAGCTCTTCATCCGACTCCCGCGGCTGGTGGCACTTGTACGCTCGTTACAACTGCAGTCGCCAGTGCAAAACCAGCTGCTATTCGAAGCCCTCGCTCTATCCGAGTCCTTGCTGCAATTGCAAGACGCTGACGCCGAAGCACGACTCGTGAGCACAGCCATGGCCTCGAGCGACTCCGTCCCAGCGCCTTTTCGATTCGCTTCGGACCTGGACTACGAGGCGCTGATGGGATACTGGCAGAGCCGGCTATCTCTCATGCGCTTGGACCAGCGCCTGCACGAATGGCTGGTTATGGACGGTGCTGGGCAGGCCGTGGGTACACCATCTTCTGCGCAAAGCGAGATCATGCGGCTCGTGCAGAATATCCTCCTGACTTGCGAATATGGCACCATGCTACTCTTGCGCAAGCGACGGCGCCTGTTTGCGCATGCCATGGCGGTCGTATGGGAGGTTACGAGGGACACCACCCTTTCTCTTGGAGAAGACTTCTGCAATGATTCTTCTGCTTTCCCTTCGCCTGCCTCTTCATCTTCTTCCTGGTCCGAATTCCTGCTACGCATGGTTAACACGACGCTAGTTAAGAAGCCTCCCCTGACGGCAGAAGACATGGACGTCGCAGCGGAGATCTTTGCCGGCGGCAATCCCCAGGGCAGATTCGCCGAGCAGTATGGATTGTATCAATAGGCTAGCCTACACAAGCAAAACCAGGATCATCAGAAGCGCCACAGCCAACAACCAGGATCTGTCCACAGCGCGGTCTCCTCCACTCGCATAAGGGATCTGGCTCGGCTTCCCCGGTGCACTACTAGTATTGGCCGCCGAGGACGAGGCTGGAAACGGCGACAAAATGTACCCTGTTCCAGGCCGCGAGGAAGGATGACCCGTCGAGCCCTCGACGCACGTCCCATTCGCCCACATCAGTTCATACGCCTTGTTCCAGACGGCCTCCTGGCTCGCGTACATGGCAGGCGTGTAGAAGAAGCGACAGTTGGCGGCTTCGTACACAAACTGCAACGGCGTGCGGGACGAGTCGGCCTCCCGGATGTTATTGCGGAGGTTCAGGCTGGCGTTGAAGCCCGAGGGGATATTGGCCGCGCGCGCCAGCGCTTTGCCTGTGGTTTCAACAAACCAGCCATCCTCGAGCCCTCCATACGTTTGGTTCCAATAGGCTTGCTGACTCGGCGTGCCATCGATATACCCGGCGTACCACCCTGTGACGACAATGTACATGGAGAATTGCTGCGCGCCCTTGGTGCCGCCGACTCCCTGCATTGGACCCGTCTGCCGGCGACCGCCGACGACCACCTGGCGCACGTTCTCTTGAGATTTCACCAGCTCTGTGAATAGCGCACACGCTGAGCTGCATGTGCCGTCCTGCAGGAGCACAATGTCCGCAGGCTGGAACGTCTGGGGTTGTGGGGCTGTGTTGTTGCCGTAGCCGTAGACGTCGGCGGCAGGAAAGGCGGTCGACGCTTCGTCGCTCAAGTTGTACCGCAGCAAGGACGTGAAGTTGCCGTAGCGGCCGTCAACATGCGGGCCGAAGAGGGCATCCCAAGAAGGGAAGGCGGTGTTGTTGGCCGTCAGTTCGAGGTGATAATTGTAGGGGTCTGGAAAGGGAAGATATCAGCATCACGAGCGACATCCAGGCTGGGTCGTATTGGCAAAGACTCACTGTAATAGCCCCGTTCCATCGCCTCGGGTCCCATCGCAGCGCTCTGATTGCGATCAAAGTACCCGCTGACAGATGTCCCAATGTCGTTCAAGAGCGGTATCGCCCGTGCGTTGGTCGTTCCGTACGGGGTCTGTGAGGGGAATCTGCATCGCCCAGCAACAAGTCAGTCGCATGTTTCGATTCGCAACCCACCAACGACTTACAACTGCCGAAACAGATCATAGCACACCGCCACGATTCCCCCGGCGTTGCCTCGAAGATCAATCAGGAGCCTGGTCTTGTTGTTCGCAGCCGCTGTGGCCAGGAACTGGCGCACGACGTTCTCGAATTCAACGACATCGGCAGGACCGAAGTTGGGAACGGTCAGGACGGCGAGGTCGTTGGCTGGTGGCGTGCTGGGGAAGTAGCCAGCGATGCTATTGTCAGAAGCGATGGCGAGTGGCCGCGGATACGTGGGGAGCTGCTTGTCCGCTGGTGGGGTCTCGTTGAGAGGGATTGGGGCGTAGGGAACGCGAGTCGTGACCGGCTTGGTGCTGGACGAGGAAGAGGAAGAGGAAGTGGCGGCGATCCTGGCTTGTAGCTGCGCGAGGTCGAGGGTGGCGTTGCAGAAGAGAGCGTAGAGGTCGGCGCCGCTGGTGATGGACGAGAAGTTTTGCGATGAGGTCGCGACGATGGGCGTCTGCTCGGTCGTGCCGTTGGCGAAGGTAATGGCGGTCGTGTTGCGGTCCGGATAGGTGTAGTTGATTGGGAAGAGGTTCCCGATCTCGGCCGTGCCGTCATGCGCCAGGAGGTTGGGGATATTAGGGAATGAGGCGTCTGTCCACGCCGAAGGGTATTAGCCATCTGGTCCTGCATGTCTCACAGATGCCTTCTACCCTTCAGACTTACTGTACGCCGCGTCCGGATCTTGAAAGACGAATCCCAGTCCGAGCGGCTCGTATGTCGCGATACCGTTGAGGTAGGTCTCGACGTCTTGCCCGTCGATGGATGTGATGGGCGAGGGAGTGTAGTGCGACGCATTGCCAATGAGAGCCGCCTGGTCAGAGACAGCGTAGATGTGCGGCAAGCTGACGCCGTCGGGGGACACAGAAACGATCTGATAGGGATTGCCATCTGGGCCCAGGCGCACAAAGGTGAAGAGGCCGATGAGATCAGGCACGTAGAATAGGTGGGTGTCGTGAGCAGCACGGACGAGGCTGTACACGTCGCTCTGCAAGTCATACTCGGTGGAATAGTAGCTCTGTTGAAAGAAACATCGATCAGTGCTGATGCTGATACGTCTGTCCGTTCAGATGGATACGTACTGTATTCAACCTTGCCACCAACTCATCGAGGCCGCCCAGGATGTCGACGGCTGGGTAGTAGTAGCCTTGCGGCGGGTCCTGGAGGTACGTTATCTCAGCCTGGAAATCGAGCAACGTCCGCAGCCCCTATGCTTAACGATTAGTATAACAGAATGCAAGACTGCGAGACTACAAGGTTGTTCCCTCACCTTAAGCTGCAATGCATCTCCAGTCCGATCCAGAGGGACAGAGCGTAAGCAATCCCTGGCCAGATCGACCGGAAAGTACGATGCATTATTGTTGTAGAGAGCGCTGATGGAAGCGCAGGCGTTCGGGGTGGTGGTGTTGTTGTTAACAGGAGTGGCGGCGACGTGACAATCAGTCACCAGCAGTAGGGCCAGCGCGACTGCTTGTGCGAAGACCATTTTGGGATGTTGAGTCTGTTTGCAAAATCCAGATCTCAAAAACTGCTTTGAACAGCGGCATAGTGTGGCTGCTACCTCATACTGCCATTGCTGTTTTATATATGGTAGCCTCGAGTATTAACTCGAACAGAGTGATGAAATCGTTACTTGCCTACATGAACTTGATTCTTCAGCAGATCTTCGTAGTAGGTTTCGTGCTTCTCTCCAATGAAACGACAGACTCAAGGAGATCTTCATGGCTGGTTTCCTGCTGTGCCATGGGTGGCCAACGAAGGAAGAGGAATTTTGTTGATGATTGTCGGCAGCCTACAGTGCAAACCGATGTCGCGGGCCAGGCTGCGGCGCAGTTGGGTCGTTTCGCGCTCAATCGGGAAGTTGGAGCTGACAATCTCTCAAGACGTCGTTTCGCGCTCGATGAACTTACTGCGCAGCTCTCTCGTTTCGCGCTGATGAGCCGGCTTGAAGTCTCTCGCAAAGTTCTCTCGCAGTGTTCTCTCGCAGTGTCGTTTCGTGCTGTAGGCTGCGGCATTCAATTGTACGCGAAAAGTCCTACGCGGCTCTGCGTGGTTCCAGGTCGCTACTGCGCACGCTGACGCTTGATAGGCCCAAGCTCGTTATGGCCGACGATTGGTTGCAGCTATACGACTTGGAGTTCGAGGTAAATTGCCTCCCGAAAGTCAAGATCTAGCGGATAGAAGGCGTCTGTTTCTTGGTGCGAGGAGAGATGTTGAACTAGTCGAAGGATCAGAGGCTTCAGTCCGTGATTGCCAAGCCGCTAGTGATGCGGGGATAACACCTTGTCACGTGATCGCTGCCTTTGCTTGGTGACACCGTCTCCAAAACAAGATCACTTCGGCTACCAACACCCCTGTCACTGTATGCATTCAGGACATCACTGAAGCTCATATCCTCATTATCACTCACCAATCTCTCAATACCAACCGCGACCAAAGCTCACCGGAACTTTGCCGAAGATATCTCAAGCAGCAATCACTCATTATCCTTGGTCGACATTCAGCGCCTCATCCAACGGTTCTGAGCGTACCGGAGACAGGTTCAATGCCTTCTCCGGCATATCCGACCGAGCTGCCGGCCCAAATTCAGTTCATCTCAAATGAGCGAAGGCAGGTCATTGTCCAACTCGCCCAGCAGGGCAAGAAGGCCGGCACAGTCCTGGATCAGCAGAATGGACCGCACAAGACACTCTTTGAGCGCCTCAGTTCACTTCTCACCTGGCTTGACCAGACTGTCCAGATGAGCCCAGAATTGAAGAACGAGACGAAGATCGAAGATGCACTCAAAGTCATCCTCAACGACTTGTTTCATTTTCCGGAGACATTCAAGACGAAAGCCACTGCTTTACTGGAGAAATGGCAGACTGAGCACTGGGGAGGACCGGCGCCTGTTGCGGTGGATTCGCCACTGGCAGGGCCGAGTGAGGCCGAAGCAGATGACGAGGAGTCGAGTACTTCAAGGAAGAAAAGAAAGGTGTCGCAAGACACGCCCGAAACGAAGTCAGCCGGCGTGGTGATGAAGGTCCCCTACGACCATGCAATCTGGGGTAAACACGGGATCATGCACGGGCTTGCACTAAAGAAAATGGAGAGCGGCCGCAAATCCAAAGTGATCAACCCGGAATACAAACATCTACAGCGCAACGCCAAAGTCTACGGACACAACGATATCACAGTCGGCCGGTGGTTTCCTTACCAATTATGCGCTGTATTCCACGGGGCACACGGAACCAGCCAAGCAGGCATTACACCTGGGCCAGTCGGAGCGTATTCAATCATCGTCTCCGGCCAATACGAGGATTTGGATCGAGACGATGGTGAAGTCATCTTCTACTCGGGTTCAGGATCACATGACAATACCGATCCCGGAAGGGTCGCCGCAGCGACTGCTGGAACACGCTCGCTACATTCAAACATCGACGAGGGCAACCCCGTGCGTGTGCTGAGATCACACAGCGGGATGGGCCGCTATGCACCTTCCAAGGGATTACGATACGATGGACTCTACCGAGTGGTCAGCGTTAGCACGCCCAGGAACCTGAAAGGTGGTCTGTACGAGAGATTCAGACTGGAGCGATTGGAAGAGGATCAGATCCCACTTGAGCAGTGCAGGGCGCGACCGAATGGTCGAGATTTGATGGACTATGATCGCATCGAGCATGGGTATCCGAGTCGAAGATAGCCAACAGTGAGGGTTATGGTAATGAGGAAATGAGCTATGAAGTGATGTTTAAGCAAAGTATAGAGTGAATGTACATTGTGTAGCTTCTGATTTCACTCTTGATTTCACTTATATCTTGATCATGCGGCCATCATCTAGAGCAGATAATTGACCCCTAATGACTTGTACGAAGGATGTCCAAGTGGAACGTCGAGCTTCATTTACTATTCGTCATTCAAGAGAGAGGCAGCAAGAGTGAGCCAGCAAGAGTGAGCCAGCAATATCGTCAAGTATGCAGTCTGACACAAGCCTTGGCTCCTCAGTTGATATTAGCCTCAAGTCTTGTAGATTCAAGTGACGTGGAAGTGTATGATCTGAAATGAGGAAGTGAATGATCTGAAATGAGGGAGTGAAATTACATTTTCATTTTCATTTTCATTCCAATACTTTCACTTCATAATTCATAAAGTCATTCCTACACGCACGCTAACATCAAATCCTAAATCGCTAACAGACAAGCCTCCCAATTCCAAACACCTTGCGCACGTACAACACCAACCCCCTAATACCTCGAATCCCGCCTAGAGTAATAATCATCCTGCTGATAATAGCTCTCACTCTTATAATCATCCCCATAATCATCGCGATGGTGATGGTGATGATGATGTCTCGGCGGCTCATAATCGTAATCCCTCTCTTCCTCAAACGACCTCCGATCCTCGTAATACCGATCATCGTATCTATCGTCCCGATCGATCGACCTACGCCCGTCGTATCGGTCGTCTCCCCGGTCGATGGACCTCCTGCTTGCATAGGAGCGGTCGTCGCGGTCGTAGTAATCGTCATCGATGCCGCGCGACTCGCCGTTCACGTACCCGTTGTCGTAGGCGTGTTCGAGACGGTGCTCTTCCTTCTTCTTCTTATGGTGGTGCTCGAAGGCGTTGGCGGCGATGGCGCCCACTGCGATGCCTCCCAGCGTAGCGAGTTTGCTGTGGCCGAGCTCGTGGCCTAGGAAGGCGCCGGCACCGCCGCCGAGGACGGTTGCGCCTAGACCTCGTTCGCCGTCGCCGCCTTGTTGGCCTTCCATGCCGCTGAAGTCGTTGCCTCTGCTTAGACTGTTCGAGGAGGAGTGGGGGTTTTGAGAGCCGCCGTTGGCTTCCGCCCAGATTTTCTCAGGGTTCCATTGTTGCTGCTGTTGCGGTGCAGGAGGTTGGCCGTAATAGTTCTGTTGCTGGGGAGGCGGGCTTTGCCACTGTGGTGGCGGATATTCCTGCGGATATGGTTGTTGGTAGGGTTGATGAGGCTCGTAGAAGTTGTGAGCCGGATAGTGCGGCGGGTAGTGGTCAGACATCTCCTGCGACCTTGATCTCTTGTTAATGTGGTTTGATAGATTGATGGCTTGGTATTGGTTGTTCGACGTGAGAGTTTGTTGTAATGTGATAAGATGCTTTGAATGCTTGAATGGAAATGCTGCCTTACCGCTGAGGCGACCTATCTTATAGCCTCTTTCCTACCTTTACCGCCTGTAGAACAGACGTATTGCGTACTTGCGCAGCGAATGCGGTCCGCTCGGAATCTTTGTGAGCAGAGCAGCATGTTGTCATCTTCTGACTGAGAGGAAAGGTTGCAATGGCTCGTCCGTGGGAGGACGACGTCGGCCGATTCGGAAGGACTAGGCGGATATGGACTAGCGTCTGACGTCAATCGCGGAAAGTCGACGCCGTGGCCGAGCCTCCGACTCTTCGGGCCTTCCCTCTCTCAACAACAACAACACCCCGACGTATCGTGACAACTACCGAATATCGCAATCGTCAGACGTTCTACATTGGACATAGTTGCAACCTTATTGCGATACTGTCGACTTTTCAATCGGTTTCGCTCTCGAATGGCGCCATAGAGAGCAGGACATCGACCCCCTGAAACATGCCATTGGAGCTTCTAATGCTTATACATGAACTCTGCTTGAGGAAACTGCATGCAAGTCTCTTGGTCTATCCTGGACCCATTGCCAGAGCTGGAGCACCACCTCCCAGACGAGGATGAGGATATATGAAGTCAAAGCCAACCACTGAGATCATGGGAATGCAACCTTTGAAGGAGAATGATGTCGTGCAGTTAACTAACACTATCTGGATGTCGAATGCTGTCGCTATTATAAATTATCTAGATCTTGGCCCTCCCCGTAATCCTAACAAACTCATCCTCAGCATTCTGCCACACCTTCTCCGTCAAGCCATCCTTCCGCAGTCCAGCCAGGAGCGCATCAACCTTCTCATCACCACTCTCGCAATGCTCGTCCACAGTGTAAACACCACTTCCAACCAGGCCATCCGTTCCCTTCGCAATCAGAATCTCACCCCCCAACGGAACAGCCGAAGCCTTCTCGTCAACCTTGGCCGGATACCTTGCACTCGTGCAGAGATACACATGTCTCTGCCCAGACTCCTCCAGCGGGATGTTGAACATTGGTCCAACGATGGAAGCGAGCGACCTCATGATGAGCAGTGCCCAGCCTGGTCCTCGTCCGATTCCAGATTTGACAGGTCCTGGGAAGTCGTGGATGAATGAGACGGTCGGATACTGCTTCGCGAGGTGCTCCATGGAAAGAGTGGTCATCGAAGCGCCGTGGCCACGGAATGCGATCATTTTCGATGGACCCAACCCGCGGCCTTGGATGTTGTTCATGTCGATTGGTCCTTCTTTAGTCCCGACGAAACAGCTTACGACGCGGCGAAGACCGGTTGCTTTCTGCAGTAGCGGAAGGAGGTTGACAAGAAACCTCTGCCGTCCGTACATGGCGACGGCAGAAGGGAGATGTAAGCCTTCTTCAGTATCTGGGCACTATCATCAGCATTCTCTCTCCCCGAACCTCCAAGAAATCTTTCAAAACTCACCAACCCCCGTCTGCAACGTCCCCTGACTCAACCACAACAAATTCACACCCCCACTCCCCACACTCCCCTTTACCTTCTCACAAACCTCATCCACCCCCTTCAAAAGCCCCACATCCGCCTTGATAAACGTAAACTCCCCATCCGCATTCAACGCCTTACACTCCCTCGCAATCCTCTCCCCAGCCTCTTGCACCCGTCCCACAAAGAAAACCTTCGGTGCTAACCCCTTCGTGAAACGCGCGAATTCCCGCAACGTCGTCTCGCCGATGCCATTCGTCGCGCCGACGAAGACGGCGACGAGGTCCTTGGGGAGAGAGGAGGGGATCTGGGCGTTGGAGGCGGAGACTTGGGGGAGGGTGACCATGTTGACGGAACAGATATGTATCCAATCGATCGATCGGCCGTTGTATTTTCAAGAACAAAATCGAGGAGCAAACAATCGAGCGAGTGAGCGATGTCAAGGCTGCCGCAGCAAAAACGATAAATCGAAGCGTCTCCTCAGTATTTATGCGATCCCACCTATCGCCTCGCCTCGCTTGCTTTCTTCTTGTGTTACACAAACAACGTCAGTGTCAGTGGGTGCTGCTGCCCTACTCAACGCCGGGCGAGCTTTCAACAAGCAGGAGGATCGAATGTCGCACTCAGGAACGAAATCAGGCTAGCTTTGAGGTGGTGTACGGAGGCCTGGAAGTTGGAAATGTGGGTGAAGCGGACTATCTCTGCCCCGGAGTTTCTATTCTTATTAGCCTGTTTGTACACTTCTAAGGCTTCATTATTTGTGTTGATAATACGTTGTAGAAGTGGTTCTTGCCGTTGGATGAATCCTGCGGCGATTGGTGAGATAAAATGCTTAATACCGATACTGCCGTGTCTTGTCCATCCTCTCAAACACAAAAAGAAGACCTGGTATACGTACAACCCGACTACCTGCGATGCTTCTGAAAAAACTTCTTCTGCCGTTAATGGTGATAAGAAAAGTGCTGTCTCAAGCTCACTGTGGGTATCAATATCCCTCTCCGTACTTCTCACTCCGCTCATCTCTCTTCTCCCGATCCATGATCGGTGCTGGAATCCCCCCCGCTTTCTCGACCTTGTTGAGGAGACTGCCTTGGACAAACCGGCTGTCTGCAGTCAGGTCTACGAGCGGCTTGCCATTGGCGCGACTGCCGTCGATGACGCCTCGGCCTTTGGTGCTGCCGCCCCAGCCTTGTCGGTTTTGTGATGCCGCGAGGAGGCCTTCACCTGTGAAGGCGTCTGGAGCACGGGGTGCGGATAAACGGCGTTGGACTGGGGGTGAGGCGTCTGTTACTGAGCCTGCTCGTCGACGGCCTTCCGGCATGGCATTGACGCTGCGGAAGACGTTGTTCTGGGGTAGGCCAAGAGGGTCTTCTGGCGATGTGGCGTTGCCGACTAAGCCTGAGGTGTTGGGGGCATCCGGTTGAAAGCCTCTCCCCTTCCTGGTGTGATGGATTGGTTCTCGATGTTGGGGTGTTAGGTCAATCAGACCAGGACTATTGGGATTGCTGTGCTGACCACTCGTGTTGCGAAAGATTGTAGCTACCGGCAAGCCGAGGGGATCTTCAGGCGTTGTTGCATTCTCGATCAGACCTCCCGGAGCAAGGGTAGTCGGATTGAAGCCTTTGCCTTTCTTTGACGACTGATACTGAGGCGGTTCGCGGAACTGAGGCGTCAAATCCACCAGTGGCTTTGGTTTCTGTCGTCTGGAACCAGACCTTTCCAAGTCGATCGACCCTCCCCTGGTGTGACCGCACCCACTGTCTCGAGTAGATTTGGAATGCCTCAATTCACCACTACTAGTATGCCCTCGCGCAGATGGCTGTCTTCGTAACCCATCTCCTGCGAGTGTTTGCCCGAATTCTCCCTCACGAGGACTCAGTCCACCATTCAGAAGATTTGGGCCGGCCGTGAATGCGTCTTGGCGTTGCGACTCCCTGTCTGCATTCTCCTTGCGGCGTTGAGAATACTTGCGTCCAAGCAAGCCACTGTCTTTGAAATCTTGTGCTTCCGGCCGCTTCTGCTCTGTAGAAGATCTTCTCTTGTTGACAGACCCACTACGGTTCAAGTTGGCCAGCGGCTCATCTTCAGCCAGCTGGACTCTGTTGTTCAGCGACAATGGTGGAGGGGCTTGCTTTCTCCTTGTCGATGTTCTCCTCTCAGGCGAGACGTTGACATCGAACTGATTGGCCGACTTTGCAAAGCCGCCAGATGACTCTGGACGACTGTTGTCTACGGCTTGGGAAGTAGCACCACGATCGAATTGACCCATGTCCATCAACGGCTTGAAAGAACCTAGCTGGTAGTGCGACTCCATCGATTCCTGGGGACGATGTGCCTTGATCTGGTCGTTGCTGGTCGATCGATCTCGCGGTTCGTTTGAGCTCACGACTGGCTTCGCTTTCTCCTTTTTGCCTGCACCAAGAACATTGACCAAATAGTAGCTGCGCCAGGCCTGCACAGCATTGTAGAAGTCGTCTGACGTCTGTCGGTCGGCAGTTGAAAAGAAATGGACAAAGTTCTCTGTCGCTTCAAACAGACTCGTCTTCTGCTGGCTTTTGATCGCACAACAGTACTTCTTTGGTGGTTTGATCTTCTTCTTAAGCTTTTCCTGCGTAGGAGTGTAAATATCAAAGTCGCTGAGATGGCAGACATTCACAGTGTCTTTCGGCTTATCTGGATCCTTTTGGCAGACGATTTGTCCACTCGTCCGCAGGGTGATGAACTTCTTTTCCCACTTGCCGACCTTTTGGGAGTAAGATAGGTACCAGCTCTGCTCCTCAGGCTCTGTCTTTGGAACCCCTGCAAGCGTGAGCTCAGCTTCCAGGCTGCCAGTGCCGGGATCCACAAGGAGCAGACTGTTTTGTTTGTCGTGGTCCCAGCTGTTCATCACATCACGAACATGCTCGTATCGTCTGAGAGGTCTCTGAACACCGACAATGCCAAAGTGCTCCAGCAAGACAGCCGACTTGGCATCGATCCGCTCAGACAAGCACGTTGCCGCGCTCTTGATGATGTCTGTCGGCGAAGTAGATGGTGTGACGGGGAAGAGCGCTCTTGCCTTCCCACATTCTACCAGAACATGCCTATCCCCAGCATTGATGGCCGACACGGGAGCATCCGTGCCTGGTACAATGCCACCGCCGCCAGGCTTGATTGTGGGAGGTTCTCCACGATTTCCTCTGGCAGGCGCGGAGGGTGCCTTCTGCACATCTGGAGCCTGAACGTCCCCTCTCTTGCGTTTGAACAGCCCACCGAAGCAGCCTGCCTCTGCATCATCATTGTACGCCGACAAGTGGCTCGTACTTTTTGTCGCGCGAATGTTTCCAGACTGCGGGGGGCCATCTTTCGACACTGGAGGCTCTACCGGTTTGGGAGGAGGGAAGAGTTCGCCGGTTGGCTCGGACGCTGGTGGGGTTGCTTTGGGGAGGTTGGATGCCGACCTGGGTTCGCCATTCCGCCTATTGCTACTGTCTCTGTTATTGCTGTTCTGCTGTCGCAAGTCCTCAGCGCCCGAGCTGGGTTCGTCGCTGGTAAAGCTTCTTGGTTCTCGTGCGCCTAGCTCTGCTGGCGGCGGACCGTAGCCATCGTCCTTTCTCTTCGGGTTCGCAGTCGTTCGTCGATGTTGCGCAGGCGCCTGCACGATCTGCTCCTGGTACAGCGGTTTCAAGGGCGATTCGCGGTGTTTGGAATGGTAACGGGAGGGAATGTCATTTTGTTGCTTGGATGCTGGTCTCGCAGCGTCGGTGGGTGGATCTGAGAGGCCCTGTTTGCGGCGGTAGCGCGACTTGCTGCGGGCAATGCCATCCTCCTCAGGCAGGCTGGTGTACTGATCCGAGGATCGCATATCATCGACGGAAGGTTGCTTCTGTCGTTGCGATTTGTATCGCGAGGGTCGCGGTGGGGAGCCCGATTCTGCCATGATGCATGGTGTCGCGTGGTGAATTGCCAAGTTGAAACGGCCGTTTGAATCTCTAGCAGCGCCTCTTGAAGGAACGATGGCTGGATAACGATGCGATATGAACCAGGATCAGCCTGTGGCGCGCAAAGCCGTGGGAAACGCGTTGGTATGCCAGCCCTTGCTGGGCGATTTGACTTGGCTGGTGAATGAAATCAATCGCTTGGCCAGGCGGCGCGAGAAGAATGAAGTAGAGACCGGATTGCGAACGTGACCAGGAAATTAAACGAACAATAGCGCAACCAAATAGGGGACCACGATGTTACACAAGCTCCCGCCGTGAAGCACGTCGTGTGGTGGAGATGCCCTGGTCCGCGGGAGGCGGGAGCCAATGGAACTGCGCCTTCCGAGTTTGACAATTTTACGAGGATGGCGCCTTCTATGCATAGCGCGCAGGTGTTGGATCTCGTTTCACACTGCGCTCTGGCATTGGAGCCGTCAGCAAGGCAGTGCGAAGTTGGTGGCTGATCATGTGAGATTCATGTTTCGTCGTCTTCTCAGACCCTTTTCTGACGACCGACGTTGCGCGTGGAAAGTCAATTCAATCCCGGCAACATCGGCCGGCATGCGGCTCGGCACCCTGTGTGGGGCCGTGGAGAGGTTCCAAGAACTTTGTGAAGTGAATAAAGTGAAGATGCGCAAGCCAGTGTGGGCCAGAGAAGCTATTGACATTCTGAATGCATGGATTCTGTGTACTAAAAATGACCACAAAGACAGCAATGCTCAGAAGAATCACATGTACAGAAGATCCGCAAAGCCCAATACGCCGGGCCTCCAAATAGAAACGTTCCCTCAAGTCGAGAAACAGGACGACGATCGTCCATCTGCCGTGATTCGTTAGGCCAACGAACAGTGATTCGAGTGATGTGAACTGAAGGTAGAGTCGCCTCTGTGGTTGCAATTGATATTCCGTCTGAACGAAGGCAGACGCCCCAATTGAGCAGAAGCGACAAGTACGTATGATATTCAGGAAGGGTCGTGCGTCGACTCGAAGCTACGCATAACCGGTGTGTCGCAAGAACGTCAGGAAAACATTGGGCCGAAGTCGCCGTGCTCGTAAGCGTGCAAGTCGTCCGCTGTGCTGCCATGAGGATGCCGATAGATCGTGACGATGATCCCGCGTTGCTCGCGCCCTACGATTTGTTAGATCCTGTCTCATTGTCTTCTTCTCACAGTCTTACATTGTGAACCACGGTCGACTTCGTCGAGCTGCTCCCTGCAAATTCGCCAGCTGCGTTCACTTTCTCTCGGGTTTCTGATAGTCTGCGGAAGAATCGAAAGCCATTTAGCTACAGGCACAGACATCGCCACCAAACCGATCAAGAGCGATAAGTCGCCTACCAATCCGCCAGACCTGCGATCTCGGGTGGTAATGTGCGATTGATATCGATCGGGGATCAAGTGCTGAACCCAGTCTTGATCATGACGCTGAGCAAGCAGCCTCTTCTCCAATAAGTGACGACCCGCATACGACAGCGACTGGTGTCCCTCGACTCTACCAAATGTCAACTCCGCCCAGTCGTCGTACTCCTCGGTGTCCTCTTCTCCGCTCTCGGATTCATCGTCATCATCTTCCTCGTTCGGATCGTGTTTCCCGTCCCCTATCTTTTTCCCAATCGCATGGTAATCCACAGTCCAGAAGACGCCCCGAGCCGAATATAGTGAACATGCCCTATACACGGGCAATTGATGCGCATTCGCGGCCTGCTCGTTGGTTAAGCGGTTCGTTTCAGTCCCGTTGTGACCAAACGTCAGGTCAACAGTTTGTATCGGCCCAGGGTATCTCCGCAAAATGTTGCTTTCTTGCTTCTTTGGTGGGAGCCATCTGCCTCGGTCGTCCATCCGATCGTCAGAATCCGGGCTCTGCGCCATTTCCTGGAGCCGAAAGTAGTAGGAGGCCTGCCTAGGTTAGCTGATCCAGGTACGACGACAAGCCATTCGTACCATGACTACGCAGCAGCAATTGCTCGCTCATGTCTTGTCGACGTTTCCGCCGCATTCCAGTCCCGGTGAGTACGGAACGGCGATCAGCACAGTCGTGCCGCGAACTTCTTCCACTTCTTAACCAGCACAGACAGCCTGGTTGTTCTCTGACGTGGTTGTCGCCAGGATCAAAAGCTGGATCCCAGCAAAAGGATGAGATCAAGAACCCAGCAAGGCCAGACCGGTGAGAAATCCCTCCACTCACGGGGAGACATGATAAGGCAGAGGCGCCATTTTGAGTTGGAGCAAGTTCCGAGGTCGAGCTTGTCACTGGGTAGCTCTAGGGATCCCTTGTCCCGACCACCACCAACACGTTCCCATGACGGGCGGGATAGTGGATGCTGTCGGCAGAAGCAACGGTCCGTGGCTACCATTTGCTTGTCGACAATATACACATCCTTGCCATGGGAGAGCTGGGGTGCGTTGTGCCGTGTGTAACATCGGCACGGCAAGGTCGACTTGGGTGGTTTGGAGACACGCTCCCGTTTGCGGCAGGCGATGCTGAGAGAGGGACCACGTTCCCGAGACGAGGATAGCGTCAACGGAACATGTGAGAATCGTGATTCGTAGATGTGTTCTGGCCTGTCTTGCTGTGCAGCTGTGCAGGGCGGCTAGCAAGGCGGAGATGCTCGCGCAGAGACAGCGGACGCGGAATTGCCCTCCGGAGATCCAAAGGGACCATTGTACGGCATCGTTGGGAAGGAGTTTTGAAGAGGCAAAAGCAAAAGTCAACAGACTGGTCCAGTATCACTTCTCAAGTCGAGTCCTCGATCTATTGAGATGTCTTGCCATAGTTCGGTCTGATGACAGGCGGTGGTAGAGTAGGGCTTCGGTGCCTTGAGCCGGAGTCTCCATCGCCTCGCTCAGCATTTGCCGGCGGACAACAGCGGGAAATCGAAGATCGCCGTGCCAGAGCGAGGTGGTACGGCTGGGTTACCAGCTGCGGTGGCGAGGACAGCACGTGATGACGGTCGGCAGTCAGCGCGTTGTCTGATTTTGCCAAGCGATTTTGAGCCGCATGGGAAGTCGTGATTATAAGACAGACCGAAATGTGAGTGGAGGGCGAGGTGGCTGCGGTGCAGGACGGGCGCTTCGACGTTTGACTCGCTTAGCGGTCCATCCCAACCATGCACCTCCCATCACGTGCGGCCAGATGTTGGATCGGCAGGTAACCTACACGGCTGTTAGCTGGCATCTTCCGAGCGTCTTCAAGAGCAATGCTAATGGAGAGACAGAGCAGACGAACTGGCGGGAGTCTCGTTGTTATACCCACCGGTGCACCTGCCTCGAATCCCATGTCGGCGTCGTACAACACGTTGCTAGCGCCTTGCCAACTTCGCCCCGTTGCAGCAGCTCTAGTCTGCCTGGTTGCCTTGACGAGGATGCGAACCGCAGGATGTCTCTCTGGCGCAACGACAAGCTCCAGTCCAAGGCATCGCGAGCCAGACAGTGATGGTCATTGGATGGTCCTCGGGAGTGATTGCGAGCCCCGGATTCGGATATTGCAGAGAAGGCACCGCCCGTAATAATACTCGCGCGCCCAACCGATGGCAGCGGTCTGGGAACAGGGCGTTCTAGCGCTGCAAAAGCGTGTTGGAAGAGTCAGTCCGGATGTTGAAGAAGGTCAGGCCAGGTCAGCTTAGAGGATGAGCTGGGTGCGGCCTCCTTTATCCCGCAGAAGCTTTCACCAGTCCAATGAAATCCGCTGCGACCAAGCATGGAAACCAACAGCTGCATATGTAGTCTGTCATCGCGAAGGCAGGATCGACACTTGAGGAGCGGTCACGAGATTCGCCGGCGGCGGCCTACTCCCTTACGCATTGGTCTGCCGAGAGTTCAGCTGCCTGAGGCCGCCCAAAGCTGCTTCGAGACTCGTCTGTCCTGGTTCCACGGCCGTTGGCATCAGTATCACGACCTGATCAATCAGCGCACTCCGTATCTTGGTACTTTGTACGAATGATAGGCAAAGTCCAATCGCGGTTCCCCGGCTCGAGTGTTCATCAGAGGAGACCGACCGGAGAGCGACTCTACGCCGGCCGTTTCTTTCTAACGACGTGTGTTTAGCTAGTTTGTGAGGCTTGTTCGCCTGAGATAAAGGAGCGACAACCAAAAGAACACTTTCCCCGAGACCAACCTTCATCGTACGCTCATGAACCATGGCCAGCGATGTGGAATCCTGCGTTACCAGCTTGCCCACGGAAGCGAGACCTCGGCAGCTCCAATAGAAGATGATCCATGCATTGGTCAGAAGAGCTGACCACCTAGCGCAGCGTATGTTGTTTGTTGCTCAACAAGCTGGGCAACCTAAAATGCAGGAGACAGACTCTCGTCGTGTCTCACATTGTGCAAGCCGAGCCCCATCTCTTGAGTCTCTGAGCGGAACTCTCGACTGATGAAAGGTCATGGACACGAAGTCCCATGCTCCAAGATCTGGCAGTGGAAAGCAGAGGCTAAGTCCGTTGGGAGGATCCTCGGCGGGCAGTAGCAGGATATCGACAGGCCTCTGCGAGGCTTCACCACGACGTGGTCAACCCCTCGTGGGTAAGAGCAGGTGAGAATGACCTCGGGTATACATCAACATGCTGGGTGTTGATCATGAGATCGAGGCAGGGCCATCAAGCCATCTTGGGTTCTCCGTTGGCGCACACTGAGCAACCGTCACCCAATCCTTAAGTCGACGCGATCCTCGAAAAGAACATGGGTTGGCATAACGCGATGAGCGGTGCGAAGGGGTATGGCGACGAACTGCCGGTGCAGCAGAGATAGGAACAGGGTCGTGAAGAAGGGAGAAGGGAGGACGAGAGAGGTAGCGTAGACTTTCGAAAGAGCAGTAGGATGCGAGGAGTCAGAGAACCGGTAAGTCAGCACCTTCGTCAGAGCACGAGCCCCTGGTTCAGGGATCTAGGCTCAAAACAGTGAAGTTTGGCTCCGCCAAGAAACCAAGATCACGAATCAAGCGGCTTGAACAGTGAGAGAAGGCAGTCCAGCAAGAAGCACAGAAATTTATTCGACTTTTCACTCCTTCCCCATCATTCCCGCAGATACAGCGTTTTCTGTAGATTCACTCAAATGTGACAAAGCTTCTGCAAATCATGTGACGCCAAGACCTCGGACTTAGCCAGCAACCTAACTTTTTCGTCTGTTCTCAAATCCAACATCAACGTCCAACGCCTCGGCGTGATAAATCGAAAGGACATCCAAAATGTCGACCGAGAAGCCCGTACACACCGTGGTGCTCGACACGGGCGCAATCATCAAAAACGAACCTTCCGTCTCAACACTCCTCGCCCAATCCGAGAAGATTGTGACTGTGCCCGCGATAATCAGCGAAATCAAAGATGCAGTCACACGGACACGAGTTGAGACGACTTTGAAACCTTTCTTGGACCTGAGGTCGCCCACTCCAGCAAGCATCAAAGTTGTCACAGATTTCGCGCGGAAAACTGGCGATCTTGCAGTGCTCAGCAAACCCGATATTCAAATCATCGCACTCACGTATGAAATCGAATGCGAGCGAAATGGTGGCGACTGGAGGCTGCGACGAGCACCTGGTCAGAAAGGCTTGAATGGTGCACCTCCTTCCAGGACGGAACAGAATGCGGATGGCGAGGGTGAAGCGAAAGACGAAAATCAGACTCTGTCAGACACAGCGGATTCAGAGCAGCCTCAAGCGCCTTCCAGACCAGAGCAGGAGTCAGAAACTTCGACCTCGGTACCCGAGCCAGCACAAGCGGTGACTGAAAAGGCCACTCCAGATGAAATCGCAGAAGTGAGCTCGAAGTTGCAGTCCAGCACGATAGAAGTGGAGGAGGCACCAACTTCGACAAAAGTCGACTCTGCTCAGAACTCAGCGGAAAGCCAAGATGGATCCGACTCGGACTCAGACGGCTGGATAACACCATCCAACCTCAAGAAGAAGCAAGCGCAGGACGTAGCAGGCAGCACAAGCCAAACCCCGGAGCCAAAGACCATGCAAGTAGCAGTTTTGACTTCAGATTTTGCGATGCAGAATGTCGTCCTCCAGATGAACCTCAACCTGCTATCACCGTCCATGTCGAGAGTGAAGAATCTCAAGACCTATGTCATGCGATGCCATGCGTGCTTCAACGTCTCCAAGGACCTCAGCAAACAGTTCTGTCCTCGGTGCGGCCAACCGTCATTGACAAGAGTTTCTTGCTCAACAAATGCCAACGGGGAGTTCAAGCTTCACCTGAAGAAGAACATACAATGGAACACGCGAGGAGATCGGTATAGCGTCCCCAAGCCGGTGCATGGCTCAGCAAATGGGAAGATAAGGGGTGGCGGTAAAGGTGGATGGGGCAACGACTTGATCTTGGCCGAAGACCAGAAGGAGTACCAGAGTGCGGCGCGGGAAGAGAAGAGGCAGAAGGAGAGGAGTCTGATGGATGAAGACTACCTGCCCAGCATCCTTACAGGAGACCGTTCCAGAGCTGGCGGGAGGATACGTGTGGGTGCTGGGAGAGGTGTCAATTCGAAGAAGCGCTGAAGCAGGGAAGATCGAAGAAGATCATGAATGATGAATGCCTTCTACTTCGGAAATCACGCCGCTCCAAACTCGCCACGAACAGCGTTCAGCTCGGCGAGAGCATACCTACTCGCTCACAAAAGATGCAGACGCAACTGCCGCACGCCTTCAAACAACACAAGGATCAGGTAAAAGACTTCGGCTGGTTGGAGTGGAGACACATGTGCAGCATAGCACTCTCGCAGGAAGTGTCAATGTGAGTGCTGGGATGAGAAGGCAAGCGTAGGCCAGAAAAGAGCTGCATTGACTAGTGTGAAAGTAGATGATAGACAAGCTCAATACATGCACTCCCGAGACATTCACTTAACAAACGTCACTGTTCGCTTTGTCACATGCTAATAGCTGGACCCCGGGTAGCCCTAGCAAACGCAACTGCTCTTTCAGCAGTGCAGCAGGAGCAACCACATCGCACCTGCACTTTCATTGACTATTATTGCAGGCGCTCCAGGCTTCACTAGTCTTAATGCCACTTCCAAGCACACTTTCTCGCAACAACGCATAACACCACGACGCACCCACTATTTGAATACAACTTCATCGTCAATACTACCGAGAGGTCAGAGCCTACAACTAAACAAATCAACACACAATCACTGACACCGCCACCCAGCACTTCACCTCCCACACAACAATGCCTTCGTCATCCAAGCACGAGACCTGTCAAGAGCAGCGCCTCGTAGATTGGTACAAGGTGACCTACGCCCACCTCTTCCACGCAGGCCTGTACAAGGAAGCCAACATCGTGACCAACATTTTCTCCAACGTCCTCGAATGCGACGACGCAGACCTGTGCGAAGTCATCGAATCGGACCAAGACTTGTGGAACAAGATGGCCATGAGATGCAGGAACAAGGCCGCCAGCGACAATGTGTGGTATGCGGCGGACTACATGGCGGACACGGCGGCATGCTTGTTCGAGTTTGGACGGAAGAAAGAGGGCGGCGAGTTCTGCGAGTGGGCGGAGCAGTTGAGGGATTTCGCGATCCAATTGCTTGAGCAGGAGGAGAAGGAGAAGGAGCGGGAGAGGTGGTTGAGAACCTATTACGTGCGATAATTGGGAACAAGTGTTTCTGGAAAGCGATGGCGTTATGGAGTCTCTATGTCACGGTGTTGGTCGCTCGATGGTGTCGGACCAAGACCGGTTGCTCGTTCAAAGGTCAAGGTCTAGGAGCATGAGAATTGGAGCAAAAGAACACCGCAAAGACACTCAGCTGAATATGCCGTTATCCAAAAGTATCAACCCGTCTCGTATCTTCACCACGTTCCTCTCCTCTTTCAATTTGTCCGGTACATCTGACACCGTCTGCACAACCTTCAAAATGCGTAGCCAGCTCTTATGGTACCAACAGTCTCCCTCTTCGCACCGCTAAATCGCAAGACAGCAACGGATGGAGCAAATGGCAGACGGAACGCCTGGCCAAGTGCTTGCTGGCATGTACTGTCTAATGGGTGCGTGATGGAAGAGAAGAAGTTTGGAGTCGCGAAGGATCGTCAGTTTCGATGGAATTGGAGTGGTCTGAGCTTGCGGCCTTGGCAACGGGAGTTTCTTTGACCTCACTTCACAAAGACGCGCTGAATACTTTCACCATCAAACCATCTTTAGGTTGTGACAATGCTAATACAATGTTGTGCAGCTTTCTACATGCATCATGAATCGATCGAACACGAGTCGCAGCCTTCACGGCGCCCGTCAACGCCGCACAATGCCCTCCAGTCAGCAACTCCGACAATGCCCCCCGTCGAACATCCATGTTCAAGAACGCCACCCATCCGAATCGCTTTGTCTCCAATACATCCCTAATGGACTGCCAATGCTCTCAATTCGTGCCTCAGGATCTTGCCTGTCGCGCTTCTCGGGATCTCGTTGATGAACTGAAACTCGCAGCTACGGACCTTGTAACTGGCGAGCTGCGTGAGCATGTGTGCTTTGAGCTCGCTGGCCGTAACGTCCGGGCTGCTATCGGATCGCACCACGAATGCCAATGGATGCTCGTTCACATGCTCGCCGGAGCTGATCACTCCCGAGTCCTTGACATCTGGCGAGATGAGTAGAGCGTCCTCGAGCTCTACTGGCGATACCTGCCATCCATTGACCTTGATCAGATCCTTCGCACGATCGACGAGATAGACCTTGCCATCTTCCGCCACGTAGCCGATGTCGCCGGTACGGAGCCATCCATCGTCAGTGAAGGTAGTGCGAGTGGCTTCGGGGTTGTTGAGGTAACCAGCCATGAGCTGCTGCGATCGTACCAGCAACTCACCCGTCTCACGACCATCTGCGATTCTCACGGGCGTCTCGAGGCTCATCTTAATTTCGAAACCTGGGAGAGGGCGACCAACGGATCCCGTCATGTCGTTCTCGGGATACTTGAAGGTGGTAAACCATCCACCCTCGGTCATACCCCACACAGGCGCAATGCGTGGCTTCTCGTTTGGATATAGGCTGAGGAACTTGGCTTTGAGCTCCGGCACCAACGGCGCCCCACCGGTATAGACGGCACGTAGGGACTGGATTTGCTCTCGACACGCTGCGTTGTTGATCAACCTCAGGAGAACTCCAGGTGGAGCAAGAGTCTCGGTGATCTCGAACTCGGCGATCTTGGCCGGGAAGGTGGCGTCGTCGAAGCGCTTCATGATGTACGCTGGGTGGCCAAGGCGGATGGAGTTGATGACGAGCTCCGGCATGGTGAAGGCGTGGAAGGTCGGCGTGCAGAAGAGACGGCGGACTTGATATGGCTTGAGGTCATGCTCGTTCTTGGCTATGGCTGCGGTCTCGAGCACCGTCGATGCATGCGTGCGAGCTGCCATCTTCGGCCGACCAGTGGTGCCAGAAGTCGACATCAAAGAGGCGATGGACTGCGGGTCGATGTCCTTGAGCATGTGCGCCAGAGTTTCTGGAGTGCCGTTGCTTAGCAAGTCGTGGAGGTCGCGGAAAGTCTCCGACTTGTGGCCTGGGTTGAACTTGCGACTACAAGATGGACTTTGGTATGGCGTGCGGTCAAGCTCGAGTATGTCGGCGAAGAGGATAATTTCTGCGCCAATTCCACTGCTCTTGACAGCCGCTTTTACGACCTCGAGGTGCTCAGCAGCAGTGACGACATACTTCGCATTCGACGACTGGAAGATGTGCTCTAGCTCGGGGACCTTGTTGCTGGTGTTGGATCCGGTCCAGCGACACTTCGAGGCGTAAATCGAGAGGCTCAGTATGGGGTACAGAATGTCGTTGTCGAGATGAAGACAGACTGTGGTGTCCTCTTCGAAAGCTCCGACCAGGCGCGCGACCAAGCCGACTGCCACCTGTTTCGTAATTGATCTCGCCGGATTGACGGCATCGATGAGAATGGTGCGACTCGAGTCGTAGGTTCCTGAGAAGGCCCAGGTGACGATGTCAGTGGGCTGAGTGCGCGACTCCATTGCGGGTGCGGCGAGACCAGGCATCGCGACTGCAGAATCGGTTCGGCTCTGCTCGAATGTGGTCGAGGTCCACTGAGAACTGGACATGAGGTCAGTCACGTCTCGATGCTGTACTCGGAGACTCGGCCCGAGTCGGGACGACGTACCTTGATGGGCCCGGATTGTGACTCGAGATGCTCTGTGCTGGTGGCAAAGTGCGGGAGAAGAGGCTTCGTGAACACTCGGCAAGATACGTCAGAAGATTTTGGAGACGAACTCTGGCGCTCAGCAGCCGCAGTCTTTTCCAAATCCCTGATTTAAGCAAGACGAAATCCGGAATCTCGAGAAGATCACTCGATTTGAAGACACCATCTTGGGAACTCGCCATTGTGGCCTGTGTTATTCGATGGACGACCTCAATGTCGAGCCGAATGAGGCTTCACGATCTTCGCTGGGAACAATGCATTCAGCAACATTCACAAAGCGACTTTCACTCTGCAAGGGTGTAACGAGGATGGAGGGACAAATACTGGTTCAACTGACGATACCTGGCCGATAAGCCAAGTGTACCTTCCAATCGTACTAAGTGGACGACTTCCCTGGCTGCATCTTATTCCTGAGCAGATTAAGAGACTCGTATGCCACATCAGCAAAAAGCTCTAACCTTCCTCGTCGAAAGCCACCATGCACTTTGATGAATACTACTTTCGACCTCTGAACTCACACTCGGCACAACGTGTAGCTCCATCCGGACCCGAGACATGAGCGCCGCAGTGCCCCAGGACGACGATTGCGTGGAGGATCACTAGCACGGAATAGCGTCATTGTTAACGTTCAACCGTTCATGTTCAGCCGTCACGTTCAACCGCTCGTTTGCGCTCGGTTCTGCACGTTCAATTCTTGGTTGCATACGACGCACAGGTGCTTTTGGACAGGATACCACCTTTCGATGATCTTTCGACAGGCGAGCCCAGCGCTGAGGCAATACGTGGATGGATGATCGCTGCCCGCGTTGCCCGGATTGAGACAAAGCGCAATTCTCTCAAAGAGGCAAAACATATCAGGCATGAAAGGCACGGGATGCGAATGCGCAGTGCGTGCGCCCCGGATCGTCCCTCGCTTCAAGCTGGCGCAACTTTCGCTCTTGGCCTTCCATCCTGAAACCCAATCTACCCCATAATCCTCTGCCGTCTTTTCGCTCTTGAGTACTATGCGTAGATAACCCAAATGCGTACTGATCACTTCACAGGCAACGCATGATCCAACAATTGAGCCACTGTCGAGCTGCTGCTTCTGCCTGCATACATTCGTGCGAACTTGGCGACCTATTTAAAGACGGTCGAACGTCGACTTAAGCTTCGCAAGCTGTTGTGTAACACGATCTCCACCACGCATCTGGTCACACCGTCCCTGTCAGGATCATGCTGCTTGGTCAAAGGTGTAGCATATACTGCGCCATGGCTGGAGGTGGCTGCTCGCCATGGCGTGTAAACGCAACTATCCGTGACGTCCGCAAAGGAGTGGACCGGTGCTTAAAAGGAACCGCTAGTCACGTCTGCTTTTGTCCAGCTGCTGTCGATACCATGCACACACGCTTTACGATTCGTTCTGGACGGCTTTCGCCAAAGCAAAATGGCTGACCAAGCGCTTGGTTTGCCTCGCTCATCCTCGGCCTACAACTTACGTGTGTCTGCATGTATCGGGGCCAGGTTACATCAATGCGATCTTGCGGCGCAGACGACATCGTTTTTCGATAGCGGGACAGCTAGGTGAGTGAATGTGGAAGGCAACGCAGTGCAGCTATGCACCTCGGGACCGAAATTTTCCGTGGCACGTTGATCACGACCTCCACGAAAGACGTCGCCTGCGAAACAGTAACAGGGACTGTGCGCCTCTGTTTGATCGGGCAGGGCTCTGTGAACATTCACATGAAGGGTCTTGGCGGGATGTGACGCGCGACCTGATTCTGCGTGTTTTGAACAAGTCGCAAGTCACACAAACACACTTTCTTTTGAGCACACTTTCTTTGATTGCAGAAACACAGATCGGGCCATTGTTCCCAGACCACATAACATCATTGACGAGCGTCACACAGCTACCACTTCTGCCCGTTTGGAGCCATCGAATCCGCCAGTGCCTTGCCTAGCCATCTGCCGCCGCCTCGACGCTAAAGTCGCATCCTACATTCGACACAACACACAGTAGTGTATGCAAGAGTCTGACTGATTTCCCTCGTTAGCACTAGCGTGGCCTTGCCTGCCTTCTGACCCACCCGACGAAGACGATCCCAGCCCTACACAGCACCCAACATGTCGACCAACAACATCGCGCCGCATGAGGCACAGCGGGACCACGACAGCGTCTCGATTGCCGCCCCCACGGTACATGCCCCGAGCGACGCATCTCGTCAGGTGGAGAGACAGGATGGCAACCCCGAGGACCCACCTCCTCGTCGACCAGGCATGTCGGATCGACAGTACTCTACCCACATCTACACCCTCGGAAGACAGCACGTTCGGCCTTTGGCTGGTGGATTGGATACGCCTGAGCAGGCTTATCTGCCTACTGGCGGACCCGAGCTCTTGCCAGCTGAAGCCCTCGTCACCATCGAACCAAGCAGGTAAGTAGTAATCCAACCGAGAGCAGGTCCTCGCATTGCTAACCGTCGACTTGCAGGAGGAGAGGTATTCAGCGCACCATCGCCGACTACTCAACCTCTTCTGGCTTGACCGTCAACGAGATCACACCTCCCCGAGCCATGGTCGACACTGCTGCAGTTCACGGCCCAGGGACGTACAGGTTCGTCGCCCAGGATGCCGACAGAAACGACTCGGCCTTTGAGAGCTCTGATGTCGCCGTTCTGGAGAAAGTCTTGACGGTCGGCTACGCAATCCAGGCCATCGACAACTTCAACAGCAAGATCGCCAGTAAGGAGTACCTCGACAATCTGACGCAGGCACATCCTCTCCCTGAAGCCAGTGGACCGAAGTGGTGGAATCGTCTTCGCCATGGAGTTTTCTCGACTTATCGTCGCCTCTGGACTCTGGTGCTGCTCGGAAACCTCGCCGCCCTCCTGTACTGCATCTGGCTGAGTACACAAGACCTCGACCACATCTCGTACAGCAACGTTGCTACAGCCGTGGCGACCAATCTCTTCGTTGGCACTTTGATGCGCCATGAGCACTGCGTCAACTTCCTCTTCCGCATCTTTGTGGCTCTGCCTCACTGGCTACCAGTCAGTGTTCGACGCCTCGCCGCGAAAATCTACTGCTACGGCGGCATACACAGCGCTTGCGGTATCAGCGGTCTGGCATGGTACATCTACTTCCTAGCGATCTTGTCTCTGCAGGTGCACCATTGGACAGCAGCCCTCATAGCCGTCGCTACCCTAGCAGGCGTGGTGGTGTTACTACTCACCACCATGGTCATCACCTCACACCCCTTCATGCGCTTCAAGTTTCACAATCAGTGGGAGATCATGCACCGCTTCTTCGGCTGGAGCTGCATCGGCATGATCTGGGCGCAAATCATCCTCATCGCCTGCGCAAACGCCTACCACTACAACGGCAGCGTCGGCCATGCCCTCCTCGTCACGCCCGCCTTCTGGTTCCTCATCGCCATCACCGCGCTGATCATCTACCCTTGGCTGCGCCTCCGCCGCATGACCTTCTCCGCCGAGCAACTCTCCAGCCACGCCATCCGCCTCTGGTTCAACGACTCCAAGCGCATCCTCCCCCTGACCGTCGGCATCCGCCTCTCAACCTCACCCATGACGGAAACGCACGCCTTCGCCACCATCCCCAACGCCGACAACGCGCCCGGCTTCTCCGTCCTCATCTCCAACAGCGGCGACTGGACGAAGCGAATCATCACCAACCCGCCCGCCTACCTCTGGGCGCGAGGAGCGTACACCGTCGGTGTCCTGCGCGTGGCCATGCTTTTCAAGCCCATCGTCATCGTCGCCACCGGCTCCGGAATCGGCCCTTGCCTCTCCTTCCTGCAAGTCCACCCGGACTGGCCCTGCCGCGTCGTGTGGTCCGCGCGCTTCCCCGAGGCGACGTACGGCCGCGGCGTCATGGAGAGCGTGTTCCGCGCGGATCCCAACGCGGTCGTCATCGACACGAAGAAGACGGGGAAGCCGGATCTCGTGGGGATTGTACACTCCGTGTACAAGGAGCTGAACGCGGAGGCCGTGGCCATCATAAGCAACCCGATGGCGACGAGGGAGGTCGTTTTCGAGTTGGAGACTAGAAGTATCCCGGCTTTTGGGGCGATTTTTGATTCTTGAGCGTTGTTTGAGAGGCTTGGTTCGCGGTGCATTGTTCGAGAGCGTTTTTGTTGGCATGGATGGGTGTTTGCTATCGAAAAGCTGGGGTGGGGCTAGACTTGCATAAAGCATAGAAGCGCTGGTAGCGCTTGGGAACTCCTTTGAGAGAGCCTGTATGGCTCCTACGTATTCTGAGAGCTCAATAACTTCTTCTTTTTACTGCATAGCGCCTGGGTTTAGCGCCTTGAGGGCGGCAGCGGCCGCAGTGGCATGGCACTGGCATGGCAGCTGGTCTTTCATTCTTCATGCGTGGAGAAGTTGAAAGATTTAGATCCGCGTGGTCCGTGCACAGATTCATGTGACAGAGTAACTAGACGTGGGAGTTACAAGTCCTAAGCGGCGCTGAATGCGCATTTGCCTTCACATGAGAACATTCAAACACACTGGCTGAGACTCTCGAGGCGCTCGATGCGCGTCTACCTCACCTACTCCTCGCCCGCCAAAGTCTGCGTTTGGGGTAGATACTTCACGCAACCGCCGTGATGGCAAGGCACGGTTGGCAGGGGCGCCCATGCGCTGGCAGTGGAGGAGTGTGTTGTGTTCAGAAAATAATCAGACCACTTTCGAAGACTTAAATATGTCGTCAAAGGGTCTGTGCACTTACATGTGAATTGCGGGTTCAGTTCAGGCCATTCCTCGAGACCTTTGCATACATAAACGCTCAAAAGTAATGAACCCAACGGATATATCAACGTCGACATACGTATCCTTAAATTCGCTTGACCTTCCGGTAGCCTCTTCACGCACGAAGCAAGCATGTTATCGTAGTTGGAGAGTACCCCTTGGAGGTCTTCTCACTATCATCCTTCATCGTTAGGCAGCTTACCAGTCAGTGCATCTTCGCATTGCGTTAAGGGGGGCGCGACAAAGAAGTGAAGGCTCAACGCACACCGAAAAGTAAAATCTTCATATCCCACATCTACTTCTTCTCATCCTCGACTTTCTTCTCTTCCACCTTCTTTTCCGCATCGCCATTGACTTCCTTCACCTCTTCCTTCTTATCCTCCTTCTCATTTTCAACGGAAACCTTCGCCCTCACAACCCCAAGCACCTCCTTTCCAATGTCTCCAAATCCTTCTACTTTGCCAAGTCTCGACTCGAAAGCTTCCGCATCTCTGACTAGACGCTTCTCGCCAGCAGTGGTTTTCACGTCGACGTTCCCAAAGGCTTTTGTCCACTGATCCTTGTAGCTGGTGAAGATCTGCCGCATGATCATACCGACGTCGAGCTCGCTGAGATGGCGGCTGAGGACGCGGTGGAGAGTGAGGGTCTCTTTGGTCAGGGTCTCCATATATGGCGAAGCTTTGTCCTCAGCGGCACCTGCATCATCGAAATTGATGGCAGACATGGCTTTGACATGGGCCGAAGAGCGACTCGTCATGATCTCGACAAGCTTGTCGTGAATCCCGCTCTGGTGGTCCTGATATAGTCGCTTAGTCTTGTCGAATTCTGCCAGGATCCCTCCTTGGCCTCCCGGGACATGCCGTCTCACACATTCACGCATATATGGCACTAGTGCGATGATGAAGCTGAGTGCTTGGCTGGCAAGGGCGAGGTGCTTTGTCGTTATGTTCTTGAGGCCTGCACTGCGAGTCGCACCAGCACCAAGGATCAGCTGGCACGATCTTGAGTTGAAAGTCCGGAGAACGTCGAGTAGGCTGGTGCATATCTGAGGCGTCATGGAGGGTAGTACCGCAGTGAGGGATAGGAATGATTCAATCGTAGTCAGAAGGGAGATTACCGAAGGTACCAGGATAAACCGCGTGTCGTCGATGTAGGCGGGCTTCGTCTCTTTCTTGCTGGTAGCCGGCGCTGTGCCATTCGTCTCTGAGCCGTTAGGAGCAGCGGGTTGCCCGTTCGTCTGTTCTCCCGATCCCGGTTCGTCCCAAATAGGTGCCGCGCCTTTTGTCCATTCTGGTGGGTCGTCGCTCATCGACTTCAGGATCCGCTGCAAGAGCTGGTTTTGGTTGTCACTGAAGTCTTCGGCGTTCCAGCTATCACTGTCCAGCACACCAGCGATTCGTTCAGTCTCTGCGGTACCCAGCACCTGTACGAAACCAGAGATCTGCGCATTGATGATCCCTTTGAGCACGTTCCCGCCTCGCCCACTCACGGCTTCGCACTCATCAGCAAAGAGGCGATTCAAGGTGAAGTATCGCAGGAAGAGCTCTTTCGGCAGCCGGATTGATTGCTCGTTGCGAACCTTCAACACTCTGGTGATTTGTGTTTGTGCAGTATCGACCGCAGTACCGAGCAAACTCGACATATCCAGCGTTTGAGAGAGTTCCTCCTGTACTGTGACCTTTGGCGGCGCTGGCGGTGCTCCATTGGCTAGTTGTTCGTCCAAGCTGGGTACGTTGGGCGATTTAGGAGGTGACTTCGGCTCGGGCGGCTGCATACTACTCGTCACATCCAACAGAATCTTCGTCTGTGTCGAAACCCGCCGCAGGCCTTCTCCAACTGACGTATAAACGTTGACAAGTAGCTTCTCGGCATCTTCTGGGTCCAGTGAACGCAGGTTCCTGGCTAGGATACTGCTTTTCTCTTGCTGACTGAGCTTGGAACCACCTCTGGTTGATGTCGAAACCATACTGTCCACGTCGTCGTCGCTGCTGCTAGGCAGATGTTTTCGAATGAGAGCTTTCATCTCCTTATTCACAGCTTCTCGATAGGCAGCAGTGGCAGGGGCGGTATGCCCCGCTCTCGCTAAACCATTCAGTACTACCAGCAGATCTTTTCGAAACTGCTCGCTTGTCTCCATGTACGTTGGCGGTATCCCTCGTTGACGTGACCAGCGTTTGAATGTGTCCCCAGTTGGAACTTTCTCGATATGCTGCCGCAAGTCGTCCATAAGAATCTTCGTAAATCGCTGTGCGAAGCCTGTACCAATTCGAAGTTGCAATTCCTGTAATCCAGAGTCGAGGCCTTGGAGTGCTTTCAGTGGCCGCAAATCAATCAGCTCTTGATCTTCCTGCCCAGGCTCGGCCTGTCCACACACTAATCGCCCAACTCTGTCCATTTGGTCTGCTGCTTCGTCGTAATGTCCTTCGTCCACCAGCTCATCCGCTCTTTTTACATTATCCACAACACTCTGCACCTGTGCCGTTGCTTTGCCCAGCTTACGGACATTCTCCCTCCGCCGCCTCTTCGCTGCCACCTCCAACCCGGATACAGCAACTTCTTTATCCAATCTTCGCAGATCTTCTCGTAGACTTTGAATCTTGGCTACGCTCTCTTCTGCCTCTGTCTGAAGCTCCTTTAATGAACCCAACGCTGCGAAGAAGCCGCTGCTAGCCGTGCTTATGCTGTTGATCAAGTGAACTTCCACGGTATCCATGTACCAGCTGAGCTTCTCTTGAAGGATTGCATTCGTTGCTAGTGCTTTCCGGGGAGGCAAGGGAGCTCCATTCGCGGCCTTTTCAGTCTGCTGTGTCCCGGGTGGCTGACGTACGATTTCAGCGCGTTCTGACACTACATCAAACGTACGTGGATTCTCCAAGTGGAAATCCTCATCAAAGTAGACGTTCGGTATGGTCGAAAGAGGTGTCGGTTCATTGCGGTTCCTTCGAAACTGAGCTGAAGACCTCCTCCTGGGTTGTCCTGGCCCTTCTATAGGGGAGAGAGTCGTCATCGAGCTTTGTCTTGATATCGTAGGCGGCGCAGATGTCTCTCTGCTCAGCCTCCTTTCCAAGGCTTCCGCAAATCGATCTGTCTTTTCCAATTCCTTGTCCTTCTTCAACCATTGCGGCTGCTCTGGCTCTGTTCTGCCTCTTTGAAAGCTCTCAAACAGCGGGCCGATGCGATTGAGGTAGTCGCGGAAGTTCTCAGGGGCCACGTGAGGGACATTTGTCAAGGTCACTGAGGGGATGTCTCTGGTTGTAGGGGCCTTGAAGCCGGAAGCAGCTGCCTGGGCTTGGGTATGAGGCAGTAGACCTGTCCGTACAATGGGAGGTTGAAGGAGTGTTGAGATGGCATTTTGATTCGTTTCGCGCACTACGCTCCCCCTTCTGGCCTGTATGTCTAGACTCCCGCCTATGGAGCCTACCGATACGGTACTGGCAGCGCTGCCTCTTCTCGGCATGTACCTGCTCGAGGCCTGTCGCGAGAAGGCATCCTGGGGAGGGAATGGGAATGAGTTCTGGGGCGTGCCCGGGGTGACGGGCGACTGTAGGGTGTTGCTATCGATGGACAGTCGCGGAGAGGAAGATGACATGGCCGGGACGGGTCGAGTGGAGGCCGCGCCGCTGTTCGCCTCATGAGGAGTGGGCGGAGGTGTCGTATGCGCCGCTATCGACAGGATCGGGAAGGACAGGTGTGGTGTTGCAGGCAGAGAGTGGCCTTTATTGTTGCTGGGGGCCGGCAGCTGTGATGCTGGACGCCTCCAACGACTCGGCTGTCCGTCCAATGCCAGCGTTGGGCTAGTCCGGCTGCGGCCCTGCAACCACTTTACGCGGTCAATCAATTGAAGATGGTGAAGAATAAATTGATTATCCCATTTCCACCGCTCATATAGATCTGCTGAGACTCCAAAGAAGCACAATATTCATTCACATCCATTCAGATATCGATTGTAGTACAGCTTCTTCATTCATTCATCAACCGATCCCGACCGTCACGTGCTGAGTCAAACGCGCCTTCCGCGAAAGTCGCGTCTCCAGCGCGTCCCCATCTGAACCTTCTCAGCGGTTACTTTCCCCTCTTCACCACCCACCACACAGCACAACGCATCAATGGACAGGCAATCGGTATACTCCCTCAGCCTGTTTGGCGACAACAGGAGCGCGAATGGCGAGGAAAGTGTCAAGCAGGCCCAGCGCGAGATTGTCAAGTTTGTACTGGAGTTCCATCTGGACGGCGTCTACGTATACCGGTATGGAGAGTCACTCTCTCTTGTGGGAATGGGTATTTCTGACCTCCATACAGTGACCAGATCAGGGAGAATGTGCTATCAAAGCAGTACTACTGCGACATCGACATCGCCCACATAATCGCGTTCGACGAAGAACTTGCCGACAAGCTCAACAATCAGCCTGCTGAGATCATCCCAATTGTAAGAGCAGAGTCGCTTACAACACCGATACATGACTGATAGGATTTCTAGTTCGAAGCGGCTCTCAAAACCTGCACCCAGCGCATCCTCTACCCATCACGAAGCGAAGACGACCTTGCCCTCGCACGAGCTCTCCCTGAGCACCAACTCCTTATCCACTCGTCCGTATCTCAAACATCCATTCGCGGCCTCACTGCCACAAATGTCTCCCATCTCGTTCGCATACCCGGCATCGTAATTGGCGCCAGCACGCTCAGCTCAAAGGCCACCAAAGTTCACATTCAGTGCAGGAATTGCCAACATGAGGACAACATTTTGGTCAGCTCAGGCTTCACTGGCATCACACTCCCAAGGACATGCGGAAGACCCAAGGCGCCAGACGATGGAGGAGATAAATGCCCTCTAGACCCATACTTTGTTGTGCACGAGAAATCGCAGTTCATTGATCAGCAAGTCCTCAAGCTGCAGGAAGCACCAGACGACGTACCGGTTGGAGAACTTCCCAGACACATTCTCGTCAGCGCAGATCGATATCTTGCCAACAGAGTCGTGCCAGGTTCGAGATGTGTCGTTATGGGTGTATTCAGCATCTACCAAAGTCAGAAGAATAGCAAAGGAAGCGGTGCAGTCGCGATTCGAAATCCCTACCTCCGAGCAGTGGGGATCCAGACGGACATTTCCCATAACCAAGCGGGCGGCATGGGTATTCAGTTTACGGAAGAGGAGGAGCAAGAGTTCTTGGAAATGTCGCGCAGACCAGACATATATACGATCTTCGCCGATTGTGTCGCGCCGTCGATTTACGGCAACAACGACATCAAGAAAGCCATTACTTGTTTACTTCTAGGTGGCAGCAAGAAGATCTTGCCAGACGGTATGAAGCTCCGTGGAGACATCAACGTCTTGCTTCTTGGTGATCCTGGTACGGCGAAGTCTCAACTGCTCAAGTTCGTCGAGAAGTGTTCTCCAATCGCAGTCTATACCTCCGGAAAAGGCTCTTCGGCAGCTGGTCTGACGGCGAGTGTTCAACGAGATACCACCACCAGAGAATTCTACCTCGAAGGTGGTGCCATGGTGCTTGCAGATGGTGGTGTTGTCTGTATTGATGAGTTTGACAAAATGCGAGACGAAGATCGAGTAGCCATTCACGAAGCTATGGAACAGCAGACCATCTCCATCGCAAAGGCTGGCATTACGACCATTCTCAACTCACGAACCTCTGTCTTGGCCGCAGCAAACCCCATCTTCGGCCGATACGATGATCTGAAGTCACCGGGCGAGAACATCGACTTCCAGACCACCATTTTGTCTCGATTCGACTTGATCTTCATCGTTCGCGACGACCACGACCGGAATCGTGACGAAACCATCGCCAAGCACGTCATGGGCATCCACATGGGTGGACAAGGTGTGCAAGAGCAGGTGCACGCAGAAATCCCAGTCGAGAAGATGAAGCGATACATCAGCTACGCCAAATCTCGCTGTGCGCCTCGTCTCTCTCCTGAAGCCGCCGAGAAGTTGAGCTCGCATTTCGTGAGTATCAGGCGGCAGGTTGCTAGAGCGGAGCAAGATGCCAACCAGAGATCGTCAATCCCTATCACCGTCCGTCAACTGGAATCGCTCGTTCGTATCACCGAATCCCTGGCCAAGATCGAGCTGCAACCAATCGCCACGGAGAAGCATGTCGATGAGGCTATTCGATTGTTCCTGGGCAGTACCATGGATGCTGTGATGAGTGCTGGTGGCGATACCTCAGCGTTGGGCATGACTGGCAACCGGGAGCTGGTCGAGGAGGTACACAAGGTTGAGGATGAGTTGCGAAGGAGGTAAGCATTCACATGCCAAACCAAACCCTGACGAGACTGACGAACTTTTCAGATTACCCATTGGATACACATCATCTCTGGCTACCCTTCGTCGAGAATTCGTGGAGCGCAAGAACTACAGCGAGCAGTCCCTGAACCGCGCCTTGCAAGTGCTCGTGCGGAGGGAGAGCATACAGTTCAGGCGAGGCGGCACACTGGTTCACCGCAGTGGTGTTTAAGACATCTTTGATCTCGGTACGTGTTGATGAGCGATGCGGGAGTACAGGACTGTACGGCGTTTAGGAGTCTTCACCAAAGCGAAGTGGCTGCTGGATAGGATGAACTGTTTAACATGGAGAGGTCATTTACGTCGGTAGTTGAAGAATTGCAAAGAGTTGCCGGAAAGACTGCATGCCACTAGGGCTTCCTATTCTCATCGTTACATTTTTCAGCATGTGCATCTTGAAATTGCCGCTAACGAGACTAGCGCGAGGAGATCAAATGGGGAAGGCACGAGCAAGGTACTTTCCAAAACTTCATTACGAACCACTGAACACTTCCTTCCTATCACCCATAAATACACCTAAGTACTCTGAAATTTAGCCTAAGGCTACATGTTTTAGAAGGAAGCAATTCGCCCGGCGCGAGATATGTAAACATGCTATAGATGTCTACTAAAAGGTCGAACTCCCTCCGGTAAGCCTTCAGCGAGAAGCTTTGCTTCCCTTCGCCCTTTGTGGTTCTAGACCCCGAGGCGACTATGTTCATTCCAAATCTAGCCACTACTATCCACTCCGGAGCTTATCAGAGATATAGGCAAAGCTCTGAAGGATCGACAGGAAAGAAGAGCTTCCACACAGCTTCGACGATGACGTCTATCCAGAGAAAATAAATAAATATCAAAGTGCTCTGTCGAGAAAGAACCCAGCATTGAACCATTCCATCTTTCCACGACACCACCCAACTCTCAACCCCCTAACCAACGAAAGAAAACCACAACGAAAGAAAACCACAACGAAAGAAAACCACAACGAAAGAAAACCACAACGAAAGAAAACCACAACGAAAGAAAACCACAACGACGAGAACCAGAAAAGAAAAGAAAAAATGTCCCTAACCCTCATCTCCGCCACGCCCTCCCCCTACGCGCGGATCAACCGCATCGCCCTACACCTCAAGTCCATCCCCTTCACGCTCCTCAACGAAATCCCGTGGCACAAAACCGAAACCCAAACGCCGCAATACAACCCCCTGGAAAAACTCCCCGTCCTCATGTTCCCCCCCGAAGAACACCGCGCGCCGATCTACGACTCGTCGCACATCCAAGACTTCCTCGTGACGCGCTACGCGGACCGGGGCCCGCGGCTCGTGACGGGGGAGTGGGAGGCGGATATGAAACTGAAGCAGGTGCAGGTGTTGGCGCAGGGGGTGATGGACGCGGTGGTGCTCAAGTTCTTCGAGCGGGCGCGGGGGGAGGAGAAGGCGAGTAGGGAGTGGGAGGGGCGGCAGGATCGGAAGATTGTGGGGGGGGTTTTCGGGCGTTTGAGGAGTTGGCGAGGGGGAGGGAGGGGGAGTTTCTGTTGGGGGGGAGCTGACGATTGCGGATATTGCGGTCGTGTGTGCGGTGGGGTTTGTGGGGTTTAATGGGGCGTTGGGGGAGGGGTGGGAGGGGATGTATCCGGAGACGGCGAGGTATTTTGCGGTGTTGGATGGGAGGGAGGGAGGGGTTTCGGGAGACGAGGCCGGTGATGTGTGAGTATTGAATGTGTTGGTGTTGCTGTGGTTGTTGATGACGATGTGGGTGTGTGTTGTAGTTGATATCAAGCCGGATCAGGTCATCTAAGTGAGAGGGACTTGTTATGGAGCGATGGTCAAGTTGTATTGCAGGTTGTCCGGTGGAAACTGTCGACTTTATCCGTCCAGGTCATGCACAAACAGCTGCGTTTGGCTTCTTCTGAATGCCAGCAGTCGCTGCTTGCCTATACAGGCGATGTAGGGATTAATCAGCCGGGTTCTGGATCATGCGTGTGTACGAGATAGTCAGCGGCAACGAATTGACAATGGCATTGAGCCAAACCAATCCTTACAGCGTCTTACTTGGACGTTAGTGTGGCGTATGTGTAGAGGCCTTGCGGTCCTGTGGTCATCGGCTGCTGTCCGTCGATCGAAGGTGTTGATGTCCCGTACATGGTCTTCATGTTTGAAAGTCGGAACCCCTTGCCTTGATGGAGGAAGTTGTAACCGCCTCGTAATGCCCAAGGTCTGATATGTAGCCTTCAATCAAGCGTCATTTGCTTCAGTTGGCCAAAGTCGGTACGAGGAGGGCAGTCAAGAGGTGTCTCGATCTGCTGGCTTCGCTCTCAAACGCGCAATTGTTCCATTCGGTTATTGGACGTTTAGTATCGAGTAGATGTGGCCGAGCATCGCGTGGTTCTGTTGATGAAGACAGGGTACGAAGATAGAAATATGATGGAGTCTCATCCGACAACTTACACTGTGGCGATCAAGTATATCCTCCTCGTCTTGGACTGAACCATCTGAACGCGGTGTCGAAGGGACCATATCGTCCGTCGCGAAGTCGTTGCAACCGAAAAAGTCGACAAACAAGAACACAGGAGCCCGTCACCTGTGATGCTCTACTTGCTGCGACGCGTCGAGATGTCAGATGCCAGCAGCGCGCACATCAATTGAGCCCATCAGAAAATTGTTGCACGACTTCGACGGCCAGAATCGGCTCAGTTTGTGAACGCAGGCTCGAATTGCGTATCGTTCCACACGTGTCTGCCGATGGCCTCGGACACAACATACCCGAGACAGCGCACCGTCGTATACAATCTACAGTGTGGATTGCAAAGTCTTGGCAGAATCTTCGGTATCGGGACGAATGTCCTAAGAGGGAAGGTGTGAATTGTCGAGTTTGATATTTCTTCTGGTCTTTTGCAAGGGAACAGTTCCTCCATCGTTTGGTAGCTCGGGATGTGTATCCGTGATGGTTCGTTGGGATGTAGTGACCTCGTGGGGACTTCGGCGGCGGGAAGACTTTCCTGTAGGGCGTAACTCCCAACCACGGCCCTCGTTTCGATGGGGTAATTGTCCAGGTCTTTGCAGGTTTTGTTGTTGCTGCTTGCTGGGTTCGTTAGAAAATCTCTGGTGAGGCTAGACAGACGATGGCCAAAATCGACTCGATCACTCCACTTAAGTGCTTTGAGATTTGCCAGAGGTGTACCCTCCTCGTTCAGCTCAATCGAACCTCATGGAAATGTCATCTCTCCGATTCTTCAACAGGGACAACGCTTCTGTTGACATTTCAGGCAAATCAGATAGCCTGCGGGTGATGGGGAATATTCCACTGTGCGCAGAATATCCAAGGAAAAACAGCTCAATGCCCTCCCCACTTTCTGGCAACAACGCTGAGCAGGCTTGGTTGAATACCACTAATGAAGTGCTTCGTTGAGACGGAAGAACGTGGTCCTTATGTTGGTCTCGGAAGCGCTGCCGCAGGTTCATCACCATCATCGTTCTGTCGGGGGAATCCCCGATTGGTACATGCCAGCTTGTTGATCCTGTCGGCTGCAGGTAGACGACATCGATGAGTAGGAATCGGCACCTCGCAGTCGACATGCGCAAAGCCTACACCGCTGGGCCTTTTCCCGTTGCAGCCGGCGGGTAGGTGGAGGAGCATAGTGGTGACGTTCGAGGAGGTTTGCTCGCAAGGTCGTCATGAAATGGCACAACGTAGACATACGACGCTGGATTAGAGTTCGGCGTACCTGAATGGCAGGCTAGCTTTAATGTAACAACGTACGACCGGCCGTATTTGGACACTGCAAGTCGAGCAACGCGCTGGTAGGAGAAAGCGGAGATGCAAGAAGATGGAGTTCGGGAGCTTGCAACTCTAGACGGGCTCTGTGTAAGATGCGCCATGAGCTCGATCGGTTGTAGACGCCGAGGCGTGGCGGCCGTCAAGGTTGAGAGCAGGAAGTCTTTGCAGCCGCGGCGAAGCTATTGGTGGAATGTTAGGTAAGAATGGGAAGGTTGAAGGACGTTAGGTAACGCAGGCCAGGATTTGCTGTGGCTAGAGCATCATCAAGGTGAAGTTCCTCCTTGGCAGGGAGTGGCTGATCGAGGCCGTCACCTGACGTTGCTGCTCTTCGCCAACGGGCGGGAATTCGCAGGCGTCGGCGGCGTCAAGCTCCCAGCGTGCTGTTGTTGCGCTGGTCGGCGATGTCTGCGTGTGTGCAGACGGTGTGGTATGAAGCTGGCGGACGCCACCACCACTGGCAGCAGAAGCAGGGGCAGCCACGGCCACGTTGTGAATTGCGGAGAAGCGAAGCCGAAGTCGTCATTGCTGGCTGTCCGGTGTCCATTTCTCGTCCGTCTCTTGCTCTGTCTGGCGCGCCGGCTGCTGATGCTGCTGATTGATGAGGCCGGCCTGCTGCTGTACCACCGCGTGCTGAGGACGCTTCTTCCTTCTTACTGCTCCATCCCAACCCAGTCAATGCCAGTCATGACGCCTGTGACGCGCTACGGCTTCGTAGCCTCTGGCATTAGGTAACACCTTTTTCATCTCACTCCCAACAATCCAACAGCCTGCCTCAGCGCTCGCAACGTGGTGGACCGCTCCTCATCGTCGCCTGCTCTTACGCCATACACACCACCGATCCGGTGTTGTCCTTCTTGCCGGCCCGTCTGCGACTGCTGGCCCGGGGTTCACTCCTCCCCACCAACCGCACACCACTCTGCACTCTGCACTGCGTCCGCTCGGCTGTTATCAGCACGCACCTAGCAGCATGGGCCTCTCTCCTCCACCTCTCCTCTGCTCTCATCTCCCGCCCTGCTAACCTGCGCACCACCACCTCTCCTCGAGCTGCACAAGCAGCCGTCGTACGACTCGCGCGCAGTGCCGCCCACCGCCACTGTTCCCGCAGTCCCTTGCGCGACGCACTCTCATCTCGTTCCCGCCAGCGCCAATCTCGACGGCTCATAGCTAGATTTCGACCGTACCGGTGTACTACCGCTCCGGCTCGAGCCTTGTTCACGCCCATCGATCATCCGCATTACCCCACACGTCCTGATACTTTGGCTCATCAAAGATTTCTTCGATACCTTGGTATTGGACCTCCCGCTCGACACCTCTTCCCTCCCGGACTCTTCCCGACCAGGTCCCTGCCCCCGTCCATGCCGCTCTTGTGATGACATCGAAAGTGGTTGCGACTATTAACTCGACTGGCAGGCAGGCTGCTTCGTTCATCCGCGCTGCATCTGCTGTTGGCTGGCATGTGCGCGCCCAGGTGCGCAACAATGAGGGTCTCGTAGCCGAAGAGCTCGACACCCTGGACAATGTCGAGCTCATCGAAGGCGACCTGACTGGCCCCGACCGCTCACGCTTGCTGGCTCGACTCTTCACTGGCGCCAAGATTGCCTTCATCAACACCACTCACTGGGGAGATGAGGTTGCCATTGGTAGAGCATGCGCTGACGCTGCGAAGAAGGCTGGTGTCATGCACTATGTCTACTCGAGCATGCCAGACCACTCTACCTTTGGTGAAGACTGGAGAGCCTTGCCTATGTGGGCGACGAAATTCGCCATTGAAAACTACGTGAGGCAAATCGGCATCCCAGCAACCTTCATCTACACCGGCATCTACAACAACAACTTCACCAGTCTACAGTATCCCCTCTTCCAGATGGAGCTTCAGGATGACGGCAGCTTTGTTTGGCAAGCGCCTTTCCACCCTGATGACCCACTGCCATGGCTGGATGCTGAACATGACGTTGGGCCGGCACTTTTACAGATCTTCAAGATGGGTTCCAAACATTGGAAGGGACAGAGGTGAGTTTGACATGCACCACCCGCTAAATTACTCGACTAACCTGTTGTTCGCCAGGGTGACTATGGCTTTCGAAAAGTTGACGCCAATCCAAGTATGTGCTCGATTCTCGCGTGGTGTTGGCAGACCCGTCCGCTACATTCACGGGCCCATCAAGATCCAAGTATCGATACCGAGTGGATACCGAGAGCAACTCGAAATACTACAAGAAACACTTGGACAAAAGCGTGCGCCTTACTTTGGTCCTGATCTAGAGTATCCTCAAGAAGGCCGCAGCATATGGGAGGGCTACCGAGGCATCGAAGAGTACGCGCGTGAAGTCTTCCCGATTGAAGAGTACGCCAACGGCCTCACTTGGATGGAAGAGGATAGAGACATGTCGGATTATCCCACGCCCAGTGACTTTGGCGATGGCGCCGAAGGCACGAACGGCGAGGGTGGACGATCACGGCCGATGACGCCTGCTGGTTCCCGTGTTCCTCTTCACATTTCCGGAGCGTATACCCCTCGATCGCACCCTGAAGGCTTACACGCAGGTTTCTTTGTTGGCAGCTGCTAGATGCAGGTCACAGTGGGATCAATATTGGTGGCGCTAGGCGGATGTTTGCAGCATTTCACACAAGGAGCATCACGGTCACTGGGGGATGGGAGACAAAAGTTTGGAAGCGACAACAACACCTCAAAGGCAGGAGAGGAAGGAGCGTTCACACCGAGCAAGGGTTGTTCCCTTCGCCCTCTGTGCCACAAGATACCAACACCTGCATTACACTCTTCTACCAAAAACGTAGTCTAAATTCCAACACAGCAGCATCACATCCTCTGGTCATGTCCCGCCAAGTTCACCTCATCGCGTTGATATCAAGAACTGAGTCGGACCGACAAAGACCATCGGTGAGAAGAAAAGACGAGACGAGACGAAACGTTGGCACGAAAAAAGCTATGCATGTGAACGATCTGATAAAAACCCACCCGATATCAATCTCTCTCGTGAGGGAGGAGCCGGATTGGCCGGGCCGTTCTACCGGGGGCTCGGTTCTTTGGGAAGAGGAGTTCCACATGTTCGGAAGCACGAGACCGAGACATATGGGGAACATGCTTCTTGGCTTTGGGGGCGTAGGCGAGATGCGATGGGGAAGGGATTTGACTGACTAGAGTGGGAATGTATGGGTTGCTGATGTGAGTACACAGGAGATGATAATCGATCTATGCTATGATGTTACATACAGGACTTCAATGCTTTTTTGTGGGGGACGACGACGACGCCAGAACAAATGGCATTGTCCGTTTAGGACGCCTTCTTGGCCTTCTTCGAGGGACCGGGACCGTCGCTCATCCTCTTGCGAGTCTTGCCCTTGTCCTGCACCAGAGCGCGGATATCCACCGGCTCGCCCTCCGCCTCGTCGTCTTCTTCATCATCCTCATCATCGTCCTCGAAGTCGATGTCCGACATCTCCTCGATCTCCTGCGCCTGCGTAAAGAACTTGATCGCATTCGGCCACAACTCCTCGGCAATCCCAATCGCCAACTCCTCGCCCGCCTCGTGCACCTCGACATCCGAGTCGTCGTTCGCGGCGAACTTCTCCTCCTCATTCTCCTCCTCGTCCTCAGGCTCCTCGACCTTCTCACCCTTCTTCCTCCGCTCCATCCTCTCCCTATACTCCCTCTGCGCCGCCTCGCTCTCCTCCGCACTCACCCACCGCCGTCCACTCACCCACCCAAACCACGTAAAGAAACTCGTACTCGCCCCACCCCCCAAATGCTCCACCAACTTCCGCACCTTATCATACTCCACCCCCTCCTTCCTCAACATCTCCCCACCCTTCTTCCTGCTCTCCCACAGCCCCACCGCCGCATCCCCCAACCCCTCCGTCAAATCCCTCCCCTTCTTCCAATGCACCTTCACCGGCTCGCTGACCAGCCCCGTCCACCCGTCCTTCGCGCGGCGATACCAAAACTCCTTCTCCAACACCGTATCCTCGAAGTCCTCATTCTCCTTGAACTCAAACCGGATCTTCAAACTCCGCGGCGATGCGTCGTCCCCGCCGGCGTCGAGTTCCGGGCGTGTGACGCTGAGGTTCAGGAGGGACTCGCCGAAGATGCGCGAGTCGGAGGGTTGGACGAATTGGTCGATTTCCGGCGGGGCTTGTTCGAGGACGAGGGCCCAGAAGTTGGGGATTTTGGCGATGGCGGCCGCGCGTTTGGTGTAGAGGGGTTTGGTGAGGTCGTATTGTTTGCGCACTGGATGTCACAAGTCTGTCAGTGGTCTGAAGGTCGAATTGGAGGATTTTTTGGAGGTGGAGTGAAGCAACGTACTGATCTCGCTGTCGACTTCTTCGAATTCATCCTCGAGGAGCGCGAGGTCCTCGTAGGAGATTTGGGCGGCTTCTGCTTCGGCGGAGGCCATTCTGAGGAGAAGTCAGTCTGTTGTTGTTGCGGGAGGTGAAGAGAATGTTGGCTTCGAGGAAAAAAACCGTGTCGCACAAGCTCGAAGCTTGCTGGAGCTTGACGTCGTTAGGGGATCAGGGACCTGACTTAGCGCCGGGTCGGGTCGGAGATCTAGCGAAGGAAGGAGGCTGGGAGTTTGGGGAGGATGTGTTGTCTTCGTCATGATGGCTTAGGCTTCTTTCACTTTCATGCACGTTTCTCGACCTCTTAATCGTAAAGTGCGAAAGGACCAGATCTTCTCGTCCCAAGATATCGATTCTTAGAGGCCTGCATGCCATGAGCGAGCTACGAAAATGTTTGAGCTACCAATATGATTCTTCCAACAGAGCGCTCGTCATTCACGAGGCTACAGTCCCTCAAACTCACAGCTTCTGAGACCTAGTCGAGCGCGTGGTCCTCGGCGAAGCAGCCTGCACATTCTCCTCAGCACCAGCATCCTTCTGGAGGTCCTTCCACCACTTTCTCAACTCAGCGACACGCTGCCTCTCTTCCTCGCCCAACTCCACAGGCGGGCCTTTTGTCTCCTCCCTCGCACCAGAAGTCGCGGAGAAGCTCGCTCCACGCTTCCTCGTGACAGGAACGTGATTCTCAGTATCGGAGCCTTCGCCTTCATTCTCGGCAAAGCGCCACACGCACCACGCGCTGGAATCGGTGGAGATGAGGTAGGGATTGCGCTTGCGAGTTTTGACCACGAATGCACGCAAGAGGACTACGTCGCCGGCCTGGGCTTTTGGCAATGTGGAATGCCATGGTCGGAAGACCTCCACTCTGATGGAGTCGGCGGCAGGAAGGCTGGAGTCGGCGGCAGGAAGGCTGGAGTCGGTAATGCGGAAGATGGTGAAGTAATCTCTCGGACCACTCTTAGCACGCTCCGGTGCCTTCGTCCCATCCGTGACTACTGCAAGAACGTCAACTGTGTTGTCGGTCTGGTACTGGCTCGCTGGGCCGAGCTTCTCTTCCAGGTTCGAAAGAGGGATGAAGTAGGAAAGGGGCGTGGAGAACCCATGGCTTTTCTGGCGTTTGAGAGGTGTTGGCTTCTCTGCGACGGCGCTTGTCTCTTCTGCCGCAGTTTCAGTACGAGTAGAGCGTCGTGGAGAGAACCAGTCAGCAATTGCTGCAGGCACACGGCCGAGTTGGGTGGTGAAAGACTTCCTCGATGCAGTGGAAGTCTTTTGAGGAACAGCAAGCTGTGCGTCGGTCATCTCCTTATCTTGATCGCGGTCCATCTGCACCAGACTCTTCCTTGCCGACTGACGAGTACTAGCCTTTACTGGAGGAGTGACGGAGATTGTGTCCTCCATGTCCTCAGTCTCCTTGACGGCGTTGGCACTTTCAAGTTCACCCTTCGTACGGTGTGTCTGCTGTTTTGTCGACGCTTGCCGGCCACTTCGCTTAGCTGGTGTCGCGACTTCCATGTCTTGAGATAGCTTATCCGATGTCTGGCTTTCGACTTGCGGCTTCCTAGGCGAACGTCGAACAGGCGTCTTCTGAGTTGATGGGAACGAAGACTGTTGAGGTGAAGGCTGTGATGCGATGTCTCCAGACTCTTCCTCTTCCTCGCGCTCTGCAACCTTGTCAAGAGCCTCAGTGGGAGCGTGCGACTTCCTAGGTGAACGTCTCACGGGCGTCTGTTGGGTTGGGCTGAGAAGAGTATGGTTGGTGTCAAGCTGCACGCTTCGACGGCGCCGTTGCGAAGCTGTGACTTGAGCGTGCTGGCAGTCATGTGAAGTATCGACATCCACCTTCGCAGGCTCTTCAGCGTCTTCCTGTGTTTTCCGAGGTGATCGTCTCACATGTGTCTTCTTGGCCGGACTACCAAGAGCCTCGTTCGCAGCCCTCTGGCCTCGTCGCGTGCGTGGTGGCGTGGTAGGCTCCTGCGGTGTGACCCCTTGGTTGGCTTCCTCCACCACCACCTTCAGTTCGTCATTCGTTTTGGAGTCACCTTGGGTGAGCTGTGGCGTGGGTGGAAGCTCGTTCGGGACGCTGTGGTATGCAATCTGCGTCTCGAAGCCCTGCGACTCCACTCTATGCTGCGAATCTTCTGGACTGATTGGCAAAGCAGGGTGTGAAGCCTGCTCAGATCGTACTACCGTCTGTTGGTCAAGATTCTGGATTTCGTCCACCAGTTCAGTTTCGACGACCTCTTCAACCACTTCAACATTGTTCGGTACCGGCTCTTGCTCAAGTGCGATCTCCTCAGACAAGCGACGCTTCAGGCTTGAGTTGATCTGAGCGACTTCAGGTCGTTGCGTTTGTTCTGAGAAACTCGACACCTGGACACTGTCAGTTTCCATTTCTTCGATGCGTTGGAATGGCTTGGGCGCGTCTGGCTGCGCAGCATCAACGTCCATGGCCACACCATCCTGCAAATCCTCCTGAATGTGGATGGATTGACCGGGATCGATCGAAGGTCTATCCACCGTCTCGGCCATCTCGAGAGCAGGATCAAGAATCAGAGCGCCATCGTGTTGAGTGACTGTAAGCTCTTCGGGTGCTGTCTGGTCTGGCCAAGCGACAGGTGCAGACTCAATCTGTTGCTGTTCTTCGGCGAAGGACTGGACTTCAGTCGGAGGCAGATTATCACTGTTATCTGTGGCAACGGATGTCGCAGACTGGAAAGAGAAGTAGTGATACGGATCGTTGGCTGTAGCTGCCGCCTGCTGGGTCATCTGTGGCATTGCAGCACCTTCGAACTCCTGATTCTGAACTTGCTCGGCGAAGAATCCATCTGGTTGATTTCGACCCAACCATAGTCCATTCTCTTGGGACGTGTCGGCGATGATGGTTTCATACTCCTCCGCTATGGGCGTTGCAATCTCAGACCTATCAACGGTGGTCTGTGTGGTGTCCAACATGTCCGATTGCAGAGCGCTGCCCTGAGAGTCTTGAGTAACATGCCGAGAAGCACTTTGCGATGGCCGATCCGGAGGATGCAAACTCGGAGCAGGCATTCTCTGCTGAGTCAAACTTGGATAGGACGGCTCATCGTGTTCAGGCTCAAGCCTTGGATTCTGCTCTTCAGTTTTACCAACGACCTGCTTGGGTGCTTGTGGTGGTTGCTCATCTTCGTCAGAGCTGTCGCCGAGGTCGGCAACCGTTACCTGCGTAGGTCTAGGGGCGGAGCTGGATGGTGGCGATTGAGGCTCCTCGAGTCTCTCAGGAGCAATCGCTTCCCCAAGTTCCTGATTGATTGGAACCCCGTCAGGGACAGGATCCTCGTGAACGTCCTCCATCTCGACATCAATCTGGGGCGTTTCGTTGATAACTGGTGTTTCGGCCTGGTGAAAAGGCTTTTCCGTGGCGGTCTTGCTGGCTGGAGTCTGATCAGTACCACTGTGCTTTCCATGGTCTTTCTCTTGCTCGTCCGCGTGCACAGCTGACAGGAGCGAGCCATCATTGACATCAGTGGCCGGTAAGCTATCACCAGTCTCCTCAATGGCTTCAGCGGCTCCCGCATCCAGTGCCTCGAAGTTCTCAGTCTGTTTCTCCAATGCCGATGGGACTTGGTCCCTGAGATGGTCGGCGACATCTGAATCAGGTTGGGCAGCGACTTCGGGCATGTCCTGCTCTTGCTTCACGTCTGCATCGATGCCAGTGTCCTTGACTGGTATGCCTGCAGGTTCAAGCTTCTCTTTCGTGTCTAGAACTGATTGCGCGACAGGCATAGCTGGTGTGGGCGTCAGCGGTTGTTGCTGTCTGGGTAATTCGGGTGAAGGTGAAGCTCTGAATCCAAACAGACTGCTGAAAGTCTTCGCCATGATACGTTCCTTCTCAGACTGTGGCGTTGACTTTGGCTGGAAGGGAGTGTCATTAGCAGCTCCATCAAAGCCAAAGAGTCCAGGCGGTGGTCGTGTTGGTGTCTTCAACGTTTCTCGATTCTCTTTGCGGATTTCTTCTCTCGCTTCTGTCAACGATTCGAGTGCGTTTGCTGGTAATGAGAGTTTCGCCTCTGGGGTAGACTGCTTCTCCGTAGCAGCCGGCTTAGTCTCTTCGACTTCATTTTGACTTGCCATTTCTAGGCTGGCGACGGGCTCCTGCGGCGTCTCTGAGATCTCTACGACATCCTCCTCGACATCTTCCTCGACATCTTCCTCGCTTTCCTCCTCGTCCGATTCTTCGGATCCAGGTTCTTCGCCCATGTCATCAGGCTCTATGACTTCCTCAGCATCGTCCTCATGAAGTTGAGACGATTCGTCGTAGTAGCCTTCCTCCTGATGATCGACTCTGACTCGCCCGCTCTCGGTAACAGATGGGAATCTCCTGCGCATGTGGTCATAATACATATCTTCATCTTCCTCGGTATCGGACAGATACTCTGGAACGGTGTGTTGATCATGGTGCTGTACATCTGTGAACATGGATTGCTGTAAACCTGTGGTATCGATGTTGGGGCGTTGGTTGAATGAGTCCTCCTCGTCACGCACGATCTCTGCTGTGGATGCAAGACTCGCTGCTGGCGAAGAACTCAGTATTTGCGGATGGTCTGGTTGAGAGCCTGCTTGTACAACCTCGGGAACATCAGTGATGACGTCCAGAATTTCCTGGGCGATAGACTGCTCAGGTTGAGACTGCGTTCGTCTTTGGATTTCATTATGTCTGGCAGCATCAGCTGCTTCAACGAGGGCATCCAGAGCAGTGGGCCCGGTGGTCGAACTCAGAACTTGACTGCCAAATTGAATCTGCGAAGCATCTGTTGGGAAGGGTGACGGTAGTGGCAGAGCAGATGAAGGAACAGGATGCAGCTTGGGCGTCGAAGGGCCGTCGTCGTCAGCGTTTCCGCTCTGCTGGTTTTCTTCTGTCTGCAGGAAAGGAGGGTCCGAAGGTAAATGGAGTCGTGGCAATGGTGGTGGTGGCATGGTTTGAAGACCAGAGATTCGAGAAGGAGATTGACCAGTTTCTGCGAGCGGAGACTCAGCTGCTGATACGTTCTGCACCGCAGACTCTCCTAGCTGCTCTACAGCGGATCGATTATCCGGCTTGCTTGTGGCCTGGTCCTTTTCAGCATCAACCTCCATGACCGTGACGTCCTCCTTCTCAGGACTAGGTGTCCTCCCGGTGAGCTTCCACCGCTTCACGCCGCCAAAGGAGATCCTCTGCCTCTTCCTAGCACCAACATTGTCTTCAAGCTCCTTCTCCACGTCCGCAAAAGGGTCCCAAGACGTTTTGTCCGTTGACAGTCGCGATCTCTTCACAAACGCAGGACTGGAGTAGATTGGAGTAACATCGGCACCGCCCATACTCATCCGCATCCACAATGGCGCAGCCCTCACTGGAGTTGCATGGTTTCCATTTGCCATTAGCTGCTCAGGCTCCTCTGGGGGAGGGGTGGTCTCGTTGACCTGGATCCTCACATCACTCTCCTCTCCACTGGCTTTCTTCGACACACTCAAAGCCAACTGTCCCCCATACACGAGCTCCCCATCAACGCTCTTGCCAGGCGTAGCGACCCGCGTCTGCTCGCCCGCCCATTGCGCGCCTCCGAGCTCCAGTACCAGCTCATCACCAATTCCAATACGGCCTTTCGCAACGGCCTCTGCGCTAGCTCCTGTAAAGCGAACTCGCACCTGCCCTTTCTTATTGCGCAGGCGGAAGTCCGGGTCTGCGAGGAGCAGCGCACATTGCTTGGTGCTGGAGCTGTAGGGCCATAGCAGCGAGACGACAGCGCGGATGGATTTCGAAGCTGGCGGGGCCTCGGAGGGCGACAGGACGTTGATTGGGATGGTCGTCGCCTCCATCTTGGGTATGATTTCAATCGTCAGGTGAGTTCAGCATTTTCGTCCAGTACTCGTACACTCGTCGAGTGGTGGCGTGTTGGTGTCGTGTGGCCTTGTCAAAGTCCCGTCACCAATCGTTCGCGTTGTGGTACCGGTGGTCCGTGCATGTCCAGCATGACCTCAGCCAAACACTCAATCCTGCCTCCGCTCAATCACCTTCAACAACTCACAACGACTATGGCACTCGCCGCTGGAAAGGACCGTTTCGAAGCCTGCTGGCGAATTCAAGACTGCGGCTCCTGCATCAACGACAAGCATAGCTGTGGCTGGTGTCCCTTCAGTTCAACATGTGTGCCCGTATCTTCGCTGGTTGACCCAGTATCAAACGGAGCTGTCTGTCCCATGACTTCAGAGCGATTCGAATTGCGAACAAAAGCACTGGGTTGCGGATGCTCTACCACGACGCTGCTCAGCGTGATAGTTACTGTCTTCTCAACGATCGCAGCATTGGCACTACTCTTCGGCATTGGCTGGATTATCAAACGAGTCAACCCCTTCCTAGGCTCTGGAACGTACAAAGGGACCAAAATCGAGGTCAAGTCCGATGGGACTAGAGATGTACGACAATGGGAGAGAGACAACTGGCGCAAGTGGCTTTACCGAGCCTGGGCACGTCCGGACCTCAAACATCACAGCGAACAGCAGGAAGTGACTGAACGATCTCGATTACTTGGTTGAGCTACTTCTTCATCGAGTTCAATCCCTCCTTGATCGCCGCAGCTTGAGCCTTGACATCAATCCAAGCCCAAGGCGCGACAGGCTCAGCTACTGCCCAGATATCATCCACGACTTTGACAAGTTCTTCAGGCAACGATCCTTGATCACAAATCTTCAAATTTTCCTCAATCTGGCTCAGATGAGCAGCAGAAAATAACATTGCATCTCCAAGCTCTCCACGGAGCGCTGAGTGGTGGAGAACCCATCTCATGGCTACCGCATGACCAGTGAGGCCATGCTTCTGAGCAGCCTCGTGCACTTTCATGGCACTGCTCAACAGCTCGTCACGCAAATATGATGCTGAGTAGAATTTGCCAGCGAAGGTGGAGTTGGAGAAGCGGCCTTCTGGCAGGTTGATCGAGTCTTTCGTGACTTTGCCACTAAAGAGACCCGCGGCGGATGGACGGTTATCACAGTCAGTCACGTCGTTCTCGAGACCAAAGCCAATACTTACGAGTAAGCATAGAAAGCAATGCCGTACTTTCTGAGAACCGGCAAGAGCTCCTTCTCAGCCAGTCTCGCCACAGGGTTATACTGCCCCTGATAAACAGTCGGCTTGACGAATCCTGCACGAATCACATCAGCAAAAGACCATCTCGAAACAATCACACATCACATCTTCACCTCTCTTCTCCGCAAACTCCACAATCTCCTCCACCTCCCCAGGAGAATAATTACTCAACCCAAACCTCCTAAACCTCCCCTCCCTCCACGCCGCATCCATCGCCTCCACCGTCTCCTCAAACCGCACATCCACCGACCGCAACGTCAAATACATGACATCCACCTGCTCCACCCCGAGCGCCTTCAAACTCTCCTCAATACTCTTCCTCACATTCTCCTTCGAAAGAGCCTTTTCGATCAAGGAGTTGATTTTCGTGTCGATGGTCGCCCAGGCGGTTGTCCCAGACGAGGCGAGGAGTTCTTCCGAGCGCCCGAGGTGTTCGAGCGGGTAGGCGCGGGAGGTGTCGATTGTGGTGTGGTTGTAGGAGTGGAAGAGGGTGCATTGGGCTTTGACGGCGGCTGTGTCGGGAACGCGAGGGCCGCCGAATTGGCCTGCGCCGAGGATGATCTGTTGTTGTCAATGAGGGCCACTGTAGTCATTAGGATGGTGGTGGTATTATTACCTTGGGACGGTTCGAGAGGTCTGGTGCCATACTGGTAAGAACTACTCCTAAACGACCGATGAAAAATAGGAGAACAAGGATCCTTCAAATCGTGATGGACTGAGTACCTAATGGTGCTTCGATAACTGCCTTCTTCCGAACCGTAAAGCGCATTCCCGCCCCTTCTTATATATCCCATCCCCCAGAGCACCACCAATTCTCTCCACACATACCCATTTCCATTTCCATGCACCGAAACGGACCAAGCCTTACCCCTCTCAACCCCCGTCGCCGCCCTCGGATCCTTCGCCAAGTGCCTCCCATTCGCATCGTCTCTGCAATCGACAGACTGGCAAGACCCTCCCTTTTGCCTATTCAGGCGAAACCCCTCTCACCTATCCAATCGACAACCTCCCGGTAATGCAGTGGAACTGCCATGCCATGGATAAGTCAGCATTTCACATGCATGCGGGACGGGAACGGAATCCTTCTGACAGAGGATGGGCGCCGGGTCTTGGAGCTGCAGGAAACAGTACCGCAAGGTGTGCCGAAACGGGGAGACCTTGTCCGCGGGACACGAATCTTGATTTCCTGTCACTCGGAAGACGGGCGTGGACAAGACGAAGGAAGGAGAATCGAGCAACAAAACACCCAAAACGTTTCCAATTCTCAACATAGCTCATATCTCATTCCTTCCGCCAGCATCATTCATCCCTACCGCCCAAAAGTCCTCAACTCCCACCACCTCACGGGGATATAAGTAACCGCCGTGACAACCAGCGTAAACTCATTCGCCACATCCCCGCCGGAACTTCCAATCAACTTGCCCAGCGGTCCCACATACCACGTCTCCACCATGCCCATGACCCACGCGACGACGCCCAGCGCGAACGCCGTGCCCGCCGCGATGCCGAGCGGGAGGCGTTTGGGGTCGTTCCAGCCTTCGAGGTCGTAGTTGGCGAAGTTGCCTTTGCGGAAGAGGACGTGTTCGGTGAAGACGATGACGAAGTAGGAGGTGCACCAGTAGCCTGAACATTCCACACGGGTTAGCTTAACGTACACAATCGGATAGGGGAAGTGGGCGGGAGTACTGACCGAGCAAAGCAAGGAAGTTCTGCAAATAGGCATTCAACTTCTCCCTCCCAGCCAACGCCAACGCAATGATCACCCCAAAACACGCAATCGTCCAGATAAACCTCGGAATCTTGCTAAACGGCCGCGAAAACTGCTGGCAGGAAATCGCCGCGCTGTACGTGTTGATGATGTTCATGTTGATGCCGCTCAGAACCAACAAGACCAGAATAAACTTGGCGAATCCGTGCGGGTAGAGCATGGTGTCGATGAGGAAGCCGATGCCTTTGTTCTCGTACGTGTCTTTCCAGTCTGGACGGTTGTTGAAGGCCGAGGAGACGACGGCGCCGGCGGTCATGCCGATGGAGGTGGGGATTGCGATGCCGAAGGTCGTCATGAGGAAGACTTTGGTGCGGGACGTGTTGACGGCGTAGTGGACGTAGTAGTCGCTCGCGATGGTCGCCCAGGAGGCGGAGGATCCATACACGACAGCGAGGAGAGAGAGGACTTCGCCTGAGAGGTCTGCGCCGGTGAGTTTCGAGGGCGTGGTGTTGTCTGCGTAGCGTCCCGTCTCGCCGAAGATGATCATGAAGATGATGAAGTACACCAGCCAGGCATACTTCTCATAAACCAAAATCGCCCTCAAGCCCACGAAACTGACCGCGAGACTGCACACCGCGATGATGATGATTCCGGGAATAATACTGATCGCCCCATCAGAAACCCCCGTGAGAGCCAGTCCACCCGTGATACACCCCACAGCAGACCACCCAATCTGCTGCACGGTATTCAACGCCGCGACAATCTTATTTGGATACCACCCCATACTATACCGCCCAATCGAAATCTGCCGGAGTCCCGTCGCAGGGCCCATGGTCGCGTTGAAGCCACTGATCGCGCCGCCGAGGAGGGATGCAAAGATGATGATGAGGATCGACTGCTTCAGATCCAGCCCAAACTCATACCCGAGAAACCCCGTCGCGAAGCAAGAAACATTCATCGTCCCGCTCGCCCAGAGCAGCGCCATGTTCAGCTGCGAATGCCACGATACTGGCTTCTTGTCCTCGGGGCGTTTGCGGTCGATGGCTTCGCTCTCAACTCCAAGCTTCCTGTCGAGCAAGGCCTCGAAATCCCGGAGTTTGGACAGGATGCCATTGTCTTCACGGATCTGTTCGCCGTTGTATTCTTGCTTGGCATCGTCGTCGCGAGGAGACGAGCGTCCAGAAACCTGCGAATCGACATCGATGCGCGTAGCCGCGAGTTTCTCTTCCGTGGTGAGGGGACGCTGCGGCAGGCCGGCGGGGACGCTCGTGATGAGCTCCTCCGGCCGGCCGTGTTGGTTCTCTTCGTCCCAGCCGTTTCCCATCCTGACGATCCCTCGCAATCGATATTGTCCAGGGTAGGTGGAAAGCGGGTAGAGTGAAAGGAAAGAAAGAGGTGAAGTCCAAAAGACAGCTGAGTCGCGTGCCCACAGCCCACAGAAACCCAAAACCCCAGCAGGAAACGGCCACCACGAAAGACGGGACAATTTAAACGGAGTGGCGCGGCGGGCACCAACGACCAAAGAGGCAGCTCTGGGTGATGAATCGCTCACAAGGCGAAAGAGAAAAAGCTTATCTGCGAAGCTAAGATTATGCAAGCTATGCAGGGAAGATTGGGCGACGACGTGTGATTTGTCCACGCGCAGTTCTAGAACTCGGGGAGCGGCACGATATGCGCAGGCCAGACGGTTGTGTCATGTTGGTGTTGGCGGCGATGACCGAACTGCACTGTAGACCAATGTAACCATAAGATGGATTTGATGAAGACAGCGTCGTAGTCGTTTACTCCTCTACTGATAACGTATGGGTATAGTGCACTGTAAGACGGTATCTACCTGTACAGAGCCCGCCCTCCATCCAAGAATCCAATCCCAATCCCAATCACCAACCAACTCCTCGCTGAACGAATCAAAATCAAATCGTCGTATAGGATCCGCTCAAAAACTATCCATCTCTTCCCGTTGCCTCAGAATCTCCTTCGCAAGAGAATCCCCACCCTTACTGCTGAGGCTCATCCAGTGATGCGCGACACACATCGTGGTTGGATCGCAACGGTTGGGATCCTGGTTCTTGCGCCATTTGCTCTCGAGCTCTTCCTTGAAAACATCCCTGGTCCTGGCAAAGGGCGCGATGATTCGATCCATGAGCTCGGGATGCGTCAGGTACAGTGTAGCCAGCTCCCGCTGAGCGACGGGATCACCTTCCTTGGCGGTGATTTGAAGGAGGTATGCTGCGTCTGCCATGCTGTAGCGAGAGACTTCTTCGGCGGATGGGGTGCGACTCGGTGCTGCGAATGTCGCAGAGTCGCGTTGTTGTTGTGCGGTGGATGAGGATCGTCCATGGCCGCGGTTGTTGGAGTGGTAAGCGATGATGCTGTCCGCCGTCTCGACCATGATTGTGCGAGCTTCTTGCTTGAGTGATGTGATGGCTACTGCGGCGTTGCAGAATGCCTTGCCTTCGGGAGTGTTGTGTAGAATGGATGAAGGCAAAAGAGCAGCAATGTACTGCAGGTCTCTGAAGATGGTCGCCGGTCGAAGGGTGCTCTTGGAGAACACATTGCGAAAGCCTGCCACACTTGTTTCCGCAAGTCCGTTTGATCTTCGTTCTTGGACAAGTTGGCCCATCTCCGAGCTTGATCTCGCAAATGACAGTGAAGGGGACTCATTCGCGGCCTGTTCTGCCATGTACGGCACTAAGAGTCGATCAATGTCATACAGACAAGCAAGTTTCGTGGATGGGTTGCTGATCGCAGAGAACTTCTGTAACAGTGTCCTGAACGCGCTGTCGAAGCTGAAACGTGGAATCGTAGGTCGTGGTGGAGCACTTGAGTCCATAGTCGGGGTCTGAGACCCGATGCTGGCATGCACAGCGTACAGACCACGGAAATGTCGGTCCGTCAAATCACGTCCCAGTCCACTCCAATACGCATGATCAGTCTCGCTGCCCTCGTTGAACAGAGTCGATGTGAGATCACTGAGCACAAGACTGGTCGCCCGGTGTCTCAACCTCTCGAGAGACGGCTGATCAGCGATGGTAGATGGATTTGGTAGCTTCTGTGCTGCAGAGTCCAGCGCAGACTGTGTCTGAGAATCTCCAATACTTGTAGCACTTGATGGCGAGTCGACTTCGGTCATCGCAGGCGACCAGAACGGCATGGAGGATTTGCTGGCCAGAGTCGGACTTCGCGAGTCCAGGTAGTCGCGCGAGCTGGCATTGGACAAGGTATGCGATGCACTCGAGAGGCCATCAGTACTTCGAAGCTGGCTCGATAACGACAACATGCCATGCGAGCCCGAAAGACCTGCGAGGAGACTTGGCTTTCTTTGTGCAATTTGCTGCTGACGAAAGACGGCGTCCCTCGCGAATAGTGTGTTCTGCCAAAGGGTAGAACCTTCGGCCGGCGTTGCAACAATCTGGTCCACGCATTTGCGAATCTCCATACACAACTTGTGTAGTCGCTCTTCGCCTCTGCAAAGATTGTCGATGTTCTGACGATCCATCCAAAGCTGTGTCGACTTCGATTGATCATCACTGAGCTTATTTGGGCCTCCGTGATCAGGTTTGGCGCTGAGAATCTCCAGAATCTGTGCTTCTGTTTTGAGGTGCATGTTTGTGCTTGAAAGCTTCGTTGCACTCCAATGTCGCAGTGGAGGAGACAGTCGTGTCCGTGAGAGTCTCTTTGGCTTTCCCATCACACGCAGAGCCGACGCAATCGAGCGTGCCTCGTCATATGGTGCTGAAGTACGAACGTCAGCCACGTACCACATCTTGTCTCTCAGGCGTTCATGCTCGTCCAAGAGAGGCTTCAAAGATTCGTTGTGCAGCTGTTGCAAGGAGCTGAGGGTCCGAACCCAAGCCTCGCATGTATCTTCCAACTTCAGGGCTCGCTTGACTGACTTCCGCGCATTCAATTCAATCTCCCCCAGTAGATCACGGAGAGGGTGCATGTTAGCAGCACGGAAGATATGTGACTGGAAATCTTGATACTGCTGAAACCAAGAGTGCGCCTCAACGAAATTGCCACGATCTTCAGATTCTTGGATCGTTTCCTCGAAAAGTGTCTCCAAGTTGCTCTCGATCTCTTCGAGGGCATGTCGACCTGTGAGATTGGCTGTGGAATGTGATAACTCGCTGGCCTCTGTCCGCTGCAGGAGAACTTCCACCGCTCGCCTGCAGCTGGTACGCTCTTTGGAAAGACTCGTCAGAATTGTATCACCCGAAGGCGTCACAGATCCATCACGCAGGCCTTTGGAAAGTGAGGAAGCATGCGAGAGCTTGCTGCGCAATGTGCATAGAGTAGAATCGTTCCCACCGGCTGTGAGAACGTCCCAAATATCCTTTGTGGCTGATCGACCGGTAACAAGGTCCTCCAGCTCTAGGCATACTTCTCGCATATGGGCGGAATCCAAAGGTGATTCCTCGAGGTCCAAATTGGCAATGGCAGTCTCTACACTTCCAAAGCTCTGGGTGTCCTGTAAAGCTGGGCTAGACATTTCCGAGTGTAGCTCTAGACCCTTGGCTTGAGAGAAGAGAGAAAAGCCGGAAATCGACGAAGCAGATGATTGGAGACCGGACTTCAAATTGTCGCCGTCAGATGACACAGAAGCAGGCCGTCTCCGTGGGTATAGCGCGTTGAGAGTGGTAATGACATCTTTTGCGGAAATGGCCACGAATACGGCACTGTCCTGAGGTTTCACAGGCCTGGAGTTTGCGCATTTCGAAGGATTGCTTGCTCGAGAGCCTTGAAATCTCACCATGATGTTGTTTACGCGTTGCACAGTATCTGCTGCCGATGCGGTACCATGTCGCCTTTCCTGTTGTCAGCTTTGCACTTCCAAGCTTGAATCGCCGACTAACCATGAATATGCCACATCAAAAGCGGCTTTTTGTGCGCGGCTGGCAATCTCACGGAGAATGCGGTGGCGAGCGTTGTCGGAAAGGTAGTAATCGGTCAATAGACCATGCGACTTTCAGATGTCAGCAGCGGTTAAACTACAGCCAGGCTGTTTGCACTTACTTCAGGAACAGTGACAGCATTCGAGACAAACGAAGAGAACAGCCAGCGAACAAGGACAAATTGAGGAAACGCATGCTGGTGACCGGGAGAGCTGGCTAGCTTCGTCCATATGGCACGGCACATCTTCAGCGCACCTGGTGGCAGAACGCTTGGGCCTGTTTGATCTCCAAGTAGTTCAAGCAATGAGTCCGCAGCATTGGAATAGAACATCTCTGTGCGTTGCTCCTCCTCTGGGGATACATCTGATCGGCCTTCAATCCTGGCTCGAAACGTTGGCTTTGTGGGTTGCTCAAGTAGGAAAGCGCCATTCTGCAAGGTCTGAAGGATCCACACTTCAAGGCGGTCTTTTCCAGGCCATGGCATAGAAGACGACCAAATATCAAGCACAGCAGGTATCAGTCTCTCGCTTCCGGACTTTTGGTCGGAAACCAATTTGGCACACACGCAGGCCCAAATGTCCGTTGCGCGCTCATCTTCCTGCGGGTCGTTCCTGTTGAGGCCTCTACTTGCGAAAACCAGGGTCTCCAAAGGACTGCTGTATCCGTATGTGGAGAGTAAGTCCACCTGCGCATCAACGACAAATCCTAATGGTTTGGATGTCCTGGAGCTGATTCGTGGGCCGCCTCCAAGTATGGACTCGGATGCTCTGGTATTGGTTCTTTCCGGTAGCAAAGCGACCAGTTCCTTTGGTGACAAAGAAGCTAGACGATTAGCAATGAAAGATTCATCGTGTCTCAACTTTGAAAACAGATCCAGAACTGCGGTTCGTGAAGATGGCGAGAGGTCTCCCAGGAACGACGTAGTAGATCTTGAGGACTCAAGATCCCGGTCAGGCGTAGATGAAGTCTTCAGCGCCTCATCGCAGGCATCGTGAAAGGCATGAAGGAGATTGACAAAACTGTTCTTGTCCTCGGATCTTATACACTCAGCGAGGGTGTACTGAACAGAACGAGATAAGCGAACAAGGCGTGAAGTCCTAGCCGCGGCAATCTGGAGACAATGGAGATGGTTCTCAGCCTGGTGGCACCGGCGCTTGTGATATCTCTGAAGTCTGAGCAACTGGCTGATTTCCGATAATGGCGTCACCGGTCTCTGGTCCTCGTCTGATAATACTGGTGCCGGCGCCGGCGCACGTTGGGTAGATTCCATCATTGGTGGCAGTACCTTTCCAGTCGAAGCCGGGGGAAGAGTTACCTGGACATGGTGGGAAAGTGGCTCCTGCTGTGCCAGGCTCACAGGCTTGACGGCCATGTCTTGGGGAGGTGGAGCGGAGTGCGGGCGGGGAGGGGGGTTGAGAGGGAGGAGATATCGTGGCGTGCCATCCAGAGAAGAGATTCCGGGAGTCGACGACCTCGAGGCATGGTGGGAGGTCAGAGGTGACACGGCTGCAGGAGGTAACATGAATTAGCGGCGGTCGTTGACAGATGCCAGCATTACCAGCATTTGCCAGCTCAGCAGTACATATCCAGGGCCACCGGCTCAGGCTGTGATTGGGCAGCAAGACTACGGCAGGAAAGCAACGTACAGGCGAACAGCGAATCCTTTTGCTCGACATTACAGTCGTTTTCGAGGGCATCGAGCGGGCGTGGCGAGCCAGTGCCGAGCATAGCTTGACGACCGGCGGCGTGGTTGGACCGCGGTGGCTCAGGGCGAAGAGTCGTCTCGTGTCGCTACAGCATCATCATCGCCGCCGTCGCAATCTGCTGCACGAGAGCTGCTGTTCTGCTGCGGGCGGCTGGCGGCTGGCGTCGGCGCTGGGCCGGGTACAGGGCTGCAAGAATCCGCGCTGGGACTGCTCGACGTGGTACAGGCTGGTCGAGAGCGCGGAAGGTGCTGCTGCAGTTGTCGTTGTCGTCGTCGTCGTACGGATGCTGGTGCAAGACTGTCGCAGGGCAACCCGGCGGCGGCGGCGTGTTCAAATGCTCTCGTCGCTTTGGGCGTGGTGCAGCAGAGAGTCAGAGGGTGGGCAGCGTGCCCAATCACGTCCGCATCCTTCACCAACCACGGTGGGTCGTCGACGTGCATCAAGTGCTGCAGAAGCGTGAGGAGAACGCTGAGGCTATATCGGACCCCCTACCTGCAGCATCCCAAGCTTTCCCGCGAACTTTTCAGAATGCCTGCGTATATCTCCTGAAGCTGTCCAACTCTAAGCACTATACAAAGTCCATTCGAGGTCGCCTTGAGTGTGGTATTTCTTAGATTGCGCAGAAGTATAGAATTCTAGCCCTTTTCTTCCTTCGACTAGATGCATTCTAACCTCCAGTCTCATCCGGGGACACCCAGTTATGGTGGAAAGCAGTAGGGACAGAGGCGGCTCCTTAAGAATCTTGGGGGTCCGATATAGCTACGGGGCGTGAGAAGCAGCAGCTGTGCGTTGTGCGATGCCGCCGCTGCCGTGCCATGATTCGCTGGTGCTTTCGCTGGCGAACGGTCGCATGACACCGGCCCTCGCTATCCTCTTTGCGGCCATTCCACGCCTCACTCCCGTCACCTCACCACAGCACAAGAGTCTGTAGAATTCTCCCTCCTCACACCGATACCCAGACCGACTGCCGTGTTGCGACGACGGCTTCAGATCCCCCCATGCCGTGCCACGCCTTAGCTGCGGCGCACGTCGAATCCGGCTGTCCTGGTCATTCAGGTACCGTTTCCTGCGCTTGCCATTCGACATCGATCACGTGGGGCCCATTGATGTGCTGGCATCTTACACGAGAGCTCTCATCTCACAGCCAGGTCGGGCTGACATGGAGGCAAAGACTCTGGCAGAATTGCGGTCAAGCTTCGTCTGGTGGCAATGTGCAGCCTGCGACGCCCCAGTGGTTCGCCTTTGCACTTTAGCTTCTTGTCCACTGCCGGCCACTGTACAAGGCTGATTGTCCCAGGAGCATGGTGCACCAATCAGTCGGTGTGCGTCCATGGGATCCTATGCGCCGTGTCTCTCAACCTTCTATGCCGACGTAGGGGCCTCTGACGTGTGTTGCACCAGGCCCCAACTTTGAACCGCGGTAGACATTCCAGTTTGGCCAAGTATGGGTTCCTTGTGGCATTAAACTTGTCCTGAGGTCGATGGTAAGACGTACTCCTGACGGCGACGGGAGAAGAAACCTTCCCAGCCTCGCATGAACATCGGCGTGTGACCTACGTTAGTCAAGGTCTGTCGAACAGACGGAACCGTTCAGTGTGTGAATGTCACAGCATGTCTGGAAAAAGAGAATGCATGTGGTTGTAAGTCGACAGATTCGGCACACGCCTGGAAATATGAAGCAAAGAAGGAAGGAGCATCTTCCAAACTCCCCCGTCACAAAGAAAGAACACAAGGCAAGGAAAATCAGACCGCATCATCGTACCCAAGACGAAGCTGAGTGGCGTTTCTTCACTGCCATTACTACTGAGTTTCACCCTCCACAGGGCCTCTATCATTTAATTTCAATTCCAATTCCTAGCATCATGTTGGGTCTGTTCCGCCCATTTTCCTTTCCCTTTCCCTTCGCTCGTGCCGAACGCCTCTCATAAACGTCATGAAGCCCGTTCCCCAATCCCTTAAACATCAACAACCCCCATTATCCCTTTCGCATTCGCTCCCTACACAACCACCGCCTGCCCCTGCCCCTGATTCCCACCCCCACCCACAGCCTGCAAATATTGCAAAATCGAACAATCCCCACAACTCACCAACCGCTGCAAATCCCCCACCTGCGCCTGCAACTCCCGCACGCTCTCGAACGCCGCGTTCCGCTCCGCCTCCACTTCTTTGATATACGTCGCCGCCGTGGCGATAATCATCGCCTTGGACGGCAGCCTCGGCGGCAGCGCGGAATCCTCCACATCCGGGCTGCAGACGTACGCGTTTTTGAGGGAGGGCAGGGAGAGCCGCAGGGTTTCGATTTGCGTGTTGAGGTTGTCGCGGTAGCGGCGTTCGATTATGGTGTGTGGGATGCGGCGGTGCGGGCGGGTGGGACGCGGTGTGGGTCTCTCTTCGATGTGCGGGTGGGTGTGGTGTGTTAGGTTGGTGGGTATCCGGCCGGATTGGGAGTGTTCTGAGTCGGAGGAGGTGGTTATGGCTTGGGAGCCTGTGGAGGCCGGCGTTGGGGCGTAGATGGGGGAGATGTGGTTTTCGGGTGATTGTACTGAGGATTGAGGGGAGAGGGATTGTGTCGGGTTGATGGTGGTCGTCTTCATGGCGGTGGTGGCGCACGCAACGCCGGCTTTCTTGCACTCTTCTGGCACGATGCCGCTGAGGCACTGCAGTGATGGGAAGCAGTCGTTCGGAACGGTGGTGGTCGTTGTCGATGTCGTTGCCATTGGTGTTGGTCCCTCCTCCTCAAAGGTGTCAAAGTCGAAGTAGTCGTCCGTGATGGGTGGTTTGTCTCGATCGTTGGATCGGTATGGTATGGTGTTGTGGTATTCTCAATTGACTTTCTGATGTGTGGTCTGATATGATGTGAATAGGAAAGGGGGAAGGATTCCAGCCAGAAGATATATACAAAAGCTAAGCAAACATCCGTTTCACAAACGCACGACGAGCCCACAACGAACAGCAACTGGTTCATCCCTAAGTCTCGCGATCAGCTATTCTTCCCGGCATTGGCAAACGGGATGCTGCCGCGTGCCTGGCGTTCGTATATTTCCATCGGCGTGAAGACCGCACCGGTCCATCGCAGCGAAAACCGATTGGCTACAACGGCCTTAGTCACTCTTTATCGATTGATTAGGTCGCCGCCTTGACAAGGAATGTGGTGAGAGAGATCACGCCACGCACTTGTCTCGGCGGCAAAGGTGGTCGTCTGCGCGGGAAGGCGAGCTCCGCTGTCCGGGAGGTTTTCGTGCTTGGCGTGGTCGTGTCGCTATCGGGTTTCCATAGTCTTGGGTGCCGGAAAGAGGAGTTGGCTCGGGTTGTGCAGAGACCTTTGTCCTGCTGCAAGTTGTATATTGAAAGTGTGGGCGAAAAGTGGGAAAGGCGCAACGAAGAACGTACGACTTGACGCCTCGAGACGCAGCTCATATGTTCGATCGGGCAGCATCGATGGGGAGGTGGAGTTTGGAAGTGAGATATCTCTCGCCATTCTCCACTTGTTACAGTCGTGGCTGTTAGACAACAGCTGCAACAACAGTCCGAATGATGATGTGTATGGACTTACCGACGACTCTTCGATACCTCGATCAGGAAGACCTATCCGCGTTGCATACATTCTGATCCGCATCTCAGAAGCATGTAGACTCTCGATGGTCGGGTTCGTCGAACGATTGCTGTTTTGCACGCACTCCAAGTCTTGAAGAGATTCAGCGTTGCAGACGTCGTTCACAACAGTAGCGTTCATCAAGCACTCGTCCAAGATCTCGTTCCTTCTGTTGAGCACGGTGTCCACGTGTGTCGTGGAAGGTGCGTGTTGATATTGTTGGTTCCGCCTCGCTTCTGAAGTTTCAGACGTCGAGAAGACCACGAGAACGCAAACGCGTGCAATATTGTGGATGCTTTGTATGTCGACAGTCTTCTTTGAATGTCTCTCAGGTGTTGCATTCTTCCCAATGGCTCATGTTCAATTCATGAGGCGGTCCAGCTCTCCAGCACGGTGGTGGTTTGTCGAAGTACACCATCCATCTCGTTTCCACCTCCTCAGCAAGGTCCTCACAAGTGAAGACCATGGAGCCCTGTTGAATTTCGACTTCTCTAGATGAGCAGCTCCCAATGGGATTCATTGTCGTAAGGTCGCAAGTCTCTCATCTCGAGGAAGAGACAACAGCAACACAGAGCCTTCCAGAACGAATAAATCCAAAAACGCGGGGATAGCGCATCCCCAAATATGAGGTGCAGAGATAAACACAGCGGCTGTGCCTCATTTTCTCGCCCTCGCTTCTCACCCAGCCAAAAAAAAAGTGATATCACGCTCTGCCCATCTATCTCGTGACACCTGAGAACACCGCTTAGCTCCCGGCCTACCACAGCCCACGAGTTACTCAGGTCTAGTCCTCATCGAGCTTGAAGGTGAGCGGTACCCAGGGGTCGCTATAGGTGGTCGGTGTCGTTGAGAAGGCCGGGAGTAGGATAGCGAGGAGTCGCCTTGCTTGCTCAGGCTGTCAACGTCTTGGTAGCTGGTTCGCTTGGTGTCGTCGGTTGTTCGAACAGTGTGGTTATTGTGTGAGGATGACATGGTGTGTGTGATGTTTGGTGATTGGGGTATATGTAAAGAGCTGCTGGTTTGCTTGCTTTTCCAAAGGCCTGGAAGGCATGGTCGTGAGGAAAGAGCCAGCTAGCTTCGACAGGATGTCAAAGGCCATGATCGAGGAGGTAGGCCTCTCTTCATACAGGATTTCAATGGCACGTCTAGGAAAGCTCCCTCAGCAAGTTCAATCAACATATATCCATTACGTCTACTATGCATACCTCTCTCTACCCGTGTTCTATCAACACGCTCCCCATCTCCCCCTATCCCTCCCATCTTCTCATGCATGCAAATATCGTACAGTCCCGCTTCCCTCACCATCCATGCCACCCATTTTTGAAAATGCTCAACAAACAACATCCCAGTCCCGTCCCTTCTCCCATGGTGTCGCGGGCGCCTTTTAAACCGTGTCTGCTGTCGTCCCTAATGTAATTACAAGAAAAATTTGGTGTGTTGTCGGTTCGTCCGTGCATCATTCAAGAAGGCCAGCCACCGGGACTGTTCGCAATGGTGGCCTTCAGTCGTGCTCTCCCATCCTCTTCCGTTTGGCGTAGCAGGTCGAAGTCTTGTCCGTGTGCGTTCTCGTGCTCGTCAGCCACCAATGCATCCAGACTTTCACTTCGAAGCTGCTCCCATGACGTCGCCCGCTCGAACGCCCGCAAGTCGCCGGAATTCTAAGCCTTGCGCGACCGCGTGACTCGGCCATTGGGGGTATTGCCGCTGTCTTTGCCAGTGCTGTAGCCGTTCAAGCCGGTGTCTGCAGTACCGCTCAGTCGTCTCCTAACCTCCCTTACATCTGGCACCTGCTCATCCTTCATTTCCACGAGAGCCGAAGTCGCGCGGCCTCTACCCTTCTTGACTGGCTTCTTGTAGGTCGAAATGTAGAATCCGATGAAGAGGAAGAGGTATGAGGTGATGATGCCCATGCCGGCGAATGCGGCGAATTCCTCACCGGCGCAGATGCCGGCGGTTGGGAGCCAGGGGAAGTAGCGGGCGCTGAAGTAGGTGTAGGACGCGAAGTAGATGAAGCCGAGGTCAATGACGAACTGGATGATCTGGAGCATGGTGATGTACTTCTTCCACCAGATCTTGATGCCGCGCGCAGACTGGAAGTAGTACCAGTACATGACGACGTGGACGGTCAAGTTGAGGGTTATTGGAACCCATGACACCGCGGTGTGGCCCAAGAGCTGGGTGTAGCAAAGAAGAGCAGTCGCGCCGTGGTGGTAGGTGTGCAAGAAGGTGAGGGGCTTCTTCTTCAGGAAAAGGAAGACGGTATCGAGGAGTTCGAGGTATTTGGTGAGGTAGTTCAACTAGCGCAGAAGTCAGCTGCCTGGCACACTCTTCTGCAATCGCTGCTGATACTCACGTAGTACAGCACCACCAATGGCTGCGTCCAACCACCATTGTAGTGACAAATGGCATAAAACACTCCATTCCTCGTCAAAGTCGGAATCAACTGCTCCAAGAACAAGAGCAGCAACACGCCGCTAATGGCCGTCAAGTAAAAGTTGTGAATCTTGAACAACCCGTTCAGCTTCAGCGGCTGCTTATCCTTCATGAACTCGCGTCCGCCAAAGATGATGACATAGTATGAAATGAGGAACAGCGCCGTCTCCGCCATGGTCGCCATGGGGGTCTTGCCAGGCACGAAACGGAACTCTTCAGGCGAGTAGCCGCGCAGCGTCTCAAAGGCCTCGGAGAAGATGGGCCAGAGGGCGATGCCGAAGGGACGGTCCAGCGTGGGCACGCCATATTCCAGCCAGTCTGGTTGAGCCATTGTGTACGTATGCGTATTGTCTCAAGTCGTGGATGTGTTTGCGAGCAGGGAGAGAGTACGGGTATCCGGTTCAAATAGTCAAGGACGTCGGCGGATGGCACGGATATGGGCTGTCGCGTGTCTTGGGCAGTGTCGCAATCGTGCAGGCGCCGCGGGCAGCAGCTGAAGTGGGAGGTAGGTGGAAGCGCGTGCGTACGCGAAGGGCGGTGCTGAAGGAGTGACTGGAAGGCGCAATGGCACACGCTGCTGGTGTTGCAAGAAGTGAAGTCGAATAGGTGGCAGGTTGGGAAGCGGTCGTGGTTGTGTCAGGGGTCTTCTCACCAACACATTACCATTTGCCCGCTGCTCAATTTTCAGAGTAGGTAATCTCCGCGTATCCCGCGCCTCGTGATCGTTTCTGTCCATCTCACAAGGCGTTGCCAAGCTGCCAGCGGCTCCAGCTTTCGGCCCGGCCATCCATGTCGTTCCATTGCATTAAAACAACCAAAACGAAGACGACACAGTAACGGATGTTATTGGCATTCTTCAAGATTCATGTCTAGCTGTCTACCCGACGATTCCCGTATAGTGATAGTGGTCCATGCAAATCCTGAAATCGTGGTGATGGAGATGCGTCGTTTGCGCCCCCCAAAATGCAAACATGCTTCCGTCTCCGTACTCCCCGCCGATGACATGCAAGTGTGTGACCAGTCCCCAATCCTACCGTGCCCCGAATGACAAGTATCGCCCACCTTCTCCTCCGCTGAGTGGCCTCGGAGCGCCTCCTGATGCTTCTGCTGATTGTGGTCTTCGGCTGGCCGTGGCAGAGGCCCATCTAGAGCAAAAGTCAGCAGGATGAACATTGTCAAGTGTGAATGTAAGAGACGTACATTCTGACTCTCCTATCGTCACCAGCGCTGGCAAAGATCCCAGCGTTCGTAGGCTGCCACGCGACTGCGTTGACTGTGCCAGGGTGATGAGCGTCCAGCGCTGCAACCTGCGCGCCTGTCTGCCGTCTCCAGATGTAGACACGAGAATCTGATTGCCGTTAGCGTAAGAGCTGGATGTACTTGTAGAACATGACTTACCCTCACTTCCAGAGATAACAAAACTCTGCCCAGCGCCACCGAAATTGCTGCGGATGACGAACTCCTTCTGCGAGGCACCGTCGTATCTGCAGACCAGCTCGCCGGTCTCAGAGTCCAATGCGAGCACGCGACCTTCATTCATATTGACCAGCAAGAGATCGCCATCTGCAGAGAAGTTGATCGAGGTGAGCTTGTCTTCCATGGCCCAATCCGCGAGCTTGCAGTATCTGGCGGCTGGTTCAAGCGAGTACAGCATGATGCGATTGTCGATCGTCGTTGCCACCATTCTCGTCCCAGCAGTGTTCACGGAACAATCTGTGATGCGAAAGCTATTCGGCTGTTGGTCTTTCAGAGAATGATCCCACGGTGGGTCCCGCCATGAGTGAATTTCATTATTCCGCACGATGGAACTGCCACTGCTTGAACTCGGCGATCGCAGTGAATACAGACCTAATGGCCTTCGCGACCCCTGAGCGCCAACGACAAAGGTCTCGGAATCGGGTAGCCAGGCAGCAGTTGTGACGGGGTAGTCGAAATGATCGGCCGTTGCTACTCGCTGCCCGCTTTTCACGTTCACGACGACGAATTCGTTGTTTTGGCTGCACGATATGAGGTATTGGTCGTCAGGTGAGAAAGCAACATAGCAGACGCCACGGTTTTCGGGAGCACCTGCACTGCTTGAGCCACTGGCGAGTGGACTTCGCTCGTGTTCGCGGAATTCATGCTTCAGTCGCCATCGAGTAGTGTCGTAGACGCAGACGAGTCCATCTTTACCGGCGGTTGCTAGCATCGATCCATCGTGGCTAAACTCGAGGAACCATACTTCGTCAGAATGATTCCTTAGCTCCAGGAGTGTGTTCAATGGGAAGTCGTCTGCCGGGCATTCGTGGTCCGTATATAAGCTTGGTTGGAGTGTGGTGTTGTGGTAACGGCAGTTGAGTATCTGTTCTTCCTGTACCGACGATAGCAGGGTCGCAAGGCGATGTTCAGGTATCATCACTGATGGCGATATTGATCGTGAGATGTCTGAGAGGAGCAGGTGCCGACTTTGACCTTCGACGCCGTCCCAGTCCGCTTGAGTGCGAAGATCTGACTCTGTCGGACACATCACGAGACTGACAGCTGTTAGCCTGGTATCATGCAAAAGCTTCTTGATGCATACCTTGACAAAAAGTGCAGCCTGCCTACATCGCCTTTCAGTGGTGTCAGTTGAGTCCTCAGCACGGTAAGCGCCGCATTCAGGTCTCGCTGCTCCAACAACTCCAGGTACTTTTGTTGCCTGAGAACGAATTTGAGGTAGGTCGTATCTGCACCTTCTGCCAGCGGTAGGCCATTCCTAGCATACCCGTTCTGACTGCCGAACGAGTTCCTGCCTTCGCCGCTCTTTCGCCATGAGAGGCTATTCGAATGTCCATTGCCGACAGGCACCCCGCCGCCATCCAACTCTTCTGCACTATTTCCAAACAGTAATGACTCGGCCTCTTCCCATTCTCCATTCAGAACCGCATTCCTAAAAGCAGCCACTGATGGAATCTCCAACTCATAACCACTTTCTTTGGAAAGCTGCTGTGCCGCTCCTTGGTAGCCTAGATCGCTCAGACTTTGCAGTAGTATCCGTGTGACCTCTTCTCTGTCATGGCCAAAGAACGGCTCCTTATTCCTCACTGCTACCGCGCCTTCTGAATGTCCGTTCGTATGATAGCCATTTGTCTCGCTCTTGACGGAGCCATTCGTCTGAGGAGAGGAGCCGTTATGGGAGGAACCGTTCGTTGAAGGCCGTTGTTGCGATCTGTTGTGTTCGTTGGAGTTGTCAGGCCGCATAATCCCGTCGTCTTGAGCGCTGCTGGAGTCGTTCAATCCTCGGGCACGCTTCCGGGAGTGCTTACCGGAAGCTGTGGCCCTGCCTGAGGTGGATGGACCGTCTGGGTCGTGTGGATGAGATTCAGACGATCTTCGTCGTCGTTTGCGTGACCGATCGGTGGGTTCAACTACAGGATCGATGGCACGCTCGGAGTGGTTGCTCGCCTGAACCTCGGAGGTAGATAAAGAATGCTGAGGGGGTGGGATGGGGGCAGTAGATTCAGATGCTCGTGAGGGCTCCTGTGAAGGAGAGGACGTTGAGGATGCGTTTGGGCCGGCGGTAGTGATAGGAGGGGAGTTGGTGGGTGGGTTGTCGTGATCCAGCGCCGCGGTGGGCACGTCGTATGGTGGGGAGTCGTGACCAGTGCCCTCTGTGGCCTTACAAGGCCGAAGACATTGGTCTCACGCTATTTCGCAGCTGGGACACGGCCTCGCAGGTATTGTGCGTCCAGGCACGTCGTGAGTAGGCGGCGACAGTAGCAGAAAGCAGGCTGGCCGTCGAGCGTCGCTGAGATGCGGTCTGGTGTATGCCGAGAGCTGGCGCCTCGATGCCCGATGCTGGTTGGAGCTGTGATGCCGCTATTCAACTGCTGATGGGGGAAGCCGTAGTCTTATGGTGAGTTTCGTCGTCGACAATTTGTTGGGCAGTGGCGGACGGGGCGAGGTTCGTCGAGTCTCAGTAGTGCAGTAGGTTGGAGGAGCAGCAGCAGCAGCTCAGAGATGGCCGCCCAAGCTCGCAGGAGGACAATGACGCTACCTTCGGAAGCAGCAGCTGACAACTCGGGCACTCCCACAATCACCAACAACAACATCCACCTTTCACGCGTGATCATCTAATTGCATTAATGTTTGATGATCAATATTGATTGAAGTCCTTTTGCTTGCTTGAAAAGACACGTGAACGACTTGGTATACAGCCTGATATTGTGCCAACACAGTCCTCACGGAGCACGCAATCACGAAACCTCCCGTCACCGACCAGACTCTAGTCTCCGTAGTCTCGCGGGGTCACGATAAGGAGACGTCAACCAAGCCGACCGCATTTCGCTGTGCTGTCTGTGGGAGCCGTCTTCGCTCCTGCATCCCACCTTGATGACTGCACATTATTGGCCACGCGACCTTCTCCCACTGCCCTCACTGATACCGCCCAGCCTCGTGACAGGCAGCTCCTATCGGTGTTGGTCACTCGGGAGCGTGTTTCAAACCTTCTATCAAATCCTATTACGATTGAATTCGAACTGGACTTCCACTTGTTCACGACGTGAGCGAATCTGCCAGTCGCTTCATTCGAACAATGGATGCATTGAGAACATGTTGGACTGACATTATGGTTGCTGATTGTCAACGTATTTCCTACTACTGACAGCTCTTCGTAGTAAAGCGAACGTTATCAAGCGCCAGCCCATTATCCGCATCGACTACAGCTGATCCACCAGTGAGACTATACTGGATCACAGCAAACTGGATATCCGAGCACCCCTTTACCGCACCCGTGTACTGCACCGTCTCAGGATCCAAATTCGACGCTGGATTAAACTCGAACTGCTGCGAGCACACTTGCTGCGAAGTCGAGATCGTGTTGTCGGCGCCACGATATCCTACGAGTAGTTGATCAGCCATGCTCTGAGGAACGAGGAGATATCTTCAACTCACCAGTCACTTCAACCAGACATTGGGCCGGGATGCCAACCGCACCCTGTCCAAGATTGACAGCACAGCCAAAGTAAAAGTCCTGAAGCGTGAAAGACGTCACGGTACTATTGGCGTAATGCGTGCTCAGGAGCGGCGTGCCTCGCAACTCCGTCAAAGTAATGGTGACGGCATAGCTTGGAAGAGGGTGAGCACAGGGTTCAACACGAATCTCCGTCCGAGTCGTACAACACTCACTTGATGGGAGTCTTCGGCTCAAGAGCCGGCAGAGGGACGCCAACGTCGTCGGTGTTGGCTACGATGAAGCTCTGCCAGTAGAGGCCCTTGTAACCGACCGGGATTTCAGGGCCCGGAAGGACTGAGTCGTTTGGCAACTCGTCGAACTGAAAACTGTCAGTTTGGGGTCGCTCTCGTCTGTGCCCTCTTGCGATCAACTCACATTGGCCTGTTGCTGAGTCGTTTTGCAGTTCGGTGAAGCCGGCACCGCAGATACCACAAGTGCCAACAAGGCTACAACGCCGAGTCTTGCAATAGTGAAAGACATCCTGTCTGAGAACCACTGACAACCTCAGCAAAAACACCCGAGGAGGCATGTTGACAATGTAGACTTGCCAGCTTTTGTACATCATGACTTCTGCACAGCTCTCGCAACCTTCGCTTGATTGTAATCAGCTTGAATCCTAGCGAGAGCCTATTAGGAAGGCAGACAAAGACGTCCTATTGGAACAATGTATGCGCCTATGCAAGAGAAGCGTCCACGACAGTCCTTGGTTGGACCTCGAATGACTTCTGTGCCGTGTTGCTAGCTAAATGCAGACAAATCGAGAATGCGGCAGTTAGCACTTGTCGACCACATGCAGTACTGACTTTCGAACAACACCACTGGCTCTGTGAACGTCTCGAACAGGATACACCTGCGAGGGCTGAACGCACAGATGGTCATCCTTGACACAGGCTGTAGGGTATAACAGGCCCGAGATCTTCACCTCTCAATTGAATACCTCTCCCCGGGCTATACCTGCGCCTCAACTCGCTTCCAAAACTGCCTTCGAAACCCTTAAAAGCCCACCTCGAGCTCATAACTTCCCGAACGAATTTGAAAGCTCTTCGTCGGGGAAGGCTGTCACAAAGCCCGAGGCGGTTGTCGAGCCAGACCAGCATCGGTTCGTAGGTCGTTTCATCGCAGGCATTTACTCTTGCTGTCCCCCTAGTAATCGAATATCTAGAGCATGTACCTTACGACGGGACGCTCTTCACCACATACCACTGCCTGGGTAAAAGAGCCCTCGATTGAGAGTTCTGCGAACATCGATTCACGTCCGTATCATCGCCAAAGGACCTGGCCGAACTGTCCCTTTCCTTCGACCTGTGTTGCAAATGCTCGATACAGCTCAGACAATGGACACACAATGGGTCAAGAGAGTTCCTGGATTTGCAAATATCGGTATAGCAGACCGAAGAAGAAGGCGCTGCATTGGTCTCCGGGACGATACGTTCACTGATAGACAGCCAGGACTTCAAATGTTCATGGTCTTCTCGGAGGTTATGTGACTTTTCGTAGTGGACCCTGCAAGCTCTACTCACCGTATATGCTCAGAGCAGTTCGTCGAAGCCGCCGAAACTACACACAGTCGACAGGCATTGCAAGCTTCGGAATTGACATGCCCATTTGGTGAATGTCGATGTAAGAAAGACGGTCGATGGAAGTCGTCGAACACGAAAGGCAGAATGACACAGCGTAAACTCTAAATTCCGACCAGAAGCTGGGGCCGAAACGTCAGTGAATCCACCGCCTCCCATCTTCGCCTCCTGCTCTCCACTTACCAGGCATCAAAGTGCTCCTTCGTGGCAACACGACTTGGCACATGCGGTGTTTTGATACGCAAGAGATTCATGAAGAAGTCGATACCATTTACAGAGGTCAAGTAGATCTTTCACTCTAATTTTCTTTCTTCAACCACATCATGTCCGAGCTGCAATACTACTTGACCCCCAAGCGAGCAATCGAACCGATATACCCAAAAGGGAACGCTTTCTGGCGAGGCAATGATAGGGTGAGCTCTGGAACCAAAGTTTCTTCAAACATATTCACAGTGCTGATACCTTTTCCCAGTTCCTCATCAAAGGCATCAACTACTTCGACCGCAAATCCAAAGATGGAATAAGCAAACCGACGGTTCATGACCCCAGGATCGATATTCTCACAGAGGAGTACCTCCCAAATCTACGCCGGGACATCGAGGTCTTCCAGGAACTCGGGCTCAACACAGTCGCAGTGTCCTCTCTGGATCCCTCGAGATCTCACGACGCAGCGGTCAGATTGCTCGCAGAAGCAGGCTTCTACGTCCTCGTCAAGATCAGCGAGGATATTCGTGGTCCGGAACTGCCCAGGAACAATGGCTCGTTCGACTCCGACTTCGACACTCAAGAGTACTACACCCTCGACCCCATCACAGCCTCCCTGAAACTCGTCGACGAACTCGCAGACCATCCGAACGTTCTGGGCATCATGGTCAGCGGCGACAGCCTCAGATACACAAGCACGACCAAAATTGCCGAAGTAATCCACGCCCACATCAGGGACATCAAAGCCTTCCTCCGACAGCGTTGTGGTCGCCAAATCCCTATCGGCGTGACCAACTCCGAGCTCCTGATGCTACGAGCGCCCGCCCTGAAGTACTTCACCGCCGGCTCACCTTCCGACCGAATCGATTTCTTCGCGCCGGACTCCTGGAGCTGGGCGCATAAATCCTCATTCCAAATCTCCGGGTGGAAGAACGTGGTGAAGGTGATGAGTGAGGTGCCTGTGCCGATGTTCCTGCGGCAGTATGGGAGTTACGTGGGGAAGGAGAGGATCTGGGAGGAAGTGGAATGTCTCTATTCGAGAGATATGACAGGTGTGTTTAGTGGGGGGTGTTTGTATACGTTTTGTGATCCGGGGCATAGTGATTACGGGATCGTGGAGGTTGGTGAAGATGATGTGGTGAGGAGGAAGCCGGAATTTGAGACGTTGAAGCAGAGGTTTCGGACTGTGAACTCGAGGTTGGAAGAGGAGGTCTTTGAGGAGGCTGTGGGTGATTATGAAGGTTGGCGGGGCGAGTTTCCGGAGACTAAAGAGAATCGGTGGATGGCGACGGGAAACATGCCCCAATTTCCTGGCGATTGGGGCGAAGTTGTGTCGAAGATCCAAAGCGAGATGACGGTGCGCATGCTGGGCGAGGAGGTATCGCATTTGCTGATACAAAAGTGATCAGCCGCTCAGGACCAGGGAGTGCCGTACATCCACCAATGTGACCGTCCCTGAACGGTGTTCTCTCAAGTCGCCGTCGATGCTATTTGCAGGGGCGAGCAGCATCTACAAGGAAACTTCATTTGCTCGACGATTGTGGGAGATTTGGGAATATAAGAAGCCTGAGGCCAACATTCACGCCCACCCCCACGGCCCGATCCAGCTCCACTCCCCGCAAAACCACACCCGGGCCTAAACCAAATCCAGACGTTTCCGCACCCGAGGTCTTGACACCCGAGGGCAGAGTCGCGAGCTTGCTCCTCACTCCTCATCATCAAAAGGGCATGATATGCTTTATTGTTCGTTGCCCAATGTAGGTACCTTGTAAGTCGTCGTGTGCTGCGATTGTACACACCTATCTCTATTCTCTTCTCCTGCAAACGTCGTGTCTGCTACAGCCTCGTGTTCGACAATTCCTAGGAGCAGGATTGTATTGTCTGTCAGGCAAGATGCAATCCCCTCCATTGACAGGTCTCCGGGTGCTGGAGTTTGCTGGATTGGCACCAGGTAAAAGCAATCCCTATATCCCCAATAGCCGACAGAACATCCAAACTCACTCTTGCAAATCAGGACCCTACGCCGGCCTCCTCTGCGCAGACTACGGCGCCCACGTCCTCCGCGTCGACCGCGCCCACCCCCAAGCCTACACCTCCTCCCCACCGCCCCCGACCCCGGACGCCCTAACCCGCCATAAATCCTCTATAACCGTAAACACCAAAAACCCGCAAGGAATCGCGCTGATCAAATCCCTCGTCCAAAATGTCGACATCGTCATCGACCCCTTCCGGCCCGGCGTGTTGGAGAAGATGGGCCTCGACCCGCAGAAAGTGCTGCTGAGACTGAACCCGCGCGTGATTGTGGCGAGAATGACGGGGTTCAGGAGGGATGGGAAGTATAAGGATATGGCGGGGCATGATATCAATTATATTGCGGTTTCCGGGGTGTTGGGCATGTTGGGCAGGGAGAATGAGAAGCCGTATCCGCCAGGGAATATCGTGGGGGATTTTGCGGGCGGAGGGGCGGTGTGCTTTATGGGGATTGTGTTGGCATTGCTGTCGAGGGAGAGGACGGGGTATGGGCAGGTTGTGGAGGCGAATATGGTGGATGGGTCTGCACATTTGGCGACCATGCCACGCTTCAGTACCAAGACTCCTATGTGGAACGCGCCGAGAGGGAGGAACACTCTTGATGGTGGAGCGCCGTACTACGGCACCTACGAGACCAAGGATGGGAAGTACGTGGCTGTAGGTGCTTTGGAGCCGCAGTTCTACGCTGCTTTGCTCAAAGGTCTCGAGATCAATCCGAACAACACTCGATGGCCGGAGAATCGCCTGGATAAGCAGACCTGGAAAGATCAAAGGAATGCCTTCACCAAGCTGTTCAAGCAGAAGACCCGCAACGAGTGGGAGGATATCTTCGACGGCACGGATGCTTGCGTGACGCCAGTCCTATCTCAGGCGGAGCTGGAGGAAAGTGGTTTTGACCAGCGTCCGATTGTTACGTTGAAGGCATCGCCGGGCCTTGCCATTTCCGATGGCGAAGCTGACAGCAGACCGCCTGAGACGGGACAAGGCATTGGTGTCGAGGGCGCGGGCTGGAATACTGATGGACTCAGGCCCGGTGAGGGAGGTGAGGAAATTTTGTCGAAATGGATGGGTTGGTCGAAAGGAAGACACTATCAGGTCAAAGAGGGTGGCGCTGAGCTTGTTGACAAGGCTGATAGGCCAAAACTGTGAGGTAGCTGACTCCGTATCGATGTGTTCAGAGCGTTCAAGTTTGAGCTCGTTTGCAATCCAGCATTACTGAGGTTGTCTCCCAGTGTCAGACGGCCTGTTGAAGGATCTATTACCGAAGCACCGTAGACCAAGTTGGCGGCCTTCTCATCCTTGCTTCCACTGGGATCAGGCCAACCATGGGCTCGGGTGCGGCCTCGATGCCTAATCAGTTGGCTGGGTCAATATCGAATTTTGAGTTCGATGGAGCTTTCGACGTCACCTGGAAATTAGCAACAACATCAATGCGAGGCACCAACGTGGGTTTGATTCCACTACTGCAAGCCGACCTCAACGTTGGTCAAGCTCGTTGTTACTGCCCAACATGTGAGAACGTCGATCGCACAGCTTTTGCATAGCCAGGCGGATTATTCGCGGCCCAGATGCCGGTCTCACATGCCTGCTGCAAACGATGCTCGTGCGGATGCTTGGATTGTCAATGCTTCATGACTGCCGAAGACGATTCACTCGCCATCGCGAGACGGTTGCTGTTGGCCTGCCGCATTGATCATCTTAGCGACATTACTTCACGCCACGCGACGCCAACCACGAGGGAGCTGGAACGGCACAGTGGTCCGATCCGTAAAGGGCCGCCACGGCAAACGGCTCGGTTGGGTGGTCCAGCGACCAGTTTGAACGACGCACTTCAGACCAGGAAGGGTGAGGGGCATCATCAAGTGCAATCTGCGAACAGTGCACTGCAACAGAGTGGTCGCGTGTGGACATGACGACTGCTCTGTGGTGGCAAAGGCTTTCAAAGCGGCGTGCGGGTTGACGCCTCCCGCAGGAGTGCATGCAGGCAGGATGGGGTGCAGATAGCGATCACCAGGCGTACCAGAAGAATCTTGCAGCGAAGGAAGTATTGAACAGAGGCACTGATAGGATCTCCTGCTCGTCCAGGCGAGCATCCGCGGGAAAAGGATCGCTAAAAGACCGGCTTGACTGTTTGAGGTGAGGCGAAGGAGAGAAGGATGCAAAAGGGCAACTTGTGCATCAAGAGGCTGAAGACGGCTCATGTCGAGTCATGGAGAGCGCAAGGTCAAGCGCATTAGGTTGTTTGTTGGGAGAGAAGTGCTGCCGATGTGTAGCCTTGCCATGATGATGTTTCATGACATCGAAGAGAAAAGAGAAAAGGAGAATAGAATAATAAGTGAAGTCGAATGAGCGTCTCACCAACAAGCTCAAGGTTGTGCGTCCCTGCCTCGACCACGTTTTCCACAGATCCCTGGGCAGGCACGTTGCGATCTCCTTGAGCGGCCCCGTTGTCATTGGTGATTGATTCTGGGGCAGGTGCTAACTCGACGGTGGTGAAGTGCCTTCCATCGCTCGTCGCCGACTCTCCTCCCTTTCCCCTTCACCCACACCACCACACAAACACGTCGCGAAACCGCCCATCGTCCACCACCAGAAAACCACATGCCCCCGCACGCCCGTGTTTCTCACTCCAAAACGGCATTCCGGAATTCCAGGACCCCGCAGCCCAGCGCGCGACGGCCAACCACATCCAAGCTCTTGATAGGGCAACATGGGTCTCTTCTCGAGAAAAAGCAAAGCTGCCTCTTCCAACGCCGAAGCTCTCTCTGCCCACGGCTCCTCCAAGAACTCACACTCCAACATGCAGCGCGCCAACAGCAGTACCTCGCAGAATGCCCCTGTGCCACAGATCCCGCTGCCAAAGGCTCCTGATCCGAACATCGACCCGGCCGCTTATCTGCGCAGCATCTATGCCGTGAGGGAGCGAAGCAAGCTTGTGCTGGAGAAGGCGAAGAGGAATCAGCTGCGTCATTTCAATGTCGACATGTCCAAATTCTCCGACACGGCGCAGTATGTGGTATCGATCATCAAGGTATGTCTAGTAGATTGTGTAGTGGGGGTAAACAATGCTGAATGATTCCACAGCGAGATTTCGCCCCGAATTACCATGAGATCCCACCTCACGGCAGATGGCAGCATTTCGAGATTGGCGGCCGACCCAGAGTAGACCAGCTCATGCAAACCTGGCCAAGCACCGTCGACAGTCAAGAACGAACCCGGCGACTGATCGATCTCTTCCTCGTGTCTGTCCTTCTAGATGCTGGCGCGGGCACGAAATGGCAGTACAAGTCGAAAGAAAGCGGCAAGGTCTTCAGACGGAGCGAGGGCTTGGCAGTCGCGAGTTTGGAGATGTTTAAGACCGGTCTCTTTTCAAGCAACGAAGAGCAGCCATTTCAAGTCGACAGCGAGGGATTGAAAAAGCTCACGACCGAGAAGATGGCCAAGGGCCTGCAAGTGACTGACGACAACCCAATCGATGGCCTTGAAGGACGAACGAGCCTACTCATCAGACTTGGGGACGCTCTGACGAACCGCGAGATCTTTGGCCTTGAAGCCCGACCTGGCAACATGCTCGACTATCTTCTCGCACATCCGTCTACACAAGCGACTTCGATACCGATCATCCCTCTTCCCACCTTCTGGGACACGCTCATGAACGGACTTGTGACTATCTGGCCAGCGACACGAACTCAAATCGATGGAGTGCCACTTGGGGATGCCTGGCCGTGCGGATCCATGCCGTCTCATCCGAATAGCCCTTGGGAGAACATTGTGCCATTCCACAAGCTCACGCAATGGCTCACATACTCACTCATGGTCCCTATGCAGAAGCTTGCGAATGTTCACTTTGTCGGCGTGGAACTCATGACCGGTCTACCTGAGTATCGAAATGGTGGTTTGCTTGTCGACACTGGACTCCTGACACTGAAACCGGACGATGCTAAGAGGGGCTTGGAACAGTATCAGATGAATGCGACGAGACAGGGACAGCCCAATGTGGAAGTTGTGCCTCTTTTCACCGCCGACGACGATGTGATTGTTGAGTGGAGAGCATGTACTGTGGGATTCCTTGACGAGCTGCTTGCTGAAGTCAACACATTGCTGGGACTTTCTGGAGATGATAAGCTGAGCTTGGCCCAAATGCTGGAGGCAGGATCGTGGAAGGTATGTGTGGTCATGAAGTATGCGGCTGATCTTATTGCTGACTATCTTGCAGGGCGGACGAGAAATCGCCGAAGTCTCCAGACCAAACACCAAAGAGCCGCCCATCATGATCTTATCCGACGGCACAGTATTCTAGGAGAGCTGCATGCTCGAAGGATGGGACGATGAGCCTCCATCCTGGAATGAAGGCACATTTGACTCCAAGACCTGGAGTCGGCAGAATTCCGTATCGGAACAAGGCTTCCACGAAGGTCGGCGGAGCAGTGGAGGCAGCCGAAGCAAGTTTGGCTCTTCGCACGGCATTCATCCACTGAGGTCGAATCCAGTTCGAACCGCGACAAGCACGAGTGGGACTTTTCACACTAGCCACTCGACGCCTGAAGAGGGTTGAAGAAAGGACAGGAGGCAAAAGCACACAGTACATTGACATGAATTGAACGGCTGTTTAGTAGGGACAGGCTGTGGCTAAGAAATAGTAGCCCTGCCGCCTATGGTAATGTGAGACGGCCGAGATGCCACGATAGAGGCGTGTGCTTCGTCTTGAGATACATAGATAGATGGGATAGATGTCCAAAATAACTTGTTACAAGACCATCCAGATCCCTCACTGCGTATGATAATACATCTTTGTTCCCCCATTCCAGCCAGCACTCTGCCATGGCCAGACTTGGCGTGATCCAGGTATTGTACAGCATGTACATCATACATACAAAACATTAGCGTATACATTACCATTACCATTACCAATACCCATCAACTCAACTCAACTCATATCATACCATGAAGTCGAAAGCTCTCACCCCATTGACGCCCTCACTAAACGCCCTTAAAGGCGGTCCAAACGCCGTCCTCTCCACCGCCACCGAAGACCTCCCCACCACCGCTCCTCCCCTCGGAGGAGGCGACTCATCCCGCAACACAATCGGACAAGATGTGCGTCGTGGCTCAGCTTTCAAAGCCGTCGGTTGAGAAGGTAGACCCTGCCACATTGTTAGTATCAACCCTCAGGTGTAGATAAGCAAGGTAAGGGAGGGAGGGGCATACCACAACACTCATCCTCATCCGCCCCTCGTGTCGACCCAAGGGACTTATTCCTCCCCCTCCGACTTTGCCGCGAGCTTTGAGAGCTTTCTCGCGCAGAGCCTCTAGATCCCTCCACCGCCCTTTCGTGGGTTTGCCGGCTCCCACTTTTCCGCGCGTCAAAGAACCCATCCACGGCGGACCACGCGCGCGACGTTATGGCGGGACGAGTCCGCGTGGTGGCGAGTGTGGAGAGACAGATTTCCGCGGCGTCGAACTCGACACTCTTGTCGGGTTTGAAGAGGAAGGACCACGGGGCGAGGGCCGGGTCGGAGTGCAGCGCGCGGCGGGCTTCGAGGAGGGAGGTGCTCGCGAGGAGGGTCTGTTCTGCGAATCTGCCTCCGGGGGATGAAGGGGTGGTGGTGGGGGTTTGGTTCAGGAAGAAGAGTTTGAGCGTCAGGCCTGCGACGGTGGCTTTGGAGGCGAGCATCGCGAGCGTGCAGACCGGCGAGCGGGAGAGGCAGATGCAGTGGCGGAAATACTTGTCCTCGAGGGTTTTTTGGAGGGAGTCGATGATGGAGAGTTTGCCTTCGAGGGATAGGGGCGGGAAATTGTTTTCTTCCGCGAAGGTGGGGGAGTAGAGGATCGTGCGGATGTAGTAGGTTGTTTCGAAGCGGAGGAGGGGGGCGAACATGTCGGGGGCGTGGCGCTGTGGTTGGTGAGTGGGTGGGTGGTGGAAGGCGGTGTCTTGGATCGATGCTGGGAAGGAGGTGGTGGTCTGTCGTTCGTAGATTAGGGGGTCTGTGGAGTTTGTTTCGGCCGTGAGGGCGTCGAGGGTGCAGATGTGCCACCAGAGACGGCGGCGGTATTCAGCTTCCTGGAAGGGAACGTCTTGGGGATCTGGGTCGTGGTGGAGTTTTAGTTTGTAGGCTAGGCGGACGAGGATGGCGGTTAGGGACCAGACGTAGGTCTGGTCGAGCACTTTGGACCCGATGGTTAGGTAGATTGTGAGGGCTTGGAGGGATGTGATGGTGGGTGTGGCGAGGAAGCGGACTTTGGCGAGGCAGGTTTCGAAGGAGTGTTGGTAGATTTTGGTGAGGGAGCCGAGAGCCGTGTGTTTTGGTGAGTGGGCTTTGGAGATGTCCTGGCTGATGGAGGAGGCGAAGCAGATGGCCCATTTGAGAGCTCTGGCATCTTGAGATGCGTCTTCAAGTTCGTTCGCCTGTGGCAGGAAGAGGTGCTGAATTGAAGGGAGGTGAACAATCTTGAGCAGCGGGTCGATGACTTCGACGTAATGCTTCCAAACAGCTTTGGTCCTCTCCGGTGCAGGATCTCTATGCTTTGAGTCGAGCACGCTGAACTTCAGCGCGAACGGGAGGCTGACGCTTGATGTTGGCGAATGCTGGCCATCAGACGAGGTCGAGGAGTATTCTGAAAGGCTGTCTGTACTGCTGTTCGAGCTTGGCGGCCGGTCTGAGCTCTGTGTGTCTTGTCGGCTGACCGTGGATATCGTAGACCTGGATGGCGCGCGAGATTCGACTTGAGCAAGTCGTGCTGCCAGTTCGTTGACTTGGGCTTCCAACAAGTTCAGCCGCGATCTTTCGTCAGATGTGCAGGTCGCCGTCGGAAGGCTGGTGTTGGCACCTCGAGGCATCGCGTGTTCGATGAGATCCGTTTCCCTTGAAGGACTCTTGAGACTAGTCTCGAAATCTGCACTCAGATGGAGACTTGGACGCAGTGCGCCCTTGTCGGACCCAGCGACAACGTATTTGTACTCCTCTACTCTCTTCACTGTTCAAATCTTCGAAACGCAACCTCGTCCTTCATGAAAGATGCTAACGACCACATGTCTTATGGATCGCGTGTAAACAACACCAAAGATAGGGCGTTCGCGTCAAAGCCCGCGCAGCGCTGGCCATAACTTGGCCCCAGGGCATGTTTGTCGGGCATGAGATCTGAGTATCCAAGCGGCAAGGTGCTCGAATTCGGACTATCGTCAGTGCTGTCCAACTTCCAATGCTGGAAAGTGATGGACTGGCGAGGTATCCCTGTTGAATAGCATGTGGCGTTAAGGAAACGTGAGAAAGTTTATCGACCTACTGCTGCCCACTTCTAACGCTCGTTCACAGACTCTGATGATGGAGCCTTTTCCAGAGATTGCATCGTGGTCATGACTTTCTGGAATGAAAAGAGGTGACGAGGTTCGCGGGTCTTTGGTAGACTGTGTCCACAGACCGCTGGCGAAGAACATCGACACCGGAGCTGTACAGCACAGTGACCATACTCGCATGCCAGCCATTGGATGGCTGAAAGGAGACACTCTACGCCTCTTTTTCAGTGCCTTCTGATATAGAATGGGAGAGACTGCTCGTAGCCGCAATATGGCTTAAGAAAGGTAGCGTCTAATCCACTTCGCACAAGGCCGACAGCCATTGACCAGATGCGAGGATGGATAGATGCTTCTTCTTTGAGAGTGCCTCCTCGATGCAATGAAAAGGTACGAAAGAAAGTATCTGTCGCCCTGGATATGAAACACCGTCAAAAGATAATGGGCTCTTGAAGTGCGATTAACTACGGGCAGATCGGTCTCGAAATCATGAACGCATCCGGCGACAAGACATAACGCCTTGCCATGGATGCTCGCCGCGCCTTCAAATGTGTAGATCCAGACGGAGTGGTGAGATTCCTGATGTTGTGAGGGAAGAAAGAGAGGGCGTCGTGGAAAAGCTTTCTGATATTGGCTTCCGACGCTCGGACCAGCATTTCAATCAGCGCGGCTGTGATTGGCGCGGGAATAGTAGGAAACAGTGCTCCTCGGCAGGTCGACTTGGATTGGATTGAGCGTAGATGTCACCACACGCCTGATCTGACCTCCTTCACCACCTCACAGCAGCAGTCTATCCCCCAGAGCGACGATGCTGGCCCAGAGAATCGCTCAGCAATCGCTGCGGCGGTGTATGTGCTGCCAGAAGCCCTCACGAGACCCCGTCTAACACCTTCGCAGTGGCCGCCCAGCCCAATGCTTACCGATTCGCGGCGCCGGCAGCAATCGCAACGGGAGCCTTCACCAGCCAGCGAAGGTCAGCCTTGACAGAGTCCTCAATCTCCTAATCCCCAGCATACTGACCACCCTCTAGACTCGTCGCCGCCCAAGCCGTCCCCGAACACGAAGCCTGCGACAGCATCCTCGCAAAGCAACGCCTAAACCGCCCCGTAGCCCCCCACCTCGCCATCTACCAACCGCAAATCACCTGGTACGGCTCCGCCTTCAACCGCATCACCGGCTGCGTCCTCTCCGGCGGCTTCTACATCTACGGCGCCCTGTACCTGGTCGCGCCCGTGCTGGGCTGGCACGTCGAGTCGGCCGTCGTCGCGGCGTCCTTCGCAGCGTGGCCGCTGGTTCTGCAGATTCTGGCCAAAACGAGCGTGGGCTTCTTCTTTACGTTCCATTGCATGAATGGGATTCGGCATTTGACCTGGGATACCGCGAGCATGATCACAAACCAGAAGGTTGCGCAGACGGGGTGGTTTGTTGTTGGGGCTAGTGCGCTGGGTGCGCTTGCGTTGGCGTTTATATAAGTGGTATGGAGACGATTGAGATACACGTTTTGGAGTGTGCATGTTTGAAAGAATATCTCGATATACATGCGGTGCTGTGACGGCTTCTGCAGTTTCGCCCTCTGCACGTACAATCGGAAATTGGTCTGAGAGAGACAGCTGACCTGTATACCAGAAGAAACGCTCACCAGCCAGATTCCCTTGACCCACAGCTTTCCACAAAGTTCAAATACTCTCAAGCGTACGGCCGTCAAATCTTGCTGCATTTCGTTCCACTCTGTCGATATACTATATAACCCCAGGCGTACTTTACCCAATCGCAGTCTTCGCATCATCCTCAATCTTGATCAACACACTCTTATGCTCCAAATGCTCCTCGACACTATACCCATACCCCTCCCGGCCCTGTCCACTCCCCTTGTACCCGCCAAACGGCATATCATGCGCCATACTCGGACTCGTGCAATTGATCCCCACCGTCCCGCTCTCATACGCCTTGGCGACCCTCAGCGCCCGGTTGATATCTTTGGTGAACACCGACGCGTAGAGTCCATACTCGGTGGCGTTGGCTTTTTCGAGCGCTTCCTCCTCGGTCTTGAACGTGTTGATGTTGACGAACGGGCCGAAGACTTCTTCCTTTTGCGTCTTCTCGTCCTCGGAGACGTTGGAGTAGATGGTAGGTTCGATGAAGAAGCCCTTGCCGTCGACTTGGGAGGGCTTGCCGCCGGACTCGAGTTTCCCGGCGCCTTGCGAGGCGGCGTCGAGGAAGGATTTGATGCGTTCGTGTTGGAGGCCATCGGCTTGCGGGCCCTGCTGGGTGGCCGGGTCGAGAGGATCGCCCTTCTTCTGCGTGGAGAAGATCTCCACGAAGGCCTTCTTGAACTTCTCCGCCACGGACTCTTGCACGTAGATCCGACTGTTGGCGATACAGGCTTGTCCCATGAGGATCTGGAGGGAGGTGGAGGTGGCTTGCGCGGCTTTGGGGATGTCGGCGTCTTCGAAGACGATGGCGGGGGATTTGCCGCCGAGTTCGAGGACGACTTTTTTGAGGTTGCTGCTGGCGGCGGCGGCTTGGATTTTGCGGCCGGTGAAGGTCGAGCCGGTGAAGTTTACGAGGCGGATGTCCATGTGGGAGGCGAGGGTGGCGCCTGAAGGCGTGCCGTGGCCGGAGAGGATGTTTACGACGCCTGGGGGGAAGCCGATCTCGTGCACGGCGTGGGCGAGGCGGGCTGGTGTTAGGGGTGCTAGAGAGGTGTTAGTACGTTTGTTCAAGACTTTCGAAGCACCGCATTCTGGAGGCTTCGAGTTGACCGTTATGCTTGAACTCACCTTTCTCCGACGTCTTCAGAACGATCGTACAGCCAGCCGCGAGAGCTGGGCCAATCTTCATTGCAAACGAAATCGTAGGGATGTTCCAGGGGATGATGGCTGCGACAGGGCCAATTGGCTGGCGGAAGGTCATGTTGACGAAGCCTGGGGTGTTCAAGCTCGTCGTTCCCCTCGCCTCATATCCAGCCTCTGCGTAGTGCTCGAACAGGCTGGCTGCGAAGAATCCATCGAAGTATGTCGAGACCTAACGCGGTTGTTAGCCACATTTCGACCTTCTTGATCTTCTCTGTTACGTACTGGTCGACCCATATCCATGGCGTTCAACTGTGCAAGCTCGCCATGAAGCTCCTTGAGCTTAGCAGCGAGTTGCTTCAACAACGCTCCACGTTCTTCGGGACTCTTTGCTGCCCATGCTGGAAACGCAGCCTTGGCAGCTGCAACAGCTCGGTTCGTATCGTCAACTGAAGCCTCGCAGACATCGACGATCTTCTCGTGGGTGTAGGGCGACTTGAGCTCGAAAGTCCCCTTGTCAGAGGACTCGCAGAACTCGCCATTGATGTAGTGGCGACGTTCGATCTTGTCTGTGGGAATAGGGAAGCCCATTTTGGAAGTTGTAGAGGGTTGATTGGAGAGAGGTGAGGAAGGAATGGAAGTCTTTGCAAAGAGAAGAGGAACAATGAGAGCGAAACCCAATCTTACATATAGGCATTCGTTCAGCTCCGTTACTCAGATGAAGGCCACCTCCCAAGGAAGCCCGAGCTCAAGCTGACTGTCCCTACAGAGTGATATGATGGAGTAAGACTCTAGCTTTCATAGTGGCATAGGGGCTGAGAAGGATGAACGCGATGCCATCGAGCCGTGGTTGTGGGTAACCCTGTCCGATCATTCGTGGCGCTGGATTCTGGGAGCTGATCTCTTGCGGCGCGGTGCAGTCTCATGAGCGCAGATCGCGTATAGCTAACCCAATTGTCGTGGATTTCGGACATGAAGCGGCCGCCGAGTCCGTTAATGTCAGCATCGAGAAGGAGGATGTTGCGCGTGTCGTTGAAGCTGTGGTCTTCACCAGGTCATTGACAAATTGTTTGGCCAAGCAGCAACTGCCGTCTTTCCTTCCACAAGCGCAGGCGCTGATCAAGGGCTGACCGACATGGTTATGGCGTAGTCGTACAAGTCTCGTACAAGTCGACGCGTTCATTTGTCCTGAGCATGGCCTCCAAAAGGAAAGCATTGCGTATTGGATACTTGTCGGATCGAAGCTTGCGCAGAAGGATTCCGCGACTATTGATTCTCAGGGTCCAGCCCAGCGACGACATCGTGTCTTCCCAGCCCGAGATCTCGCACTCTGCATCGAACAACACGACCGTACTCTGACATGCGCTAACTCCGCTATTCCTCTTGAGAGTCGACGTGTATGCCATTGCCTGGAATATCCGTCGGCCGATGGAACGCCTTAATCCGCACTCACCATATAACATCCCGTAAGAAAGTCGCCAAGCTACGACAGGCGGCCGCTACAGAAGATGTCTATGCCTTACTCCACAGCGGCCGCCCTCCAGGGATCATGTACGTCGAGGGAACACAAGCTGGAGTAGAGTCTTGGGTTGCGACGGTCCAGGTGCGTCAGCGTCAGCGTGGCTTTCCGGCCCATCTTGCCCGTTTGGAACGCATATATGCGGTGTCTTCGTACGGGTGCTGACCGTGGCTTGTCATATAGAGGCTTCGATATAAGGACTTCCAGCTCGCTTCGAGGCCTTCTGTGGTTGAGAGGGGCGCCAACGTGGTCGACGAGGACGGTAATCATCGCCAACCAGGCTTGTTCGAAGTCAGCGCTGTGAAAGACTTTGCGGCCGACATGGAGAAGCGGCAAGTGTACGCCTGGTGGAGGAAGGCCATGGGGTTTACAGGCAGCGAGGACCGCCTGTGAAAGTCATCACATGCAACTGGCGCCAAGGGAAAGTTGCGGCACATGGCATCAACGTCGACATTCCAGCGACCGTCGAAGCTAGCATCCGAGTGTCGAAGTTCACTGATCAGGCCAAAAAGAACTGTCAGTTATTGCTCTGCTCAGACTTGGCCATTGTTGGAGAGGTTTCACCCGCCGCCCATGAAGAAATGGAATTGATAATCTTTTCCAAGACGATCGATGGCCAAAAATTGGACATCCCTCCTCTGGCCTTGCCATGTTGACTATCCTTCGTCCTGGCTATCTCTGTGAGACTTGAACGAACTGGAGCAACCCTCGAAGGCCAAAAATTCGCTAATGGCAAAGAGTCGATCCAAGGGGCAAAAGGAATGCCTTGAATAGCTTTGAACGGTTTCGATCCGTTGCCCTCCGGGTTACTACATTGCTGTATGAGCCCGGCGCGCTCCCACTGCGCCACAACTGGAGTTTTGTTAGTTGGATCTGGAAGAGGATCGAACTGGTGCACATACAGCTTTGATTTCGGAGGTGAGTGTCACGAAGAGTTTTCACATGTGACTCATTGGAGACTAGTGCTCTGACCATTCGGCCAAATCAACTCTCGCTCTGATTTGTTGGAGGCTTGGCAATGCCTTTTTCCTTATATTCATTTGCACTGCTCTGCGTTTGGCAAGGATCTCTTTAACAGGGCTGTCGAGTCTCTAGAGTCGCCTTCAAAGATGTCTTGAACGCGGCTAGGCTTTGGCTTGGCAGCCTTAGATGGAGACGCTATGTAGCAGATCGCATCTTGCGGGATTCAATAAGGCCACCGTTAGGAGAAAATATCATCGAGACTTCGAGCATACAAATAGAAGAGGGAGTAAGACTGATATATGACAGCCTTATCTAGCTGCTGAGCTTTCACACTGCAAGCTAAAGTAATCAAGCTTGTAGATTGGCCCCCCTCGGCTCTCACGTTCACTAAGACTGATACTCTATTACACACACTCCTGCAAGACGTTCCAAGCGAGCGGTTGAGTATCGCCAGAGGCAACATTGATCTACTACATCAACATCTGCGCCAAACATAAGCTGCAGCTCTGGAAATTTCATTGGCCAAGAGCTGTTCGCAGCTTTTGAGCTCTTCCTTCGTCTTTGCCATGAACGACATCCCTCAGCACGTGAGCAGTCATTCAATGAATATGTTGTGGCTGTTAAATTCCTCGATGTAGGCTTCATGTGACGTGTAGAGTGGAATTGAACATCTCGTGTTCAGTGAGGTGACCGAGTTCGACCGCGGCGCTTTGACCACGCGGGTCAACCCGGCGACGAGACGTTCTCCTGTGCGTGTTGGCTAGACAAGAAGCCTTTACCAGGACTCTCAATCGCAAACCACCACACACCACCTACTCCGCTCCGCACTCCCAATGTCGTCCGCCGCTCTCACTCGCGTCGCCCGCGCGAGCTTCTTCTCCGCCCCCTCCGCCCGTCTGCGGCCGGTGCGCGCTCTTCAGGCCCAGCCCTTCAGACCCGCCGCCGTGGCCGGCTTCTCCTCCGCCAGCAGGCGACTCTCAGACGATCACCACGAGGAGAGCTTCGAGGAGTTCACTGCAAGGTACGACAGGCCTGTCCCGGCACTCAATGGCGCCCTGGTAGCTATATCAGCTCAAACTGCCTCAATCCGCCGATCACACGCCGAGGAACCCAATCCAGCTCCAAAAAGTGCGTTCTAATGTGAAATCTTACGCAGATACGAGAAGGAATTCGAGTCGGTCCAGGACGTCTTCGAGCTCCAGCGTAACCTCAACAACGCCTTCGCGTACGATCTCGTGCCCTCCCCATCCGTTATCACCGCTGCTCTGCGGGCCGCCCGGAGAGTCAATGACTACCCAACCGCTGTGAGAATATTCGAGGGTATGGCAGACGAATACACACGGTGTTGTGCGACCGCGACTGATCATACACAGGCATCAAGGCAAAGGTGGAGAACAAGGGCCAGTACGACGAATACCTCGAGGAGCTAAAGCCATTGCGGGAAGAGTTGGGTGTGAACCTCAAGGAGGTCATGTACCCAGAGGCCTCGTAGGACGAGTCTACACAGCTGCATGAAAATCGGTGTTGATGCTAGAGGAGAAGAGCGAGTTGAGATACTAGCGTGGAGTGGCTGGGGTGAAAAGCAACAAGAGACGTATATTGCAGAGCTACGCGATACAGAGGTCGGGCGTGCTCTGTTATGCTACAATAGCCTCGCTCAGCAGATCTTGTACAGTTTTCCTATCCCAATGGCTGACAATTTCTTGATCTCTTATTGGGCGGACAAACATTGGGGTCTGAACGGACTGGTAGGAGGTGTAGGAGGACAAGATGCAAACGAACAACGACGAGCAGAAAGCTCACATTCGATGGGGCATATGGATTGGATCTGAGCGCTACTGACATCTAACAGGGCGCTCCTCGATTTCGCACTCGACACTGCCAACGAACGCAAGACTCCCTCGAGCCTACTTCCACAAACACGAATGACTCAATCGCCAATTTTCGATAGCTGATTTTTCCACGAAAGCTCCTCAACGACAGCTGCTCTCGGATAAGTGATCATTCTGGGTATCGGGATTATCGCGGAAGCTGGCTTGATCGGTTGGAAGGCCGATTCTTACGTTGCTAGGGGCGGAAGTCGCCTGCAGCCTTACAGGGATATATTCGACCTCACGTCAAACAAGACATGAACTGGACGAATGAGTTGGCCTTGGCACTCGAAGGGCGAATCACTACGGCGCGCGCAAATTTGGTACGATTGTATCGGTATCAAGGACACCACGGTCACGACGGGATCGCAAACAATCTGTCTTGATGCGCCTGTGGGCGGATTTTGATATGGTCTTCCGGGTAGGGGCATTAAAAGCGTGGGAGTTGGTTCGATGATAAAGCAGTGCAACTGCCCCAAGTTGTCGCGAATTTGGTCGTCACCTTTGCAGACACCGCTCGTCCTTTAGATCCTGGACGATGCGACGTTCTGATAGCCTTCCGACGATATCGAAGGAGTGCGATCATGCGTGGTACTTAAACCACAATCAGGAAGCCGCAACCTACTCAACTTCTTAATGCGGAGGCAATGCAACCGTAGCATTTAGACTATGCTTGGCCGGTGGCCGGCACTAACCCTCGAAGAAAAGACGGGAGGCCTGACAGTTATACTTGCAGTCAGTAGAACAAGTACGTTCTGCTACTACTACTGACTTTCAATTGCACTTCAAGATGGAGGTGTTAAAGGTGGCACTGCTAAGCTTTGCGGCAAGCACTGCTGCATACGGCGCACCAGCATTGGTCTCCTCACCGGGACAGAGCGCAGCAATTCCAGCATGGGATCTTCAATCGACTGCCAGTGTGCACAATGATCTTAGCGACGTTTCAAAACCAAGCTACGACTCTTCATCATGGCACCATGTCGGCTCGAAAGGTACCCTGATGGGCGGTCTTGTCGAAACCGGCGTGTACAACGCAGACGACCTCTTCTACTCAACCAATCTCGAAGATACAGTTGACTCGTCCGAATTCGCTGTTCCCTGGCTGTATCGACAAGAGTTCCCTCTTCAGCCAGGTCAAGGAAAGCACTTTCTTCTGCAGACGAATGGCATAACTTCTAAGGCAGATGTCTGGCTCAATGGGCAACAGGTGGCGAACAAGTCTGTTCAGGCTGGTGCCTATGGAGGACGAACATATGATGTGACGAAGTTGGTGAATGGTCAGAATGCGCTGGCGATCAAGGCCTATCCAACAGACTATAACTTGGACTTTGCTTTGGGCTTTGTGGACTGGAATCCTTATCCGCCTGATAATGGGACTGGAGTGTGGAGGGATGTTGATGTCAAGCAGACGGGATCGGTCGCTCTGGGACCGACGAGGGTCATCACAGATTTCAAGCAGCCAGGCGCGAGCTCAGTGCAGGCTACGGTGAAGAACGAGCTGTGGAATTTGGAGAACAGGACCTTTAATGGCCTTCTGACCGCCGTACTCAAAGATGACGAGGGGAAGACTGTGGCCACCGCATCGCAGAAGTTCACCATTGGGGCTTCTTCGAAGACGACCATAGCCCTTCCAGCTACGATCCAGAACCCTCAGGTCTGGTGGCCTAAACAATGGGGCGATCAGCCACTCTATACCGTGCAACTCACCGTACGTACCGCGAACAGTCTCTCGGATCAAGCGACACGTACTTTCGGCATCCGCAGCGTCACCTCCCAAGTCAACTCCCACAACGACACCATCTTCAGTGTGAACGGCCGTCCCTTTCAAGTCCTAGGCGGAGGCTATTCGTCCGATATCTTCCTCCGCTGGGATCCCGCCAAATTCGCCACGCAAGCACAATACGTTCTCGACATGGGCATGAACACGATCCGCCTCGAAGGCAAACTCGAGCATCCAGAGCTTTACGACATCTGTGACCACATCGGGCTGATGGTCATGCCGGGTTGGGAATGCTGCGACAAGTGGGAGGCATGGTCGTACAATGACGATGTCACGGATGCGCCGTTGTGGAATAATAATGATTATATGACTGCTGGACAGAGCATGAAGTATGAGGTTGGTGCTCTGCAGGGCCATGCGAGTTTGTTGGCGTATCTGGTGGGAAGTGATTACTGGCCAAACCAGCGAGCTGCGAAGATGTACGTCGACACTCTGAGGGAGGGCGATTGGGATGTGCCGATTATCGCCAGTGCCGCGAAGAGAGGATACCCTGAATGCATTCTTCCACCTAGTGGATTCAAGATGGATGGACCGTACGATTGGGTACCTCCAAACTATTGGTATGGAGACCAGCTCGGTGCTGCCTTTGGGTTTGGCAGCGAGCTGGGAGCCGGCGTAGGGACCCCCGAGAAAGGCAGCCTGCAGAAATTCTTGAGCTTTGCAGACATGGATGATCTATGGCAAAGCCCAAACAAGCAGCTCTACCACATGAGTCGCGGAGAATCTTCGTTCAACAACCGAACAATCTACAATCAAGCCCTTTATGCGCGATACGGGGATCCTACGAGTTTGGATGATTACCTCCTGAAAGCGCAAATGATGGATTACGAGGCTACGAGGGCGGAGTATGAAGGCTACGCGGCGAAGTGGAATGCCGAACGGCCTGCTACGGGAGCGATCTATTGGATGCTGAACAACGCCTGGCCTTCGCTGCATTGGAATCAGTTCGACTATTACCTTCATCCTGCTGGCTCGTACTTTGGGACGAAAGTTGGGTGTCGAGTTGAGCATGTGGCGTATGACTACCAGAACAAGACCGTGTATCTGATCAACCGCTCGCTGGATAATACTGGGGCGAGGAGTGTTGAGATGGAGGTTGTGGGTTTGGACGGAAAGAGCATAGCGAGAAAGAATGTATCGGCGACCACCGTGCCCAATACGAGCAAGGAGGTGGGCAATGTACCTGGAATCGACAAGATCAAGAACGTTGGCTTCCTGCGGCTCGTGCTGAGGAACAACGCCGGCGAGGTGCTCAGTCGAAACGTATACTGGCTCACCTCTGGCAACGATGAGCTAGACTGGGACGACTCCACGTGGTACTATACGCCCGTCACAGACTTCGTTGACTTAACTTCCCTTCAACATATGAAGCCAGCAAACGTCCAAGCTACAGCAAAACATTCAGAACGAGGCTACTCGATTACTTTGGAGAACCAGTCGAACGTGCCGGCCGTCTTCATTCGATTGAACCTGGTCGATAGCAGGGGTCAGGATATCACGCCTGTGACGTGGGAAGATAACTATGTGAGTTTGCTTCCTAAAGAGACGATGACAGTGGCGCTTAGCTTTGATGGGAGGCAGCAAGGTGCGGCTGTGGAGATGAGTGGTATCAACGTCAAGGCTGGGAAGATCGTGCTTGGGCGATGAGATGAGATTGAACGATGAATGCCGATGCCGTACAACGATCATTCTTCCGTCTTTCTTACTTTTCAACAGCTCCTCCCTTCAGACATGTTGCAGCCTTACCCGTTTCTCTCAAAACTAACATCAATGCTCCCCATCCTGATCGTCCTAACCCTCCTCTCCATCACCTCCCTCCTTGCCTACATCCACCAACTCCACTCCAACTTCCACAAATTCGCCGCCATAACCAAACTCCAAGAAGACGAACTCAAGCGAATGCAAAGATGGATCCTCAACCACCGATTCCTCGAGCCAGAGGCTTCGATCGTACGCTTACCGGACGATAAGATGATTTCAAGAATCTCGAATGAGGAGGAGGAGTCCAGGTTGGGGGAGTTGTTCGCACGGGAGTTGGAGATTTTGGAGCATCTTTATGGCGATATGGAGTAGTTGAATAAGGGGGCATGAGGGGTGATTGTTTCGAGAGCAAAGGAATCGCGAGATGTAGAAGGTATGTGGTGGGTAGAGGGGAAAGGGGCAAATATTCCATCTAGAACAAGCAAACAAGTTCTCTTTGCGACATCTCTCCCTTTAAAGGAAACCAGACCGCCAGCCATGATTCAATCCTCCTTCCATCTGTCACTCAATCGAACTACTCATCCATGGCTAAATTCGTCGAATCCTTCTTATTAGGCCTCGTCCTTTGCTGCTGGATCATCGTCGCCATCATCTTGCTCGGCCACATGATCGTGAAACTCTTCGAGTGGTACGAGCGTCGTCAACAACCGAGTGACCGGGAGACGGATGCGTTGATTTCGGCGATTGAGAGGGCGCCGGGGAGGTACCCTGCGCAGGGGTATGGGATGTGAGGGCGGCGGTTGGGGAGGGGATGTTGTTTGTTGAGAGGACGGCGATGGTGGGTTGGATCGGGTTGCAGATGGAGATGGAGATGAGACTGTTTGCCCCTGACATCGACGTTCTTGATCAATGATATCGATATCTTGAAATCGGGATATCGTAGATGTGAGATGAGACTCAGCAATGATGAACTCGGATCAGATCATATGCCTTTCTCGTACAACGCATATAAGGCTGCGCGGGGAAGTACATCCTGCTTGTACCTCACACAAGAACAAATCATCAAGAACAAACAGTCAACAACGTCTTTCCAAGACTTCCAGGCCAGCGTCGAGGCTACCTTCAAAGCCTACCACGAGGAGACGAGTCAGCGAATCCGTCGTTTGGAAGAATCCGTCTGCTCAAGGCAGGTGAGCATCCGTCAGGAGGCTGTCGACTATGGACACAAGGCTCCTCAGGAGTATGGTTCCCGTTTCGAGTACGTCACCCCAAATAGCCATGGTCCGCGGCATATGATCAGAGAGACTATCCCATTGATCTTCATTCGTCCAAAGTACGCCCCGATGTCCCGCATCGTCAGCGACCACTACGAGGACTACGAACCCTTCGATAGCGACTCAATCCTACTCCAGCCGATCCTCCTGTCCGTCAAAGACGCCGTCATCATCCACGAACTAGGATGGGGCCGTAAGCGGTCAAACAAGCCTCACCCTGGGCAAGTGCCGACCACGGGCTACTCTAGTGACTGGAATCCCTTCCACGATGAGGACATCGTCATCGGATCGAACAGCGGGTTTGCACCAGGTGCTTCTGGTAATCCTGGGAGTGGTGGGTCGGATGGTTCGCCATCGCGGCCGAATACGCCTCCTTCGACTTCGCCTGTTCCGTCTTCGTCTGGTACTAGTTCGTCTTCTTCTAGTGAGGGTAGTAAGAAGAAGTCTGATGCTGGTTCGACCGGAAATAAGGATCTCGAGAAGGGCAAAGAGAAGGACAATGCTGGCTTGAGCCAGGTCCAGTGAGTTGAGGACAAGCGGGCTGCTGATGTCGGATCAGGAATTTGAGCAAGGTAGATTGAATAGTCGACTTCGTTATATCAGGCATAAGACCGCGGTCCTGTGAATGGTTGTCATCGATTGTAAACCAACGAGAGGAAGTTCAGCGCGTATGCATTAGAGCAACTCATTCAAGCAACCTTGCAAGCGTTGTGTTGCTATCCCCCAAGCCCAAAGCGCCCATTTCACAGGATCCCAGTGATGGTGGTTCAACTCATACACCTCAATCTCGAGTGCTTCCATATCCGATGCATCTTTGCATGTCATCGGCGGAGCATCGGGAGAATCTCGTCTGTACTCTCCGATCTTCAATATCGTAAGCAAGATGCCCTCGTATCGTTGAGAAAGATCTCTTTATCTGTCATGACCGCATACCAGTGTTCGAAGAAGCGATGGACTCGAACTTTAGGACAGACTCGGCCGAGAGGATAGAGAATGCAGTCGGTCAATCTTCGGAGGCTGTTGAAATTCAGGGGAAGGAAGAATCCGAGCCAGACCGAGCTTCATCTGGCCATAGGTTCAGCCTGGTATTTGCAAAATACTCAATATCTAATGTGGTAAATTTGTCAGCTGTTGCTGGCTGCTTGTTGTCAGCAACATGTTTGGGCTACAATGGCGTATTGTCACTTGAGAACCCGACGTAGTGGCAATGAAGCAATCTGCGTTGGCATTAGCCTGGAGAGCAAGTGACCTGAGGATAAAACCCGTCCGGAAGTTCCTGTCATGCCATATTTCTTAAACATAGACTTGCTATCGAAACTCTCCGGCCCTGAACCAGCGACGAGAAGCACGTTTCCCATCGACTATCAAACGTAGTCTGCTCTTGCCAACCGCACATCCCACCGAAACGCAATGACATCCAGATACTCTCGTGATGCGGGCCCGAATTTCAACAATGGCATCAAGAATGTAGCGCTCGTTGGAGTGAGTATCCACTAGTCCTCAATGGCCCCGTCAAAAATCATTCTTTCTAATATGTTGTCAGACCACTGGACAGCTGGGCAAGGTCTTCGTCGAGCACATCCTCAAGACCGGAAAGCACAACCTAACCGCGATCACTCGTGCTGGAAGCAACACTAACGTTCCCGAGGGCGCGAAAGTTGCCGCGGTCGACTACAACGACGAAAGTTCGCTCGTTGCAGCCTTGACAGGCCAAGATTTTTTGGTCATCACTCTGGCCTTGACTGCACCTCCGGACACACATAGCAAGCTGGTCAGAGCGGCCGCCAAAGCAGGCGTACCGTATATCATGCCCAACGCCTATGGCATCGACTTCTATGGCAAGCCGACGCTCCTCGAAGACATCCCGGCGCTGCAGTCCATACTATCAAACGTGAAAGAGGTCGAAGAAGTCGGCGCGCAGTGGATCGGGTTGACTCCGAGCTTCTGGTTCGAGTACAGTCTTGGTGTCGGACCATTCACATACGGGTTCGACTTCCCGAACAAGAGCGTGACCTTCTTCGACGACGGGAAGACGAAGGTCAACACGACGACATGGCCACAAGTGGGTTGAGCCTTGGCCGCTCTGATCTCCTTGAAGAGGGTTCCGGACGATGAGAGTGACCAGTCGGTCACCCTGGCACAATTCGTGAACAAGCCGGTGTACATCTCGAGCTTCCGTCTCAATCAACGAGAGATGCTCAACAGCGTCAATGCCTTCATGAAGAAGACTGACGACGACTGGAAGATCTCGTATCAGCCGGCTGGGAAGCGTTCTAAGGAGGGTTGGGAAGAGCTTGCGAAGGGCGATGGCCGCGGGTTCCTGAAGGGCATGTACTCTCGCGTGTTCCAGAGCCCGAGCGATGGAGTCTACGAGACTCATAATGACCTTCTTGGTCTGCCAAAGGAGGACCTTGCACAGGCTGTACAGGATGCACACAACTGGTCTGTTTCTCAGCGTGCTAGTGACAATTAGCAACCCACGTCAAGTGACGAGTCGTATAGACGACATGTTGGTCTCGACGTTCCTGAAAGGGTCGATGATCCAAGGAACGCTATCGGTAACTCGCATCAGCGACAGTTGATCTTCTACATTCGATCAGCCTCTAAGGTCAACAGCATCAACTCGGTGCATACCTGAGGGCTTACCCCTGTTCGGTGGCTTGAAGCAGGTCGCTGAAGGAACGTGTGCCTGACACAACACACTCGTCAGCTGGAGGCAGTGTGCATATGTAGCTGAGCGGCTGAAAAAGCCCTACTTTGTTCGAAGGTAGCCTCTATGGATAAGAGGGTATTCTGGTCATCGCAGAGGCCGCCCATGCTGAGCCTTCTTGTCGAACACATTGCAATGCGTGTCGGCCCTCTGTAACCGTTTGAAATACTGCCGATTTCCAGCACTACCACTCGAGAGTTTCAATAGCTCAGTCAAATACCAATTTAGTCATCCAACATGGCGAACACCAAGCATGTTTACGTGGTTTATGAACCCATCCACGCGGAAAGCTCTCTTCCAATGACGATTCAGCAACTTGTCGGGTTCTCTCACGCAAAACTCGTCGTCTTGTCCAGTGGCCAAATCGATGGCCAGGGCCGGAGCAAAGGCAAGGGCAACGTGTACGACATCTGGAAAGACGGCAAGCAAGAGATCGGATATGGGGATGAAAGAGGTCGACCGATCAAGTGGGATGGCCTGGCAACAGGAGAGAGATTCCGCCACCTCTGTTACACAGACAAGAGCGACAAGGAGGTGATGAACGCAGGTGAGGCGAATCTTTCCCTGGAGATTGAAGAGGATTCTGACCATGGCCAATAGCTGCGTCTGTCATCGCCGAGATGAAGACCTACAACTTGGTCTTCCGGAACTGTGAAGACTTCGCATATCGCCTTGGGGAGAAGCTCACTCGTGCAATGGTGTACCCTGGGTGGTTGCCAAACTCTCCAGTCAATGTGGGCGAGTACGAGTATTTGCAGTCCTCGGCGGTAAATCCGTTTGGGTTTCGAAACCTCTTTGGACGTAGAGATCATCGGCCTTGATCGAGACAGTCCTCTTGTGGTTTGAGGTTGGTCACATCTGAGAGGCCTGGAAGGGCTGGGGGACAGAGAATAGATATCCAGGAGTTGGTGGGCACAGGATGGCGGAGGCGAGTTGGCTTGGCCACTTGGTCATCTTTAGAATGAAGAACTTTCTTGCCAGAAGATATTCGATAAAGTCCAAGACGTGTGCTTGGTACATTGCTTATCCTTAGCAATCTTAGTCGGCCAGGCGCGGGATGGTCTTTGATGTGCTGTTGACGTGAGATCCGAATCCGAAACGCTAAATTCTTAATAAGGGTGAGGTACCGAGTCTTTCACTTGGAGCTCGACTTGTTCTGACTTCCCTCGAACCTGTCGTCTTTGTCGTTGCTGTTGACTCCGCGCATTAGCTGGCAAGATTGCGCGTGTGACGGAGCAAACGCATATCTCACGATGTTCGATTGCTCGAGGCAAGGACAGATCGACGCTCACCGGTCTCAAGGCAACAACAGGTAGTATCCTTCTCAATTCCCACTACTCGACTCTTTGCACACTTCATCGCTCTCAGCAGCATTAACCAGTAGAGACTCACGTCAACGATGACGACTGCAGCTTCTTCGGCATCTTATCAGCTCTTCGACGGCGACCGAACAGAGAGGATACACAACCTTCGTATTCGAGCAAGCGGGCGGAGCAACACTGGCAGCACTACGTCTTCTCGCGCCTCAACACGAAGCAACAATGCACCGAAGCGATCAAGCAACCCCGACGAACCTTCTCGATTCGTAATCGACCTATCTCTACCTCCCGAGCAACGTTATCTCGAGGTTTGTACGGCTTTCAAGAAACAGCTCAAAGATATCACGCCGCTATTTGATGAAGTTGTCGGCGGATTCCTGCATTGCATCCCTGTTCGGCGGGTGCATCAACTCGCTAGGCTTCTTCTACGAGGCATCTACGACAAGGAGGAGAACAGAGAGCTCAAGGGCATCAGCAAAGCGGTAGGCGTTGATATGCATCTCCTGGTCAGCTTCAACGTTCTGCTGGATCTGTTGATGGGTTGTACCAGCGGCGGAGCACTCGTAAGAGATGGCGAAGGCGGAACGAAGATGGTACACTTTCGCACGCTGGATTGGGGTATGCCGTCGCTGCGGAAGCTTGTAGTCCAGCTAGATTTCAAGAGACGGCAAGATGGGCCTATTATTGCTTCGAGTATCACGTACGCGGGATATGTTGGAGTTCTTACTGGAGTCAGAAAGGACTTTTCTGTCAGCTTAAACTTCCGGCCGAATCGAAATGACAAGGGGAAGCATTGGTCCGATGTCAAATACTACTATCACTTGTTGATGGTCTTACTGGGTTGGAGACGAAGCATTTCAAGTCAGTTGAGGTGTTTCTTGATGCCTCAAAAACAGGAAAAGTCTACAACTCGGGGGCAGGAAGCAAATGACCAGGTGAAATATTGGACTTACGAAGAGACGGTGTCTTGTATAGGAGGTGGAACTGGCAAGCCTCTCAGAACTACCGCATGCTATTTATGCTTCGGCAACGGCCAGGAGACGACGGTCATAGAGAAAGATCGGGCCACAGCAACGTTACGCTCGAACAACGTCTTCATTGCGATAACGAACAACGATGTGGATCACGAAGACGAAACCAACATACCAGTGCAAGCAGGGGAACGGGAAACCTCACTGGCTGACATAGTCAACGAAGGCAAAGATCGACGGCAATGCACGGAGGGCAACTACTTCCTCATGAGGCAGCACGCTGCCGCTTGGAGGGCGAACGCTGGGCTAGGACACAGTCTAGAAGAGGCCGTGAGCGCTGACAATATCACGGCAATGCTGCAGTGGTATCCCACCACGAACGAAATGACGCATTTTGCTTGTTTAATGGACCCAAAGGAAGGCGCCGTTCGATGGTGTCGCCGGTGGGCAAGGCCTGCCACTAAACGCTGGATCAGGGAACACCAAGGATATCAACGGAGTACGTATTTGTAGGAACAATAATAGCGTACCAGCGTCTTGCTGCAAGCACTTTCATTGTGTAACGGTGCTACCGAGGCTGAGACCTCCCAATCGATCAACGTGAGATAAACGTAGTGCTGGGCGTCTTCTTTCACGTGCTGAAACTCGCTCGCGCCTGCCTCCAAACCAGTCCCTCGCATGTAAATCCGCGCAGGCTTGTACATTTCCAACCATTCTGAGGCACACAATGCATGTCGTGGCGGTGTTTCAACGTCATTTGGATGCTTTGTACGGCCAGATGCCCGTCGTCGGCGGCAAGTCTGTTGGCGTGCCGACCCTTGATCCACAGCTGGCGCGAGGGATTGGACGGCGGTGTCCAACTTCGCGAACACCACGCGCACCGCGTAGTGCATTAGCCTGACCCCTCCCTTCACTCACGAGAGGTCTGTGCGACCTTGGAGCGACGGGGACGTTGGGCCTGCTTCTTCGTGCCGCAGCGACCTCGACTCGACTTCAGCTTCACCACCACGGACAGCAGCATACAACACCACAACAAGAGAAGATCTGAGGAGATCTCGTTGTTCGCTGAACGACGAACCGGCTCGAGCAGCTAGTCAAGGGTTGACGACACGCCCTTGGACGCGTGTGAGATCACGCTCGAGCATCTACCTCATCCCGACATTTCACCATGACTGCACACGCACCATTGGCGAGAGTGCCCTTCGCACCGCTCGACAACCCTCGTCTGCAGCATCTTGCCAATGCTAAGAATCGCCAGAATGGTATGGCACCCTGACACGGTATTGACAAGTCACGTAGCTTACCTTCGCAGGCCTCATTGCACAGAAGTCGTCAGCTCTGAACGGCAAGCCCAACATCATCTCCACCAAGAGCGTGCTCTCGCCCGTCAAGAGGTCCTTCGAGGATGACTTCGACAGCGAGAATGTCGACCCGGCGGTCTTCGACTCGCCATCGAAGAAGACTAAGAGTGACTTGTTCGATAAGCCAGTGAAGCCGTTCACCTTCAACATCACGCCTCAGAAGTCCATGCCGCCACCACCTACGATCCCATCACGACTCTCGACCCCTGCCAGAGCCAACATGTCGTCGCCGCGTGCTCCAATGACTGCACCAGCCGGTCGTTCTCCTCAGCGGAAGATGGCAGGTATCAGCAAGAACCGACGCGTTTCGGCTCCATTCTCGCGTATCGATCCGCCTGGAGGTCGTGTTGGATCGACTCTGCCGTTCAGTCTCGACGCTGCACTAAGTGGCACTCTGACATCCGAGCCCAAGGTTGCTGCCGGCGCCACGATCCAGGAGAGCATGCCCAAGAGCTGGTTCTTCGAGATCTACGAGGACACGCCAGAGGAAGAAGCTGCCAACCTCATGGAGCACAGCACGCTGACGCTGGACCTGAGCTCGGATGACGAGTGTGTCAAGAAGGAGAAGAGCGATCGTGGCAAGGAGAACACGCCGCCAGAGGGATACGATGCACCCACCGCCTCACAACCTGCTCCGAAGCAGATCAAGAAGACGGAGATCATCAGGAAGAAGGTCGTGACGGAGGAGATGGATGATGGTGAGCGTTCGCCGTTGTGCTCTCTCGAGACCGACCCCTTCATCCCAGAAGGACTTGACAAGGACTCTCACGTCGTCGTCGATGAGGTGCAGAAGACCGAAGCCAAGGAGCTCTTCACTGCGCCTGTCCCGTTCACGGCCGGCGAGAAGAAGTCGTCGAGCGTAGTCGTCGATGGCAAGGGCGACGTCAAGGGCGAGATCATCGTCTGGGAGGACACGGATGTTTAGTACGTGATCGATGAGGCGTTGCTTGCTTGGGTGGGCGTTTACTGGATGCGATGGGCCGGCTTTCTGGGTGTTGCTTTCATCAGGGTCTCACAGTACAACGAGTTCACGTTCATGGAGTTCTTCATCAAGGGTTCATGAGATTAGCTGGGGTGTATTGCTGCGGGATAGGTACGGTGTGGGGTCTTCTTCAACTGATCGAGTGGTCGTTTCTGGAACGTTCTGTTGATGTATTGCGTCGAATGTGCATGTAGCGTCGATCGTCGACGAAGAAAGCAGCTCCTTTCCTTTCTCCGACGATCGAAATCGATGACTCTGCCTCCATGGTGATCATAAGATCAAGCGTGACTACATGTATCGCCTATGCTATGAGGTAGATACACGTATCAAGCTTAGTATACGTTTACAGATAAAACAGGTTCATGAGTCAGGTTCATGTTGCTTGACGATTAGAGTTCCGGCTAGTGTGGGTCAATTGCCAAGCATTTGTTGCGGCAAATCACGTGAAGCTTCGCTGACGTGGCAATCACTGGAAAGCGGCTCCACGTGGCGTGCATGCATGGTCCACAGCTCGGAGTTCCTTCTATAGTCCTAACAATTCCTCGGCGACAGACAAGATAGTGTAAGTAACCTTAGTGGAAGTAGAATAGTCTGAAGATCGAACATAAATTAATACTAATATGTATAATAGCGGCCTTATATATTACCGTGTCTTATAGCGGGGACTAGACGGATAACTTATATACTACTATAATATAGTCTCTAGTATAAACGTTAGTAACCTCTACTAGTTTAACTATTAATACTAGTCCTATATAGATATATAATTATTACTACTACTTTATATACCCTCTATTATTATTAATAACTACTTAATACTTTTCCTTTATACTTTAATAGACTCTAGCTATATTAGAGATTAATAGTTTTATCTATTTAATCTATATAGCTTTTATAACTTTCTCTCTTATTATAGGGAAGTACTAGCTAATCCTATACTTTAAAAGACTTTATATATTCTTAATTAGATTAAGATCTAGTAAGTTAGCTAGCTAGTAAAGAAGTATTATAGATCGAGTAGGGTACGTATAGGTATTAGGATCGATACGTTAATCCTAGAATCTTACTTAGTACGGATACTAAGCTTAAGTCCTTAGTTAGAGCTCGTTAAAAGGAGAGAGTTAGTAGACTACTAAAATAATCTTAAAATAGAGGTTTAGGTATAATTATAATCTAAATAGTAAAATTAAATAGTAAGTTAAACGCTATTATATAAACTATAATATCGTTCCTATATAATAAAAAAGAAACGTATTACTCTACACTCTACGAGGTAAGAGAGAGAGTACTCTATCGCTCTCTTAATAGAGCGAGAGAGCGGTTACGTACGTCGATCCTAGGGAGCTAATACGTACCCTACTCGATCCGTAATACTATCCTCTCTCTAGCCTAGCTCGTCCCGAGCTACTATAATAAGTACGTAGTACTTCCCGTTCCGTCGCGTACTTTAGGCGATAATATCTCTCTT